ATAATTTAAAACTGATATGAAAGCAACTCTATTTTCTTGTCTAGGTGGTGGGTCAAACTTTTCCAGGAAAATCATGATATCATAATTGAATAATAAATATTAAAAAAGAAAGATATAACACAAAAAATGAAAAAAGTACATATTTTTGTCAAAAACATTTGAAAATATTTATAATGTTGTATATTCGTTATATTAAATAAAATAATTATTGAAATATAAATTATTTTTATTTATGATAGAAGTGTAATAATAGTAATAATAATAATAATAATAACTGTTGTTGTAATTTAAAATTTTCACGTGCAAATGCATGTACACATTACTATAAGTATTTTGTTAAATTTGTTAAATTTTCAATTTCTATATGTAAAATTCAAGTAATTAATATGAAGAAAAATATCTTGTTGCACGTGATTAAATACTAGTGTATAAGAAATGTAAAAATATAAAATATTAAATTTATCAATTTTAAGCTTTATATAATTAAGAAAAATAATTCTTAAACTAATAAAAATGATAATTGGACTACAGTCCACCCGATAAATATGAATCGCAGCCCCTCATAGTTTACTAATAGCCCCCCCCCCTATAAACTACATTTTGCACGTGAATTTCGCATTAATCCATGTGCAGGATTGAGTCCACCCCTATAAATCATAGCTCCACCCTAGGGGTGAACTGAACCATAAAAACCCCAAGATAAAAAAAGAAACTGAGGCTCATTGAAATGACACTGTAAACCGTTTGACATCGCAATTGAATAAAAAATAAATGAAGGCTCGTTGAAAAGACACTATGAGTTGTCTGGCGTCTCGAGCCTCCTACACATGTGAGAAATGAAATATACATTTGATAAATGAAATACTTTCCATCTGTAATTCTCCACCAATCACCAACAATTATCATATGAATTTTAATTTTTGATTAAACTATGCGCATTTAACAAATAATAAAGTTTTAATTTTATTTTAAATCCTCATTCCCATGAAAAAAATCTTTTATATAAAATAAACATAAATCCATCAAATTGGTTGACTTCCAACCATGAATATCCCCATTCCCAAGAAGAAAAATCTTTTATATAAACAAACTTAAATCCACCAAATTGGTCGACTTCCAACCATGAATATAATTCAGTCTAGTTCTATGAAAAATCACAAAACAATTAATTAAACAAACAAAAAAAAAGAAATAAATAAATCACGGTGGATCGTTCAACTTGTGGTGGGTTATTTACCATAACAACTTCGTCTATAAAGACTGCCATTAGTCCAGGTCAGTGATTATCTGTTAAACCTGTCATTATAGTAAGATAACTACTTTTCAGGTCAGGTATTCTTGCCTCGCGCATGCCCCTATACAAAGAAAACGCTGATTGGAAATATTTGCTTGCCATAGATGCTTCTATCAGAGTATCATAGCAACAAGCATCCAACTTAAGTCCAAAAGCAGTTATCTTCATTACCAAATGAGCAGCCTCGGTTGTTCTATGCTCTTTGCAGTAAGTCTTTAAGATTAACACATATACACCAAGGCCAACAGGACCTGCATGAGCATTCATTTCATCAATAATACTATGTGCTTTATCTAATAACCCCGGATTAATACAAGCATTTGCAATCCCAAACCCCACAGAACCATAAGCCCTAATTTAAGAAGACTTTAATTTTTGAGATTCTATTATCAACTTAGTTAAACCCTTGACACCTTCATCTTGAAGAAACCCATTCAAAACTGCACTATAAGTTTCTTCACCAAAATTTGAATCTTGTGCATCTCCCCCCTGCAAACTGTGTAAAATGGTTGCTGAAACGAATTATAAATTGCTTGATTTCACATACCCCTGAATTAAATTATTGTAAAATATGCTCTTTGAAGAAAAACCAAAATCATCGATCAATTTCTCCAATTCGATAATCTTGTCTTCAAGCCCCTTCAATGTGTACAAATAAGCAAGAAAACCAAAACTTTACTCATCGGATTGAACACCCAAAATAGACATAATTTCCACAACACTCTCGGCATCACTTACAGACTCCAGATGACAACAACATCATTCCAATGCCGCACTACAAGCAACTAAGTCAAGTTTCATGCTATCCAACTTTTCATCCAAAGCAATCCTACAGTTTTGGTTAAACACTTGTAAAAAAAGCAGCAAATCTACCATATTTCATACTTATTTCGATAAGCATGCCTCCCCATAAACTAAATGGAGGAAAAAATCTATTATTGAACAAGGATTTTATTAAAGCAAAAGCAGGGGCGGTAATGTTTGCAGATTTAATGGCATGTAAGAGAGTCTCTATTGTTTCAAGAGATATAACTTCAGGATTATTCTCTAACAGAAAAATGACAGAAGCGAATGCCATCTTAAGATTATGAAGGTCTTTAAGAGAAGATAGATGTGTGATCATAAAGTTGGAGAGATGCTTACTTGGGAACGCTGAATTGCTTTGTGAGGATCTTGAAAGACTTCCATGCTTCATCAGTGCCACGATTGTCAAGGGATGCTAGAAGGATGGACTCTAAAGCGATTTTGTGTTATTGGGTTAGAGGTAGCGACGCAGATGCAAGTCGAGCTGAATCCCAAGATTCCGAGGAATGTTGTCGGAACTTGTGATTACATTTCTGATATGCCTGATGAATGCTTGGCCTGCATTTTCCACTCTCTTGGATCCGACGACCATAGAAGTTGTTATTTAGTCTGTCAGTGATGATTTTGAGTAAAAGGACAGAGCCGACACTGTCTATCGCTCAAGGCGGAAGCTGATCTAAACCTCTTATTCTCTCTATCTTCTCTCGCTTTGATGTTGTAACCAAACTGGCATTGAAATGCGATCGACGACCGGTAAGCACCGGCGACAAGGCTCTTGTCCAAATCTCTTTGCGTTGTCGAAACCTTACACGACTCAAGCTTCGCGTTTGTCGTTAATTGATCGACGCATGCATGGAGGCCTTCGTCAAGAACTGCAAATCAGGCTGGGTGTCGCAACCTCATCCCTCAAAACTATTCACACGTTTGAATTAGTGTCACGTGAGAACATGAATCTACTCGCACGAGTATATTCCATTTCTTTGATGGAGAAAGCACCCGTTTCCTATTAATAAATATATATAAGATGTGTGTATACATAATTACACTACACATATTCATAAAATAATATTTTTATTGTACTTGAATTTTAGTTGGGTCGGATGAGGTTAAATCCACATTTAACCCGATTATTAGCATGTAAATCCAATATAATTGAATTTGGAGTTAAATCAACTATTGGATTTTCAGAGTCTATTAACATCCCTAGTAGGCAATGATCAAGCTAACTCGTAAGATCAACCTATAAACTATATACATGTATATTTAGATAACAAATATTATATTAATATATAGATATAAATTTTAAATATTTTTTATAATAAACTAAACTTACAAAATTTGAAAATCATAGTTTTATAAATAACATGGGCAAATGTGTCTTTGTCCCAAGCCTAGACAAATATTATCATGTTTCGGGTATGGTCCAAGTTGGACTAGTGAACCTATAAAATTGTTACTACATTATAAGAACATAGCCAAAATCTTTTTTTTTGTTAGGCTACATGCATGGTGGGGGTAGCCCATCCCGAATAGCTCTTTCAGGCATTGTTTTAAGAGGCTAAAACCTTGAGGTGTAAGGCATAAGCCTTGATGTCAATAGTGACTCTTTCACCACACCAACATACAACTTCCGTTGTGCCTTCAAAATGCCTTTAGAGTGCCATTGTGCGTGTCGTGGGTGGGCTAACTATGTATTTTGTACGGGGAGGAATGCCAATGGCCTTATTGTAAATACTTATAATGATTTTCTAATATTTTGATGTAACCTTCTATCAAAGCACCAAAAGCTTAAGCTACTCTTTGAGGGGAAGTAGGTAATTGAGTGACGCCAATACCGTGTATAGGTTAAGCACAATGTCTCATTGACACAAACTTTTGTGCTTGCCATCGCTTAATGCAATATAATGCCTTTTTGACTAATTTGTATGCAATATTTATTGACTCTTCATTGTCACCACAGTGGTTGCATGCAATGTCTGTATTGACGTCTATAGATATAAGATTACTTTTTTGTGGGCAACTTATTGCCGATGACAAGAAAGAGGAATACCTTAAGTTTTTGGGGAAATGAAACCTCCAAACACTATTCAATATATCATTATAGGTCTCCAAACAAATTTATCTTCCTCACTACTCGAAAGGATCAATATAGGTTTAATACGATGCCAAGCAGAAACAAGGATTAAAGTTGAGATCAAATTTTCTTTCCAAATATTTGATTTATAATCAATCACATTCGAAACACAAAGCTCCATTAACAACAATCTCATGGATGGCCTCATCAAGAAGAGGTGAGTTTCCAGTTCAAAGCGCCTTACATGCACACCCAATGTGCATTGAAAACATCTCCGGTGAATTATAATTGATAAGTACGGGAGATATTCCCAATGTATGATATGATGTGCGTGTGAGGCACCTCACAGGCACCAGGTGTGAAGAGCAGATCTCCGAGCTCAAATATCGTTCAAAAAATTTAATATTTTCATCGTTACCCACTATCCAATCCATCCCTCTCTTGCAAAGAGAGATCGATTTGCTAACTTACCAATAATATGTTGAAGCGTCCGGATTTGCTGATCACACAATGCTGGCCCCACATTGTTCCTATCTTCGTAATCAGTGATGGCGGTAGTAAAGGGTAGTTGTTGAATTGGGATCTTCTCCTCACACAGTACGGGAGATGTCCCGAATGCACGGTCAGATGTTCCTGTAAGATCGGTGTGAGGAGCAGTACTTGTTAGCCGTAGCCCGTAAGAAGTAAAGAACTGGCATTTTTCTGTGTGTACATAAATGCTGAATCGAACAAAACCCAGGGTTTACAGAGGGAAATAGAACTCATTGTATATTATCGTCGGATTGGAATAATTGCTTTTGCAGATATATGATGTTCCTTATAAGGTCTACCAAAGGAGTTTGATCGCAGTAGGCTTTTATTTGGTCCTTTATTCAAGTTTCGCGGCAGTATCCCGAACCCAAATTCGAATCTCTCTCTCCTCTCTCGCTGCTGATTGCTGCACATGATAGGTGCATAGAGGCCTTAATCGGTAAGATAATTAACGCCGATCTTGCTCTATTCTACCGATCAGATTCTGTAATTAAGAGTCTTGGAGTGTTTGTAAGAGATTTTGGGGTTTTACCATTACAAAGATCGGCTAAATATTCGTTCCGTTGGTCTCTGGGTGGGAGCTGTTGCTTTAAATTGCTGCAAATTTCTTCTACTTTTACGTTGTTTCTTTTTGCACGTCTCTCTCTATCTCTCTCCCTCTTCCTCTCCCAAGGTTGTTTATTTATATTTGTTTAATTCCGAGTTCCAGACCTTTAGGAGGGAGGGAGACAGGTATTTCTTTTAAATCTTTTTTGGAAGTTGCAGTTGTATTTAACGATGATGTATTTGAAGCACTTACGCAGAATTGGAACTAATTGCTCGGTCCAGTTCGCATTTGAGTTCACCGATTTGAATTTCCTTATCCATTTTAAGTATTTCTGCTAAATTTAGTATCTATTGTTTTCTTTGCTGTAGTACCAGATTTAGGGTTTACTTTGAATTTTAAGTTTAAGATTTTGATTTTTCGGGGGATGGTAATATTATTTGGTGGGTAGTTTGTCTTCGTTAATGCTGATTGGCATGCTTCTATTGCTCTGTAAATCGAACCATCGATGTGTTAGATTAGTCTATAGTTAACTTTGTCTCCTTTACTACTTTAGTCTATGAATCAAGGCATCCAGGAAACTTGATGGAATTGCCAAATTCCGGGAGGATTTAGGTTAATTTGGATAAGCTACAGATTTATCATTTGTGCTTTCAAAGCCTAAAAGCACAAAGCCCCAATTTTAGGCTTTGTGCTTTGGGGCTTAAAAGCAACTCTTACCAAACGCTCAAAACACTTTCTGGCTCATTTTTTTCCTATAGCCAAATGGTGCCTTAGTCAAATTGGATTGTGAATTCTTTGGCTTCCCTTTCTCGAAATTGACACCTTTTGACCACTGGTATTGCTTATATAAAACATATTTTCTTTTATTGGATTATAGAAATGTTGGTGGGTGGTTGAGTTATGAATCTTTTTGTTGGGGTTAAGATAAAACCTGCAGTGGATTTGTTAGATACTTAATTGGTAAAAAAATGATCACATTCTGTGATATGTGCAACTTATATGTTTCAAACATATAATGTTTTTATAAACTTGTTGGTGGGTGGATGAGTTATGAATCTTTTTGTCAGCGATTTGGTTCCTTAAGCTCTTGCCTATAGTATCACAGCCTCTGCTTATTATGCTTTATCCATCTTGTCTCCACCTTTGAATTGCCTTCTAACACTATCCTTTCTAAGTTCATGTACTTTGCACTTTTGCAGACCTTAAAGCCTGTAGCACAGCCATCATCTCTGCTCTTACAGAGCCCCAGTTCTTATCGAGCCAGAAAATAATGCAATAATACCTTCACTTTTTAAAAAGAAGAGATTTGCAAATTTTTAGAAGAATAGATTTGCATGTTTTGACATCTAATGGGTTTGGAGTGGATTTAATATGGCAGCACCCTGTAGAAAACTTCCTCTTGCATCTAACTACCAATGTGGGGCCCTAGAATGACATCTGGGGGCCATTAGTAGAATCCTCTTTTTCTGATGTTTTGCCCCACCGGTAGTTTCTATATCATAATAACATGATAGTAGAAGGGGATAGATGTTACTTTTGCATCTATTTTCCATATTTAAATTTTAGGATTATGCGTTGGTGAATTAGGGAAGATTGCTGGAAGACCTCAACTATTTCTGCCATGTAGGGGAACCCTAGGGCCATTCTGAAACTTCTTTGGATAGGGGAGCCTTTGGATTGGCTGCCTTTTTCACTCCTCAATTTTATATCATCTATATGCGTGTCCTGTATCAGAATTTTTCTCACATAATAGATGCCATCCATTTTTTTTTTTATGTTTATTATATATTAATTTTGAAAAATGCCCATGAGAAATGGATTATTTTGGAATATGACAAGGTAAAGCATGGAGAGAGGAATATGAGTTTCTATTGTCCCAAAGATAAGTTGCATGTGGAATATTCTTAGGTCCTTCAGGCTTCATTGCTAAAAGTAGCTGATCAGTTTGCTTCCTGAAATTTAGGGGAATGATATTGAGTGCTTTTTTATGCCATGTTTGTCTTACATGTTTCTCTTCATTGAAAATATTTAGTTCCATTAACAAAAATTTCCTTTAGTGTAAAGAAATCTTTATCTTGGGAAGGCTCATATATGTTCTGGTGCAGTGAAGTGTTAGGGCTTTATTTAATTGACAATTCTCTTGAGAAAATTACTTAGGTAACTCTCAGTTCTACTATTGACACTTGTTCAGATAGTTTACATGGCCCCACCAAGAAAATCCAGAAGTGTGAATAAGCGGTTTCCAAACGTTAATGAGGAGTCTCCTGACAAGGATAGAGGCAATGCAAACAAAAGTAGGCAACGGGTGAGTTCAGCTTCCTCTGATTTATTGGTTGTGATAGAATGGACTTTACTTATCTTCTATTGTTGTAGTATTTTCATTTACTCAGTTTTTAATGATTGTCAATCATTTGTTATCCTTGTTGCAAGGCTTGTTTTTTGACTTACCATATAGCAGAGAATCTCAACTACAAGATTTAGTCCTTGTTTGGGATTGCCTGGGAAGTTACTTCTGCACATTTAGGTGGTTATTGACAATTGAAATTTAGAGGCACTTCTGTAGAAGCTAGAACAATTTTTTCTTCTTGAAGCAGAAGCCAAAATTAGGTGCTTTTGGAAGCAAAAAGATAGCTACATGGTACATGCTTTAATTGTAACATGCATATTCCTTTTAGATGCCTGGATTATCACGTTCAAATCTTTCTAATGAACTTTCTAAATGAGTAGTATACCCCTCCTATCTTTTTTTTTTGTTCAGGAGCTTCTTTTACCTAAAAGAAGCCAAAACTTGTAAAACAGTGGAGCTCTTCCATTTTAGGTGCTTCTGTGTGAAGTTTGGTTTCTTAGAAGGGCTTGTGTATCTGAAGCAGCCAGAAGGACAGACTTGTTTTCTTATGTTCCTTTTTTGACCCATATGTGAAGAATTTATCAAACCAAAGAGCAGAGAGAAACAAAAGCACAACCTTTACCCAAGGACGGGAGTGGACCAGAAAAAAAAAACACTAGGACTAACCAGGCACAGACAAAACATACAAAAAAAATGAATTATATACATCAGCCTTCCACCCCAGGGAAGGCAGGCATTTCTTTCTTAAGCATATATTATGCGTAAGTAACTTTGTAATTCATATTTTCTTGGGAAGATGTTTATATGCTCATAATCATATATGCTTTACCTAGGGTTTCTTTTCCTTTTCTTTTGTTTTTTCAATATTAGGTGGGCTAAGTTGAGAGTTGTTGTACTTTATTTTATCTACCTGCTTCTGTAAGAGTCATAAGTAGGTAGAAAACTTGTTTTGCAGTGTCATTTATTTATTTGATAATGGCTGGTCTCAGTTCAGAATGATTGTACTTTATTTTATCTGCATGCTAGGGCCATTGTTTAGAGTAATGGTGAAATCTTGGGCTGATAAGCGTAAAAATGCAGGTTCTAGTCTGAGAGTGGCCACTTTGTGCACAAAAGTGCCAAAGGTTAGGTCTCCAGTCCACCCCTCCCTAGACCTCCTATGGTTAGGACTGGGCCGACTGGCATTGGGTAATGGCCCAAGACTAAGAGTCATAAATTGGTTACAAACTTGTTTTGCAGTGTCGTTTCACAGTATGTGGTGGTTTATAACTGAAACCCCATTTTGTAATTCATATGCATTGCTGTTGTCATGGAAAAGACACAATAACAATTGCATTAAACCCAGACTAAGCTGCCCCACATATGCATGTTGACAATTATGATTATTTTCTCAAATCCCTAACAACCATGTTGAGGAACCTTGTTTTAGATTCTTCCATCTATAGCTCTTGTTACTGACAAGCAATATGCATGGAAATATCTAACTCAAGTTTCATTAATGTGGTGCTATTTTTAAAATTGGACAATATTTTGGATGTGGGGACACAAGATACACATTTTGCTTCAATGCTAGAAACTTGATGAGGGGTTGGAGAGTAGGCAGAGGTGAGGCGCCAATCACTCACCTATAGTTTGTTGATGATACAATTCTTTTCTGTGAGGGAGGTGATCTAAGGTGGGTACAAAACTTGAAGATGATTGTACTTGCATTTGAAGAAATGTCGGATCTGAAAATCAATTCTGATAAAAGCTGTATTGTGGGTTTGAATATGGAGGAAAGAGAAATCTTAGAGGGGGCAGAAATTTTGGGATGTATGGTTTCTCAATGGCCTATGAATTATTTGGGTTTACCTTTGAGGGATAATACGAGAGGTAGTAATTTTTGGAACCTTATGATTGAGAGGATCCCCTTAATTAGGTTCACTCTAGCCAATTTACTGTGTTTTTTTTTTTGTTATTGTTTCAGATATCGGAAGGGGTTAGTGTTTCGGATTTCAGATTTCTTGTGGGAGTTAGGGGAGGAAAAAAAGGACCATAGAGTTGGGGAGTGGTTAGAAGAAGCAAAAAGTTTGGTGGGTTAGGATTGGGGAATATTCAGGAAAGGAATGTTGCTTTGCTAGCAATGTGGGCATGGAGGTTGCCAATTGACAGAGACAAGCTGTGGGTAATGGTAATCATTAGCATTCATGGGCTTGCGACTAATGGCTGGGATGTTGGAGTTTTGGCTAGGGCTACAAGATCTCCTCCATGGAAGTCCATTTATGCCATCATACCTTTTTTCTTGCCACATATCAGGTATAGTCCTTGTTTTGGTAATCTTGTAAAATTTTGGGAACATGTTTGGTTTGGCAACTCATCTCTAAAAGAAAAATTCCCTTCCCTTTATGCCATTTCTAACTGGAGGGATGAGCCCATTTCTTCCTTTGTGGTTCCTTCCAATTCAAGGTCAGGGTTTGATTGGGACTTGGGGCTCAGAAGAGGCTTGCATGACTTTGAAATAAGTAGTGCTTTAACCTTGACCCATGGTCTTGAAGGGGTTTTCTTGGATCCCTCAAAAAGAGACATTCGAATTTGGACTCTTTCCCTTATGGGTTCCTTCACGTGTGCTTCTTTTTCTTGTCCCTATTCCCTAATACAACTTGGTGATAATTTGGGTTTGCTTTTTCCGGTAAAAGAGGTTTGGAGTAAGCCAATTCTGCCTAGGATAGGAGGTTTCTACTGGTGCTTATCCCCTCATTGGTATCCTCTTTGTAAGGATAATGGTGAGACTTGCTTTTACTTTTTAATCTCCTGCCCCTTTGTATCTTCAATTTGGCAATGGTTTCTTTCCTTGTTTGGGTGTAGGTGGACCCCCACCAAATGTCCAAAGCTTGTTTGGCCCTACCTTTGTTAGCTGTGGCCAAAGAAGAGGGGAAGAACTTTATGGAGGTGTATAAGAGCGGCAGTGTGTTGGGCAATATGGGAAGAAAGGAATCAAAGGACATTTTCAGAAAAAAAAGAGAGGATTAGGGATCCCTAATCAAAGCTATCACTATTAGAGTGGTCCATTAGGTGAAAATGCTAAAAATCTTTGCGGATATTTCTGTTGTTGGTTTGATGAAAAACTAGAAGGATGTGGCTGATTCTGCCCCTTTCAAGTCTGTCACAAGGCCATCTTGGTCTCTACCAATTAGTGGATTTATTAAGCTGAACTTTGAATCTGGGTCCGTCAGGCTTTGGAGGAGTCTTCAAAAATGATGAAGAACCATTGCTCTCTTTTCAGGTCCAATTGGTGTGAGAGACTTTTTGAGGGATGAAATTCTAGCTGTCATGGAAGGAGTTGAAAAGGCCAAAGAAATGAATATGCACAAACTGATAATTGAAGGGGATTCAAAGCTGGTTATTAGCTGGCTGCAAAAGGAGGAGGCGGCTGGTTGGTGGGACTACATTAATAAAAAAAGAAGGTTTAAGTGGCTGTCACAAGGAGTGGGAGTGAATATGCATTGGGTGAAAAGAGATGCTAATTTCTTTGCTGATGCACTGGCTAAACAAGGGACGGGGAGGAATCAACTATTTTGTGCTATGTTGTAAACATGTGATTCTGTTTTGGGAGAGTTAAGAGAGTTTATCTCTCCCTTCTTTTGTACTTCTTTAATTTTATTTATCTAATCCGTTTCAGTTATTGATAAAAAAAAGATGCACATTCTGCACCCTTAACTTGCTATGATGCTGGGAATATTGGGGTCTGGTTTGGTTCCGGGACTTCAATATTTATTGTTGGGTCGGTTCCGGTTCTACCCTGTCCCGACCCATTGACAGCCCTACCCATATGTACAGTCTGCTTCGTAATCCTTTCAAAAAATTTTCTTCTGTACTGTGTTTATTTTCATAAAGCCTCCTGTTTCTTACTGTCCATGTTGTCCAAGTCTGTTGCAGACACTACTCCTCAGTCCCCATATGATATTTTCTTTTTTGACCCTTAAGCTAATGTGCCATGTGGTAGTTTCCTGGGTCATTTGAACTCTTTCACTAAATGACCTTACTAGCAAAGCAGCTCCCTATAATAATTCCCATAACTCTTCAATATATACACCTTAACTCATCAAATATTTGCATGTATTATATGTCCTTGTGCTTTTCTTTTAAGTATATATATTTTCCATGACTATTCTCTTACATTGATATTATTAGTGCTGAAAATATTATTTTTTTTCTTGATTTCCATTTTTATTCCTGGCACTTGCTCTTTGTTAATGTCCATTTGATCTGTGATCATGTTCTCTTCTGTTTTGGTATTTCAAAAGGAAACAAGTGTTTGTAAAAGGAAGAATATTATGTACAGAAGTGAGAAGACTGATAACAAGAACTGGTTTCTTAAATGGGTTAGCTTTATGAACCTTTTCACATTTTCAAAGTGTTGACAATCATTTTCTTCTATGCAGAAGAGGACATTATCTGACATGTTAGGGCCTCAATGGAGTAGGGAAGAACTCATCCGTTTCTATGAGGCTTACCGCAAGTATGGGAAAGACTGGAAGAAGGTTTCTCATTTTTCATCATCTGGTCTGATGTGATATTTAGCGATAGGATTGATCAAAAAGATATTTAGCGATAGGCTGACTAATCCATTTTTTTAGCTATTATTTTGGTTTGATGGATTTTATTGTAGGCTTGGTAATGGAGATTTTTGAGGAATTCCATATTGACATAAATTAAATATTTGTTTTCTTGGAATCTTCTAGTGATTATTGATTCATAATGATTTGCAGGTGGCTGGTATAGTACGTAATAGATCTGTTGAAATGGTAGAGGCTCTTTACAATATGAATAGGGTAAATATTGTCCTTATTTCTGGCTTAAAAGATGTAGTAGTTTCACTTATAAACTTGAATAGTTTCTCTAGTTTTGTGATGCATTTGAATTTTTGGATGCAGTGACTATTACAGTTGTTATGCTCCATCTTTTCCTGACGTTTGGCATTGTATTATTAAGATATTTTTTTGCAAATTATTTTACTTTTTCTTTCACATGTAGAATCCACTAATGAATTTAAACGATTTCTCGAATTTTTCAATGCTGTTCAATATTTAGGGTGGTAAATTAGTTGGATTTGTTATGTGTGATCTTTTTCTTGTAATGTATAGGCAATGACATACTGAAACAATTTGTAAGTTATTCTTCCCTTTCCTTTTGTCCCTTGATGTGTCATGTAGGCTGTAACTGTACCTGCACTTCTAATATATATTTTATAATTGTGACATCCTTATATTTTATTTTATCTATTTTTTTCTGTTTTTATTTATAAATTTTAGACCATGGAATTCAGCTTAGCTGATGCCAGGCAGGAAGATGTGAAAAACTTCATAACAAAATAAATTTCTAGCTGCCGTTTTTTGATTGCTAACGAGAAGTTAAGTACAGATAAATATGAAGGATATACAAGTAAAGGTGTCCTCTTGCTGTAGTGTAAGACAATATACAGAAATTCATAAACATGCAGTAAATTGATATTGCAATAATTTCAACAACATTTTGCCCATTGTTGTAAAACTGACTTATTAATGATAGTAAGAATATAAAGTATATAGCTTATCATCATTTCTATATAATTTACAAGATGAGAGCGGGGCTACCAGTGCTAATGTGCTATTCATCACATTATTTAAAGAGAAGTCCCGGAAAAACAGTTTTGATCTAAAGGATATCCACCACACATCAGCCTCTGTCTGTTTACCCCTTTACAAGCTGAGGAGTCTAAAAGAGAGTTAAGCAGATTGGAGCCTAAGAAAATACAACTTCCAATCTACGAGTGAAATATCTTCCAATCTATATTTTCTTTACAAAAAAACCAGCCCGTTGCTGTTCTCCCTTCATCTCCAAGGATTAAAAGTGACCCCAACAGAATTTGTTTTAATTTAAATGATAATTTCCCAACTCAAGGACTTTCTGTTTGCTCCTCAAATTATGGAGTTTGCAGATCAGGGTACCCAAAAGCTTCTGCTTCTATATATCATTCTATGGTAATTGTGGAACTATGTTAATGTATTATTTTATAGTAACATTAATATACTTTAAGTTTATGATGCCTTTAAGTTGCCCTATTTGATCAACTGAGGGGTGGCTCAGTTGGTACGTTAGATGGATTGTTCCAGCGGCAATGCGGATTCAAGTCCCACTACCACTGACTTTAGAAGAGAGTTATTAGTGTTGCTGTGCAAATACCAAAAAAAAGTTGTTCTATTTGTTCTTCTATGGTAACATGAATGTACTTTTTTTTGAGATAAAGGTAAAGTATTGTATTAACTTAAATTGTATCACCATTTACAACTATAAGCATATACAGTGAATCACTATACAAAAATAAAGCAGGCAGCAAGGTCATTCTGGCCTGAACATTTCTCAAAGAAAACAACGTTTCAAAGTTATGCATGATGTGAAATGTCTCTGAACTGCTCCTGTGTTGATAAAGAAGAAAGAGTTGTCCCCATCACCCTTCTAATCAGCTCATCATATGAGCAGCTCGTCTTCAAAATCCTTCCAAATGCACCAAGTCACAGCTGCCAATATAGTACTTCATAATTTTCTTCCTCTCCTAATTAAGACCTCTCAACTTCCAATCCTTCAAATGGTCCTAAAGTGATCTTGTCTGGCACCAACTGAAATTTAGGAGTCTGCAGAAATGACTATATAATGAAAATGAATATACTTTCTTAACTTCCGTAATTTGTAAGCTATGTGTAAGGTATTTTTGCGGTTTTAAGTTAAGTTACATTCTTAATGTGTAAATTAGGTATCTACTTGGCTGGTTTTTGGCTCATAAAGTTCATTTATTTAGTTCTTCTGGACTTTCAGGCATACTTATCCCTTCCAGAGGGGACAGCATCTGTAGTTGGATTGATAGCAATGATGACTGATCACTACAATGTTTTGGTGGGTTCTTCGTTCTCAAACATGTTTCTTTGGTTCTGTTGTATATTTCTAATTTTCTTCCTTTTATAAGTTTTATTATATGCATGTGGGTAGTATGCCAAAAGCGTACTTTTCAAGGTGCCAAGGCAAGTCTAGGTGACAGGGGGGCGCCTTGTCGCCTGCCTAGGTGATGGATTTTTTTTTAAGTAAAAACTACATATCCTAGGGTATTTCCCTAGGTTCCATGACCATCTTTCTTTAATAACTATACTTAATTTTCATAAGAAAATTATAAACTTCATGTTTAAGTCTAGAAAATCAACATATTTATGAGAAGAAAAAGAAGAAAGAAAAGAAAAGCCAAAAAATATAGGGCTAAACCTCTACTTTTGTTATAGGAAAAGAAGAAAAGAAAAGGTGGAAGAAGAAATGTGTTGATTAGACAAAATTTTAAGTTATTCCCTTACTTATTGGTTCAGATTTTGAAGTCTTTGAGGGTTCAATAATCAATACAGCAGTTAGCAATGTTTGTGTTGATTAAATGCTAACAAATAAGAAAATAATAAAAATAAATTATTTTATAAACACAAAAAATGAATATTTTTGTTTAATAATGTCTATTTTATAATTATAATCTCAAAAAAATAACAATATAAAAGTATTTTATTACAGTATACAAGACTGCTTGGCGACTGGGCGAGGCGAGCCTCCAAGGGCACCTTGTCACCCAGGCGTCGCCTTGACAACTATGGCTAAAAGTTTTACATTCCTAGTGCTGAATTCTAGTGAATTTGGTTGGTTATTTTGTTTTTTTTCCAAATAAAATAATGGAGAAAAGAAATACCATTGTTCTTTTCTATATCTTCATTAGGTAATCCTGTACTTTCAGAGATTGGTGTAGTTTCAGGATAGTAATGGTGAATCTATGGGTATTGTTAGATCTATAGTGGAGCTGCTGTTCCTAGTTTAAGGTTTCAGAATGTCTGTCTCCATGGTTTTCAAGGGACTAATTGTTGAATGGACTCTCAAATTGAAATAGTTGGGTTAGTGGACTTATCCACAGGCCCTTGGATGTCATGTTATTGGATAATATGGAATTGCCTTGTGTTCTAGATCAGGTCTGCTGATTTGATGGCTCGTTTACTGGGGATGGACCTTTGAGGATTGGTCTTGATGTAGATGGTTTTCATCAATCCTTGACTAAATCTCAGAAGAAGTCCAAGAGAAAAATGGAAAAGACTGTTTTATGGTAAAAGTCCAACTTATGGGCAGAAATCTCTTAATTTCTTCTAATCCAACTATTGAGTTAGCTTGAAATTTGAATATTTTAAAGCTTAAGAAGTGTACAGGAAACCCTGCAAATCTCAAGCTAGTCAGACTACAGGAAGATTAAGGGAGGTTAACATTGCTGGCTGGATTTCTATGATTGTCAACAGTTGGTGAAAATTGAATCAAATATTTGACCAATAGGCCCCAACTAGGGTTGTTCAAGTTTTATGTTAATTGGCTTAGTAGTTACTAGTTAGTGCATTATAATTTGTTTTTTGGTTAGGGGAAAATAAGATCTGTTTTTTTCTTTGTTTTTCAATTAAGGGTATTTTGTGGAGTATAATTGGTAGAGTTTGGTATCTTTTAGTGGTGTCCAATGACCAAGGGTGGTTTAGGTACTTAACATTTCATGTTTTGTAGGGTTTTAGGAGGCTATAAAGTCTACCAACATTGTTCATATGCATTGTTCATCTTATATCATCGAACCGTTTTGGTTTTCAGCAATAAGGGAGTTGAGTTTCATTTATTGTTGTCTCTAGTTGATTGTTGTTGAGAACTGATTTTTCTATTCTAATCTTCTTCTAGTGATCACTGTAGAATTCTTCTTCTTCCACTATTTTTGTGGTAGTTTGCAATTTATGGTTACATTTGTTGGTTCATAGCTCTGGTTAATTTGTTTTTTTTATTATTATTATTATTTTACGTGGATCTAGAGAGGATGTTTGATTACTTAGAGCCTATTGAGGATAGAAAGCAAAGGTTGTGGCTATTCACTTGAAAGGTTATGCTTTGTTATGGTGTCAATAATATCCAAATTCTGAGATTGCATGTAGGTGAGGGGATTAGGAGAAAATTCAGACCTGGACCAAGATAGAAATGGTGGGGTCAACGTTTTCCCCTTAAACTATGAAAAGATGCTATTTCAGCAGTATCATAAAATTATAGTAAGGTTTTAGGACAGTTAGGTGGCAAGTGTGGGGTCACTTTTTTCCTTGATGGCAAGTGTGGTTTGTAGGTATGTTGATAAAAGATACTGTTATCATTGTTGTTTCCTGAATTTGCTGAGTGTTGCATGTAGATGGTATAGTTGTCACTGGTATTCTATTTCAAAAAGGAAGAACATGGTTCTTCAGTAAAGATAAAATTCCGACTTTTTAATTGCCAACTGTACTTTGTTGCTTTTAATTTATCACTTTATCAGTTCTATCCGTTTAAGAACATTTTATGTTTTTACTTGGAACATAATTTCTTCTTCATGATCTTTTATTTTTAATCCTTTACCACCTTTTCCCAGAAGCAATAGTAGAAATTGCAACTGTCTGCACTTTGTTCTTTTTTCTTTTCAACTTTTTTGATACACTAATGACTTAAAAAAGTTGAGACTAGTATTTCCTTTCTGTATGATCCAATTGTGGGATTGATGTAGTTTAGCACATAAATAAAGCATCTGTAGTTTATGCTACATTTACTCTTCTACATGCATTGGGATAGCAATGTAGCTGCTTTTTTTTTTTTTTTTGGGAAAGCCTGAATTTAGAGTCATGACATTGTGAATTGGCAGGAAGGAAATGATAGTGAACGTGAAAGCAATGATGTGTCAGAAACATCTCGAAAGCCTCAAAAGCGTGGTCGGGGAAAAGTTCGAGATAATGTTTCAAAGGGATCAGATAGATATCTTTCAGATTTGTTGCATTCCCAGTCTGCATCAAGTTATGGGTGCTTATCATTATTGAAGAAGAGGCGCTCTGGTGGTAAAAGTCTGAGAATTAAAATAGAGTTCAATCTTCTCAATTTGTTTAAAGAATACATATGCTTATCTGATTTGTGTGTCTGTGTAGAACTTAACCTTTTCTTCTTACTTTTGCATTATAAGTCAGGAAAGATACTTTGTGTTTTTCTTCATATTTGTGGTACTCCTACGTGTTGTATGTGGAATTTGACTTTCAGTTCAGGGAATAAGCTACTTTCCTGCCATGGAAATGGGGAAGGAGGATCAGGACAGAGCCATACAAGGCCTCAATAGTGTTGAAATGTGCGTTAGATGACTTACAGTATTTTAATCATCTTGTACAGTATCAAATTATACAAGGCCTCAATAGAGTTTAGGTGCAACCTAAACTCTTATGTAGTGTTCTTTACTTCTCATTTCTGTTCCTTTTCATCTTCCTAAACCTAATCGCATCAATATACAAACACAAGTTTGTAAGTATCTTGTTTTTTTGGAGCCCAGGAAGGAGTCCTAGTTTTTTTCCCAAAAAATCTGAAAGAAACCAGAGTTTGTAGTTTCTGATTAGTTGATGCTATTTAGGATTCATTCAAATTAGCACTTAGGTATTTTTATTTTCATATAGTTTTCTGAAGCTATAAAACCAAGCAACATCTCATTCTTTGGAGGAAGCAAATGCCCACCTCCTCTCTTTATTTTAGTTTTTTGGGATAATCTCTTGGCTTGTTATTTTCATTTGTTCTGTTCGTTGTTTTTTGATGGAGACAAATGTGTTATTTGGTTTCTGAAAGGGATGGTGTCTTCTATTGTTGATTCCAAGCAAAATTTGGATCCTAGGTTGATTGCCGTTTCGGGTAGGTGTTAAGTCTAGGCAAGGGTGTTATTAAGTCTAAATTCAATTGTAGTCTTGACAAGATGGGCATGATTAATATCTATGCTCAGCTCATGGTGTTCTTTTTCTTTCTTTTCTCTTCTTTTCTTCTATTAAAAATTTAATCAAATCAATCTACAAATGTAAATAATACATTCTCATAAGAGGTTTGGTAAGCCTCTTATGATTTGTGATATGAATCACAACTTGAATCATGAATCCCAAGGGTTTCTATTTAAATCTTATGTCTGAGTCCTTTTTTGAAAAAAATTATGATTTTTGTTTGAATCATATGATTGATCTGTAAATCTTTCGATTTATATGATTCACTGGATTCAAATAAATTCAATTAAGAATTAGTTCTATACTTTTGTCATTTTTTGTTTATATTTAGTTTTGTCGAGGTATACTTATTTTAAAGGCCTTACTAGAAAATGATTTATTTACATTTTTTAAGATCAGACACTGAGTTTATTTTCCATCATTTGTAGGTTAAAGGGTTATTGTATTTAGGTTATTTGTTTTTCAAGTCAAACTTGATTATACCATCTTAGGTTTCTGCTGTACAAGTGGTTTTACGTACATATATGTTAGATATGGTTTAGAAATAGGGTAAAATCACTTTATATATTATCTTTTTAGTATATCTATATCTAATTTTTTGCTAGTTTGTAACAAATAGAAATAATCTTACGATTTACGATATGGTTCATGATTCGATTCAGTCCAACTTTCTCTACAATTTGCAATACGACTACGGTTTTGATAACATTGACTAGAACCATCTAAACTAGGTTCTTTTCCCAATGGATTCTACAGTTTTCACATTAAAGGGCAAAAATGTGCATAAGCTGTCCATATTATTACAAGATGAGGGTAAAAGATTTTGGGTTCATGAATTTACTATGCTCCCATTTATACAAAGGAAATCTTTTATCTTGAAAGGGGATATTTTTTTGCTTCCTCTCCCAATGTGGGATTCTAAAATTATGCCTTTAAATAGAAAAATGAAATAATAAAATGTATGTTCTCTATTGTCACACACATCATCATATACATTTTTTCTCTCCTCTCTCTCTGCTCCTAAGCCTCCAATCCCCATGCATTAGCCACCTGTCACTACTCACCATACTTGAAAATAAATGATTGTATTTATGTAGAGAATTCTATAAAGTTGACCTTATAAACTAAAGATATTACAAGGCTGCCCCATATGATGCTATTAGCCTACTATTATGCAGAAATATATGATCTACTATAAAATAAGAAATGATTTGAGCTCCCATAATTTAATGATGGATATGGCACTGAACAGAATGGAATGGTGAAACAAGATTCATGAAGCTATCCCCTTGTAATAAGAAAAGTGATCTGTTACAAGTTGAAGGGGCAAGAAGAGCAAGAGGCATACTGAAGAGGATTTGGGTGGAAGTAATAAGAAATGGTTTAAGTGCCCATAATTTAACAATGGATATGACACAAAACAGATATGAATGGTGAAACAGTAGCTGACCCCTTGGGGCTTGGGAGAAGGCCCAATTGGTGTTGGGGACTCACTGTTTGCAGAAATTGTGGCTTTGATGGAAGGTGTGAAAAAGGCTCAGGGACTAAATGTTAACAGGCTGATCATTGAAAGAGACTCTAAAGTGGTAATAGGTTGGTTGGGGAAGGAAGGTGATGGATTGTGGACATACATTAATGAACGGAGACACTTCACTTGGCTAACTCAGGGTATGGAAGTGCTGAGGTGAGAGTGCAATTGGTAAAACGATGTGCCAATTCATTTGCAGATGCACTTGCTAAACAAGGGGTGGGAAGGAATCAGTTACTTTGGGCTACCTTGTTATGTTGTATCTACTTGGGGGAGAGTTAAGAGTTTACCTCCCCCCATCATTGTAATTGGTTATTTCCTTTAATGAAATTTTCTGTTGTTGATAAAAAATGATTTTCAGTTATTTATCAAAAAAAAATGACGATGATATTGTATTAGAACTATACATGCTCATATATGTTATATATGTATGTGTATGTATATTGTATCATATAGCACTCTCCAACTACGTTCTTGATTCTAAAACTTCGGGGCTTTTCTAAATTGCGGCTCCAGTGGTTTGATCCCATTCTATGCTTCTGATCCACCACACAATCTGGTGACTTGGAAATGTACATACCCATTAAACACCTAATATTAAGAGTTGATATTCTATAATAATTTAAATAGCTGTAGCAAAGAAGAAGTCAATGATTAATTGCAAGTCTTGGTTCAATTATCATACGCTTCTTGGTTCATTTCCTTTATGTCAGCTCAAGGTGATGGCGAAATTTATCAAATTTCATATAGCTTTATTCTTATTATTTTCAAAACAATAATGGTTGAATATAGGAATTTGAGGCTTAACATTTGCAGCTTTTGCTCTTTAATCTTTTGTAGGTAGTCGACCTTGGGCTGTTGGTAAGAGGACACCTCGCTTCCCTGTTTCACATTCATATGATAAAGATGACAGGGAAAAGCATGTCTCATCAAATAAACGAGGCATGAAACCAGAGATTGATGCTAATGACGATGAAGTTGCCCATGAGGTAGCATTAGCATTGGCAGAGGCTTCACAAAGAGGAGGTTCTCCTCAAGTTTCTCAAACACCAAATAGAAGAGAGTCCATGAGGCCTTCGCCTGTTCAGAATGGTGAAAGGATGGTAACTAGTTACATTTACTGTTTGTTATGTTGATTTTTATGTTAGTATTATTAAATGATGAACTTAATGATATAAAACTTGTCCATGGATCTTAGCATGCCGAGTCAGAGATGGCTAGTGCAAGACTTACTGGTACTGGAATGGATGAAGATGGTTTGGAAGATAGTTTAGGAAGCAAGGAAGCAGAGAATGGAGATTTTTCTAGGGATACAGGTAATCAGATAGATGCAGAAGGTGCTGGTACAATTGAAGTTCAATGGCAACAGAAGAAATTTCATGGAAGGAAGCTGAAAGTTGAAGAAGTTGAGACCAATCATTTTGATGATATTAGGGAAGCATGTAGTGGTACTGAAGAAGGAATTAGTTTGGGTACTGTCAAAGGGAGGGCTGAAACTGAAGTTACAGATGCTAAGATCCAGAGGTCCTCTCCTCAGCGTCCAAGAAAAAGAAGCAGACAACTTTTCTTTGGAGGTATAATAATTCCTTTTAGGCTTCTATGTTCTTTATGCAGCTTATATTATTGAATGTTTCTAAATGTTCAAGATGTGCTCCTGCTAGTATTAGCTTTCCATTTTGTCTGGTTATTAGATGTTACTTAGAAACCATTGTGGTTTGTGTAGAAAAGCACAAAAAGTTTATTTAAGGAAAGTTTTGATTTTGTTATCTGCTTTGAAGAATTCTTTTGGAACTTAATTTGACTAAGCCATTGTCACAGCCATTTGAAATTACCAGGATATTTTCAATGCTTGATGGACCCTAAAGAAAGGAACATGGCTTCTAGAAATTCTGGACAAGTAATGAAGAAGATGATAAAAAATCTTGACAACTAACATACCACAAAGTTGCCAACAAATGCGGTCTTGGCAAGCAACACCAGTTAAATTAGTACCCTTAAATGGGAAGTTCATTTAAAGAATTCTGAAAAGCGAAATCAGAAATACAAAAAGTGTCTTGGTGAGCAAGATCAATTGGACTAGCATCAGGAAAACTCAAATTTTATTTATTAGTATCCACCTCCTTGCAGCAGAAATCCCCTTGTCTTTGAACTTGTACACTGACCTTTTATATTCTACTTACAACTAAATTTCTTATTGACTGTCAGTTAATTTTCAATTTTATTTCTGTACTGGCTGCAGGGGTATTTTCATCTTTTTCCTTGAAGTTATATGCCTCTGAGTGCTCTTCTCCTCTTTTCATATTAAATACTTTCTACTTTTTCTATTTTCTTCTGTTTTTTTTTTTTCTCTTGAATCAAATTTGTTTTTTTTTTTACTCACAAATAACAAGATGGTATCAAAGCTAGAAGAAGGAAAATGACTCTAATGATGATAAAGATGTTGATAACAATAAGACCTGAACTGTTACATTCTTTTGGTGTTTTATTCTTCCTCGTGATATTGTTTTTGGTCAGCTTTTATTTGGTTCTTGTTTGGTTTCTTTTGTTTGTCCAATCTCCCCCTTGTGAGTTTTGTTAGTTTGATTTTCTTATTCTAAATCTTTGCCTCCTCTAGTATTTTAATATAAATAGCAAGTTGTGATTTTACTATAAATTGTAAGTGTATACTATGAATGGTAATTTTGTTTTCCTGAAATAGTAATCATGTGTCATCCTTAAATTACCTGATCTTTAGAAGTTATTTTTTTGGATAACTTTTTAGATTTTGATGCCTAGGATGGTGTCCTAGCGATTTTGACTAATATTCCAAGGACAATTATGGATCTTCTTCAATTTTAATCATGGTCATCCATTGCCCAATTTTTTTAATTATAAAAAAATTTTAATCGTGGTCATTGGAGATTGTTTTCTCGATGGTGCTTTGACATTGTTTGGTAACTTGAAGTAGGGAGTGATAAAGATATTTTCTATGAAGTAGGGAGCAAGTGCCTACCTCTTCTCTCTCTATTTTAGTGCCAACTTATATTAGGGATATCTTTGCAGTGGTTTGTGGTTTTAATTCCTGGTTTCTCAGCTAGTAAGTGGTGGAGATATTATCTATTCATACACTGCCTGGTTCTAGATGATTTTTTGGAGAATGAATTAAAGGTTTGTTAGTTTTGAGAAAGGAATCTTGAAACTTTGTCCAAAAATCATTGAGAACCAGAGAGAATTCCTGGGTGAGCCCATGCCAGTTTGGACCAGTAAATTACAAGGAGACTTGAAGAGATTGCCTGGTTCTTGATGAATTTCGGACTTCCTATAGGGGCAGTTTTTCTGTCCAAGGAAGATTCTTGCAGTTCTTCCTAAAATTTAAGAAGAATTAGAGAACCTAGTTCAACTTATAGGTGATCAATTGAACCCTTTCTGTAGTGGCACTTTGACTTTGGAGGATTGCTTATAACCTAATTAAGAGGGTGGCTGTGTTAGAGAAGTGATCTAGAGACTTTGGAGTGAGCTACTCACTTTACTCTCTTTTTTCCTGGTGATTAGGGGTGTCAATGGTATTCAAAAATCCGATTTCGAATTCGAGATTTGATGTAATCGAATTGAATTCGGATAATTCGAATATTGTACTCGGTCGGATTTGGATATCCTATTCATTTCGATTAGCTAATCGGATTCAAATTCAGATATGGCTTGATTCTATTCGATAAGTATCCGAATTCGCCCGATTATTTAATTCTTATATTTAATATATAAAACATTTAAATGTTTTATATAATTTATTTATAATAATTAAATTATATAAATAATTTTTATATTTATATAAATGAAATATTTATTAATTACCTAAAATAATTAACTGGTCGAACATGAAATGAATCGAATATTCGAATATTTAATCCAATTCGAATATTAATTTTCAATACCTGTCAGGTATCGATTTTTCTAATTGGATTCAAATTCAGATATTGCCTGATTTGATTCGAATTCGATCTGTTTACACCCCTACTTGTGATGCTAGTAGTGATTTCTACCCTAAAATCAATCTTGGGTAGGAACCTTTTTTACAAACATCCTAGTGAAATTGTTTTTGATATTTTTGGAAGACAAGGTTGGTTATTTGTGGAGTTGTGGAATCTACAAAGAATGACTATAAGCTTGGTGCAGAAGCAGGGATGGTTTCTAGTGGTGTTGGGGGGAGCCCTAACATATGGGTGTGGTGAAGGAACTAGATCCTACAGACACTATACATGCTAAAAGGGTCCTGGAGAATTTCATGAGTGTATCTTGGTTCTTTGGCTTTATGCTTCTACACATTAGTAGGAATATGTTGTGATGTACAGGGTGATGCATGTTGTTGACCTGATCAATTGTTTTAGGTACCAAGTTTCTTTGTACCTTGTGCCTATCAAAAAATGTTTCTTCGTACCATGCATGTGTTTAATAGAATTCCTGAAAAAGATATATATTTTTTTAAGGCAGATATGAGTCTTTGTTTTGGGTCATTTATTTATTTTTGTTTGTTATTATATTATTGCATTATTTCTTTCTAGGCAAGCTAGCTGGTGGTAGCTTGAGGGAGAGTGTTGACTATCATACTTATTTTTTCGTTTTATTGCTGTTTTAGTGTTGACTATCATAGTTATTATATTATTGCATTATCTATCTATCTATATGAATGTTGTTCTTGTCCTTATCTTCTACTTCTCATATCAGTTACTTCCTAGTTTTTCTCTTCTTGAATCAAATCTGATTCGTTACTCCCAAACAACAAGACTTCTTATTTCTTATTTAATTTTTTGATGGATGACATTAGAAATTTTGTAACACTAAGAAAAAAGTCCAGTAATGTTATCACATCTTCTTTTAGGTTATAACACAGTGAAATCTCCAAGATAAGCCCATAGATATATCAACATGAGGGAATGTAAACATATCAGTTTTGTAGTTGTATTTCAAAGTAATATAATATGGTGAATTGATTTGAAACAATTGGAACGTAGCAGTAAGAAAAAAGACCAGTAAAGTTGTCACATCTTCTTATAACACAATGAAAGCTCCAAGATAAGCCCATATATATGCCAAAATGAGGGAATGTAAAGTTGTAAACATATCAGTTTTGTAGCTGTATTTCAAAGTAACATAATATGTTCAGTTGATTTGAAACAATTGGAATGTAGTATGACTAACCTTGATTGTCTCATTCCTGTCCTGACATGAAACCTCCAATTATGGTTACAGTTCCTGCAGACTAAATTATATGGTTATGTGATGGATGAACCTCCTTATGGACAAAGAATCGGTGATATAAGTATGTAGATTTCGTTAGGACAAGTTTGTCGTGTGTTGGCCTTTAGTCTTGTTCATGACCTAAGGTGTTCTAAGAAGTTCTATCTTTATTGATGTTGCATTCGTTGAAGTTCCTACCAACTTGAATGTTTGGGCTTCTGAGGTGGATGATGGATTATGAGTGTACCTCATTGTTGGAGTGATACCCAAATTGGTAATGATTTGCATATGTTATCCTTCAATGTTTTGTTCTCTCTGGTACCGAGATTAGCCAACATTAGATGGTCACACGTTTTAGATAGGGTGTGCTTAGAAGCGATAATTCAATTGTCCTGATATATCAATGTGATTGCTGATATTCTTTATGTGCCTGTTCTTAGGTTTTCTTCTTAAATTTCCTCCTATTTTTTTGATCAATTGGGTTTTTCTTCTTCTGATAAAATTTCCTTTCTGTATACTATAAAATGCATTTTTGATGGTGATTATGTTTGTTTTTCTTATATAAAAATTTACTAGCAATGCAATTTTACGATGTGAAGCTTTTAGTAATCTTTTTGTTGATAAACAATACTATCCCTTTTTTTTGTGTTCCATTCCATTCATTCTAATATTGCGAGTATTTAGAATTAATGCCATTCTCAGTATTCTTATTCTCTATTCCTGCCTTACTTTTTGATAGATGAAAGCTCAGCCTTGGATGCTCTGCAAACTTTGGCAGATTTGTCTTTGATGATGCCATCATCTACAATTGAAAATGGTAAACAATTTCTGCTTCTATTATTTAATATCTTAAAGTAGTCTTTTCGGACATGTTATTGACTTTGTTATTTATATGAGAGTGTAGCTGTTTAGGAAGACATTGTGCAATGTTGGAAATGACAAAAGATGCTTCTTGTGCAAAAGGCATCTTTTGCCCCTTATCCTGCTGAAAGAATAAGAAAAAGCTATGCAATGTTTCACAAATGGAGAATTGAGAGAGTGGTTATTAGACTGGTTCAAGAAACTGCACCATTGCGCCAGAATGGATTTCCTTTCTTATTGGCCTAACATTCTTGCATGTAAAAAAGCTAAAATTATGTGGACTGTTATTCCTAGATTTAGGGGCAAGTTTCTGTTGTCTTTGGGGTTGGGCATTGGGGGTGATTGAATTGTACTAATAATGGACTTTTTCCATTGTTAGTGAACTTGTTCCATCTCCTGTGCCATTCTACCCTGATAGAAAGTTGCATAGGATGTTAATCAAATTTGAATTTTTGCATTATTGTTGTTTTTTTTATAGTAAAGGAAAAAATTTTAAAATAAAAAGGAGGATATGAGATCAGGTAATAAAGAAATGACCTGGGAAAAGGAAGAAAATAAAAGGTAATAACAATCACTCCAAACAAAAGAGCACACTTTCCTTCTAAACCAGACCCTGTTAGTACAAGTCATCAAAACACGCAAATGTGAATACCCCTAATTTCTAGAGTAAACAGCACCCAACAGATTGTATGAAAAATGAATACAAAGGAAGCATGACAACCACAATTCTACAAGAAGGTATGAAGGTACAAAAACGGAAATTCAGAAAATTGACTCCAAAAGATACAATTCATATACTCCATCGACATCAACAAGGAGCATCAATAAGCACTTTCTTATGACAAACTTCTCAAGTTGCTGTGAATTAAGCATCTCACCATCATCCAAACCATATAGGATATAATTAGAGAAGCATTACAGGTGATTAGTGAACAGACCTATTTTGTATTGGGGGATCATCTCCTATGAAGGATGAATGGTAGGTAGAGACTTAGAGTGTCTGAAATTGGGATTAGGTAGCTTGATCTAGCATGTCACATGAAAAGAGGTGCTTGGGACATTTTTTTGTTGTAATTAATTTTTTTTTTTTTTTTTTACATATCAATATTGTTTCTATTTGAAAGATAGTATAATTGGATGGCTGGGTGTCTGTGTGTATGAGTTCTAGGAGATTTGTTTTTGGCTAGAGAGGTTTAAGGCAGGGGGACCCACTCCCTCTCTTCTTGTCCCCATAGTAGCAGATGTACTTAGCAGGTTAATAGCTAGGGTGGATAGGTGCAATTTCTTTATAATGTAGGGTGGGTAGGCAAAGAGTAGTTATTACACATTTACCGTTTGCATTTGATATAATGTTGTTATGTGGTGGAAGTTGTGAGTAACCTTAGATTGGTGATTAGTCTATATGAGAGTGCCAAATTTGGGAGTCAATTGAAGAGTTATTATTTTTGGTTGGGATAAACATGGTGGAGTCTTTAAAAAGATTTTCTAGGAAGTTAGCTATGTGGATTAGTTGGGAAGAGATACCTTGATCATGTCCCTGACTAATTTGCCTATTTAGTTTCTACAAACTGGGTCCCTGTGCAAGTTGTTAGGAAGATTGAGAAAGTTATGAGAGATTACTTTGCGAATTGGGAATACAAAAAGGAACATTTGGTGAAGTGGGTGGTAGTGAGGTAATGAGTAAGAGCAGAGAACACGGAGGACTAAGGCTTGGGAACTTGGCTTTTTAGAAATGTAGCACTATTGGTATTGGTCAAATGGCTGGTGGAGGCTACCTCTTGAATAGGATAGGTTGTGGCATAAGGTAATTGTGAGTATTCACGGGATGGTGGATAACAGTTGGGATGTTAACTTGTCTCCTAGGGTCACTTTGGCCTCCCCTTGGAAAGTTATATATAGTATCTTGCCTACCTCTTTGAGTTCCATTAGCAAAATCTTGTTTTGGGAAACCTTTAGCTGGCTGAGTCCTTATTTAAGGATCGTTCCCTAGTCTTTAAGTTGAAAATCCCACCTGCAATAATCTGAAATAAAAGAAAAAGAAAACAAGAGAGAAGAAGATTGAAGGAGATGGAAGAAAGGGAAGGAGGAGAGAGAGTAGTTTGATCCTCTCTTCAGCCACCCAATAATAGACAATTACATGGTTACCCTTAGTAGGGTGGCCAGCACTAGAGACAATAATAAAAGGGGGAAAACGGCTCATAACTAAGGCCCACTACTAACAAACATAAGTCATAAACATAACTTAAAGAAACTAAGGCTCATTTGGCCCATCATCTCTACACTTTATTCCCTTTCCTCCTACAAGTTGACCTATTTCTGAGCCTTGCATGCCCATCTTGTCTGGGGTGATTTAGTGATTAGGGATTTTGGATTTAGAAGAGGCCTTAGGGATGGGGAACTTGCTTCAATGATTTTTATTGATATCTTGATGGAGTATCACTCTCTCTTGCTTGGACAGCCTGTCCATTAGGTCTTTTTTACATGTGCTTTCTTTTTCTATGTTCTCTTACCTTCCCACAACCTTGCTTCTCTCTTTCCGTTGAAAGAAGTTTGGAGTAGATCATTGCCTCCCAAAGGGTTTTTTGTTGTTTAGTGTTACTTGAGAAAATAAACACTTGTGACATGCTTCTAAAGAGAAGAGTGATTTGGTGCCTCCTCATATTAAGTATCCTTTGCAATGCAATGGGTGAATACCTCATCAAGATGTTGCTAGTTTCTTCAGGAGAGTGATAGCAGAATCTTCAACTTTCAGACCTATAACCCAAGAGCAATGGGTTCCACCAAATAGCATCATGGTTAAGTTAACCATTGGAAGCTCACTTGGTAATCCAGAGCGCTCTGGAATTGGGTGAGTATTTAGCAATAATAAGGGTGTTATGTTGTCATTGTATTTAGGATCAATTGGCTATGGTGACTCATTGAAGGCAGAGGTGATAGCAGTATTGCAAGATTTGAGACTAGGTAAGCAACGGAATTTCAGAATGATTGAAGTAGAAGGAGACTCCAAATTCCTGGTGAGCTGATTAAACAATAATGGTAAAGGAGTTTGGGTCTATAGACAATCTATGATGGGAAATTATATGGCTAGCAAGGGAAAAAAAAGATGAGTGAAGTCGAAAGACTTAGGTGTGGTGTGGATTATGAAAGAGGAGGCACAGGAAGGAAGGAGAGAAAGCTGGGTTAAATTAAGTTGAGTCATTTGGGCCTTTTTGCTTAGTTTTCCATGAAGATAATCAGTTGGAATGTGAGGGGATTGGGGAGTTCAAGAAAAAGAAGTGCAATTAGGGAAGTCCTTAGGAAAGAGAAACCGACCATTTTCTTAATTCAAGAGTCAAAGCTGACAGAGGTGGATAGAAGATGGGTGAGGAGTGTTTGGTCAGCTAGAGGGTTAAGTTGGGCGTTTACACAATCATGGGGAGCATCAGGAGGCATCATTACAATATGGAAGAATGAAGAGATGGATTGTACTGAAGAACTAATTGGCAATTTTCCAGTAACAATCAAATTGAGAAGGAAAGAGGATGGTTTTGAGAGGAACTTAACCAATGTCTATGGACCTAACTTGTATAGGGAGAGGGATGATTTTTGGGATGAGCTTGCAGCCATTAGGGGTCTTTGTAATGGACTGTGGTGTTTGGGGGGGTGATTTCAATGTCATAAGATTCCTAAATGAGGCTACCAATCCAAACCATAGGGTCGTCTCTAGCATGAGAAAGTTCATCCTTTTTGTGGACTCATATGGACTGAGAGAGCTACCTTTGTTGCAAGCAAACTTCACTTGGTCCAATTTCCAAGAAGAACCCTTATGTTGTTAATTAGATAGATTCTTATTCTCTTCAGACCATTGTCCAGTTAGGTTATCCCAAGAAAACTTGGGAGGGGGGTCATGTCCTTTCCGGTTTGAGAACATGTGGTTGCTCCATCCTGATTTTATAAAAAAGGTTTAACTATGGTGGGAAGAAGACCAAGTGGAATTCAGGTGGAAAGGGTACAAGTTTTAAAAGAAGCTACATGCCTTGAAAGCTAGAATCAAAGCTTGGAATAAGGAGGAATTTGGAAGAGTGGAAGAAAGAAAAGAGTGGATTGTCAATAGGATTCAAGAAATTGATGGAGGTGCGGCAGAGAGGAGATTGATAGCAGGAGAGAGGGAAGAGCGTTGGAAGCTGAAACAGGAGTTGCAGAAAATCATAAGGAAGGAGGAGATAAGTTGGAGACAAAAATCTAGGTGTAAAAATCTATCTAGGTGTAAGTGGTTGAAGGAGGGAGATGGGAATACCAAATTTTTTCATACCTTAGCAAATGGTAGGAAGAGGAAATTTTGTGGGGAGGCTGGAATGGAATGGGGAAGTGATTACAAGTGAGGAGGAGATAACAAGAGCCTTTGTGGAGCATTTCAAATCCATTTATGACAATCCAAGAAGAGAAAGAGAAGAAATTCCTGACCTTGATTGTCTCCTAGGGAATAGGGTTTTGATGGATCAGCTAGAAAAGAATTTTGAAGTCCAAGATGTAAAAGATGCTATTTTTTCAATGGAAAGATCTAAAGTCCCAGGCCTAGATGGTTTCACGGTGGCCTTTTACCAAGATTGCTGGGATATTATTGGTGGTGATTTAATGGAGGTCTTCTTGGAATTCTTTGAGAGAGGCAAGATAAATTTGGGTGCCAATGCTACTTTCATAGCTCTGATTCCTACAAAGGTAAATGCAAACCACCCAAAGGATTTTAGGCCCATAAGCCTAATTGGTAGTATGTATAAGGTAATCTCAAAGGTCTTGGTAGAAAGAACCAAAAAGGTACTACCATCCTTGATTTCTCCGAACCAAGGGGCATTTATGTCAGGAAGACAAATTATTGATCAGATCCTTATTGCCAATGAATGTGTGGATTACAAAAAAAGACAAGGAGAAAAGGGCCTGATTTGCAAACTGGAYTTGGAGAAGGCCTATGATTTGGTGGACTGGGGTTTTTTACTGGAAGTATTGAGAATTAGAGGATTTGGAGAAAGGTGGTGCATGTGGGTTAAGGGTTGTATCTCTTCATGCCATTGCTCCATTCTAGTGAATGGGGTAGCCAAGGATTTCTTCCCAGCAAAGAGAGGTTTAAGACAAGGGGACCCTCTTTCTCCTTTTCTTTTCACCCTGATAATTGATGTGTTGAGTGTCCATATTACTAAGAGCCAATGCTAGAAATTTGCTTAGAGGGTGGAGAGTAGGGAGGGAGGAAATAGTTGCAACCCACCTTCAATTTGCTGATGACTTGATTCTTTTTTGTGAAGGAGATCCATAGGAGTTGGAAAATTTAAAGATCTTGGTAGAGAATTTTGAAAAGGTCTCCAACTTAAGATTAAATTGGAATAAAAGTTGTGTAGCTGGAATTAATAGGCAAGAAGTAGAGGTGGCATCTTTGGCTAGATCTCTAGGTTGTGAGGTAAGTGATTGGCTTCTCAAGTATTTAGGCTTACCTTTGGGAGGAAACCTGAGGTCAGTTAGCTTTTGGTACCCAGTTTTGGAAAGATTCTCAAAAAGACTAGCGGGTTGGAAAAGGAACTACATCTCTTTAGGGGGTAGAATCACTCTAATTAAGTCAGCACTAGCAAATTTGCCAGTGTATTTTTTGTCTACCTTCAAATTGCCTGTTAAGATTGCAAACCAGGTTGAAAAAATAATGAGAGATTTTCTGTGGGAACCTGGAGATACTAAAAAGGATCATAGGGTAAAATGGGAAGTGGTGTCTAGAAAGAAAGACAAAGGGGGCTTAGGGATTGGAAATATTAGAATAAGAAATGCAGCTTTGTTAGGCAAATGGCTATGGAGGTTTCCTAAGGAGCAAGAGAGTCTATGGCATAAGGTTATAAGAAGTATTCATGGAATGAGACGTTGGACTCGACCTAAGGGCTTCACGCTTTTCCCCGTGGAAAGATATTGTTGGTATCTTTTCTATCTTCTTTCTTTTCATCAGGTACGATGCTTGTGTGGGTAATAAGATTCTTTTTTGGGAGGACTTGTGGATTGGGGAATTTCCCCTTAAGGATAGATTCCTGAACCTATATTCCCTTTATTTGAAAAAATCTCAATTTATCTCTTCTTTTCGTGTTTCTGGGGATTCTTGGGATCCTTGGGATCTAGGACTAAGGAGAGGTTTGAGGGACTCATAAGTGGATTCGGCAAATGATATTTTTTCTCTTCTAAGTTCAGTTTTTCTAGACCACTCTTCTCCTGATAGTAGAATTTGGACTGAAACTTCTACAGGTAGTTTTTCTTGTTCTTCGTTTTTCAATGCTTTGGTCCTTCCTTCTAACCTTGTATCTTCCTTTCCTGTTAAAGAAGTATGGAGCACTCCGGTCCCCTTGAAAGTAAGGGTTTTTTGTTGGGAAGTGGTTCTCCAAAAAATCAATACCTTGGAAGTGCTTTAAAGAAAGAGACCAAGTTGGTGCTTGTCACCTCATGTCTGTAGCCTTTGCTTGAGGAATGGTGAGGCGGTGAATCACCTATTAATTTCTTGTCCTTTTAGTGCTCTAATTTGGGATTGGTTCTCCTCTCTCTTTGATTGTAGGTGGACTCCTCCCACAAGCGTAGCGGATTTATTTGACCCTACCTTTTTCCGACAACCAAAGAAGAAAGGAAGGGTGATGTGGAGAACAATGAGGGCAGCTATCTTGTGGGCAGTGTGGGAAGAGAGAAATAATAGGATTTTCCAAGGGAAAGAAAAATCAGCTCCTGAAGTTATTGAAGGGATCACCATCAAGGCAGTACATTGACTGAAAACTCTTGAACTGTTCAAGGATGTCTCTATAGATGATTTGTTTAGAGGCTGGAGTATTTTAGCAAGGTCTTCTACTTCATCACCTACAATACAAGCAGTTTGGTCCCCTCCTATGCAGTGTAATGTCAAACTGAACTTTGATGGCTGCTCTATTGGGAACCCCAGACCTTCTGGAATAGGGGGTGTGTTTAGAGATGTGGAAGGAAAAATCCTAGCTTTGTATTCTGGTCCAATAGGTTTGGGGGACTCACTTAGAGCTGAAGTATTGGCTCTCCTCCAGGGGCTCAGATGGGCCAAGCAATTGGGTTTTCAACAGTTAGAAGTGGAGGGGGATTCCAAATTAGTAGTAGGTTGGCTGCAATCAAATAGTTTGGGAACGTGGTCCCTTAGACAACATGTAAGGGAATTATTGAGCCTCACAAGGGAGCTGGGTGCACAAGTGTATTGGTCTAGGAGGTCAGCAAATGCTTTAGCTCACAACCTAGCAAAACAAGGGGTGAATCGGGAGGTTTTGTTTTGTGCAGTATTATAAGTTATTTGTTATTCAGGGGTCACCTTTTACTTTAGAAGGTGACAATTGTTCCTCTGGTTTTATCTAATGAAAGTTACCGTTTCCTATAAAAAAAATAGCATTGCCGATTATTTAACCAAACAAGGGATCCAATCAAGAGGGAGCAACTTTGCTGGGCTTCAATGTAATATACGATGTAAAGGGATGCTTGGCATAAATATTTTTCTTTAATTGAAATTATGTGTTAAAGTTACCATGAAGAAAAATTCACCAAAACAATTTCCAGCTTCACTTCTATCATGATAAATTTCTCTACCTGTCCTTTAGCAAAAATCACAGCCCTCAAAAACTCTATAAATCTCAACCCCTTTCCATCCAAGGTGACCGTATCTATATCACCAAATTCTTGTTATAATCCAAATTCTAATTCTTTCTTTTAATTCCAAAAGTTTTTTTATAGCAATTTCTTCACCATCTAAAAAGAACCAACCTAGCTTCTTCAAACTGGGAACTCTTTCAATGACCATACCTTTTTATCCAATTAACTTCATCTAATGTGATGATGCCATCAAAATCTTTTTGGTCCATTGCTACCTCGACTTCTACATCCACATTACCAACAAGATTCTTCTTGGAATCTCAAAGGGCAGTTTAGTTCTGTAGTTTTTGTTCTGAATAGAAGGGCCAAGAACAGAATTCAGGGTGGAATCATCTGAGGACATTATAAGTTAAAATGCAAGAATCTTTATATTCATTGCTACTATGAAATTTCAGAAATAAAAACCTGATTTGCTGCTTTATTTGCAATTCCAGAACCACATGTGAAATTCAAGAAAGAAAAGAGAGCATTGGATGTTGAGAAATCTAGTGCACCTGAAGCTATGCCCCTGAAGGAGCAAAGAGACAAATCCAAAATGTCAGCAACTAAAGAGAAAGGACATCAGTCAGTAGCTGCTGTTGGAGTCGTTGGTGCAAAAAGTGCTAAACTGGGAAGAGATTCAGCTGTTGATGATAGTGTTGTTACAGAAACAAAGCAGCGTCCTTTCCAGTCTAGTCCTAAAATGAGAAATAGAAAAAGAAAGTCCTTGGCAACAAAAGTAAGAATTGATTTGGTTTCTTTCAATTGTGCATATTCTTAGGTCTATCTTCTCTCTTGGCCTGCTGTCCACATTTTTGGTCTGCATGGAGTTTTTCTTTAATGACTTTTCTCTGTTATTTATAAAAAATATTCTTAGGTCTCTCATATAATTTATGGTGTTTTTTATAAACCTGCCTTATTGATTTTCTAGTTGCAGAGTCCAAAATCAGAAGGTCACAGTGATTCATATCCCAGTGAGCTTCAGAAGACTGAGGTATGCAATTCTTTTTTCTGGTTGGATTATGATGCTGGAATTTATTGTTTTGCTTGCTGAGCAAGCCTTACTGTAGGTATTTCTACAATTTTATTGATCTCCTGCCTAGCTAAAGCATCCGCTAAGCTATTGGCTGACCTTTTGGTCCAAATAAAATATTCCCCCACTTCCCTAGTCAACTGTTAACGTTTCTCTCATGATGTGCCTGTATGTCCAGGAGGCATTTTGTAAATTTCAATCCAGCCTGCTGCAACCCTTGAATTCCCTTCCACCAATAAATCTCTCTCTATAACCAAATGTGTTTGCCTATCTCTACCTTTTTGAGACAGCCAACAATTCTGTCCTTACCGAACTCCCAGCCTATAGGTCTGGATAAGATGGCCATAGCAATTCCTTGACTGTTTTTAAAAACTCCTATGCCTGACAGTCTTGGACAACAACCGTCAAAGTTTAAGCTAATGAAGTGAGATACTGGTGGGAGCCAAGAGCCTCTGTCTGTCCAATTTTGGCATCTAGAACTTGTCATGTGGAAGTGTAGTAGCCAGGGAATTTGAAAATGAGGTTTTACTGAATACTGTCTTGAAAATTAATCCTTTTATATGCTACCGATCATTGGTTAGAGGAATATCTTTGCTGAAGAAGCTACTAAACCTAGATCCTGAATAACATAAGCATGGCCTTGGTTTTAAATCTTGGAAAATTTGGCCATTTGAACCCTAAATTTGAAACCTTTTTTTTTTATAAGTTTTAGAATGTTGGATCTTATTTTATTATTTTCTATTATTTTATTAACATCTTGGATACATTTAGTTTTGTATTATTTATTTTTTATTAATTTTATTTTTATACAAAATTTGGAAAACTGAGTTCAGTGAAAGTTAACTTATAGTTTGTTTTGTTTACTATATCTGGAACTGAAATTTAGTGAAATTATACTCCCTCTCTTTGACCCTACCGTGATCGGACATTATCACTGTCAAAGCTGGGGGGGGGGTGTTACTCACAAAGGGCTCTTCCCCTCTACACCATTCTCTCTTGTGATTTTTTTCCTGTTTAACTTGTCATTTTTGTGGATTTCTGGAGTATTATGTTTTTTATGGTCTTTTGTGGTATCTCGCTGATGCATTGCTGTTTTGGCTGTACCTTTTATTAACATGTTTTATAGGCCTTAATGGAAGAAGGAAAGAAATCTGTGACAAAAGGTAAACGGACTAATCAAAGTACTCTTCTGCCAAAGCATGGGAAATTAGTCAAACCTTCAGAACGTTCTTCTTCAAGCACTGATCAGCCAAGAGCAGAAACTGAGTCAGCTGTATCAATGATACAAGTTCAACCTGCAGACCAAGTAAACTTACCAACCAAACTTAGGAGTAGGCGTAAGATAAATCTACCAAAATCATTTATCTCAAAGGAGCTGAAATCTTCTGATAGTTCTGGAAAAGATCGACCTAATATGTATTCATTGTCACTTCATGACAAGACACTTGATTTTAAGGTAAAATATGCTCCATCCTCCATATTTGCAGAATCTCATCTAATCATGTCTTTGTTTTTTTACTTTCTTCTTTTATTTGCAGGAAATGCTTTCTCATTGTCTGTCATCACCGATGCTACGTAGGTGGTGTGTTTTTGAGTGGTTTTATAGTGCAATTGATTACCCATGGTTTGCTAAACGGGAGTTTGTAGAATACTTGAATCATGTTGGGTTGGGTCATATTCCAAGGTTAACTCGTGTTGAATGGGGTGTCATAAGGAGGTATTTTCTTATCAGCTTTTTTTTTTTTTTTTTTCTATTGGTTATATGTGATTACATTTAAGTATACAACTTGTAGAATACCAAGAAATAATATGCATTATGTACCAGAGTTTTAAAACTTTCAGCGAAATTTTTTTGATCAATAAAGGAATTTCATTAAAAAAGGATGAAAATTATATAACAGAGGAGAGGTAACCTTTCTTACCTCTCCTCACCAGAATTATAAGCATAATACAGATTACAATTGTGCCCAAAACATTTGATTTCTTCCCGCCCCTTAGTTTGCTAGTACATCAGCAAAAGCATTAACAGTTCTTTTAATCCAACTTAATTCTACTTCCATGTTTTGTGTTAGGCACTTGATTTTCTTCTCTCACTATTGAACATCCAGAAGCCATTTCCTCCCTTTTTCAACCAATCTATTACCAGTTTTGATTCCCCTTCTATAATCAGCTTGCTCACGTTCATATCCTTTTCCCTTTGTACACCTTCCATAACAGCCAGAGTCTCAGCCCTTAATATTTAACTTGATAAAATCATTATCTGGTGGAGTCCAAAGAGGTCTTACATCAGTCTTATAACAATCTGAATTAGCCACTTCCTTCTGGTTATTCATAATATCAACTGAAGAGAAGTCAGCAAAAAGCTCCAAAGACTTTACCCAGTGAATCACTCTAATCAGAGTGGTATCAATATTTCCCTCTTTGCTTCTTTCCTTTTCTGAGAAAATTCTGGAATTTCTTTCTTCCCAAATGGTCCAGCTCACTGCAGCTCTTACACATCTCTACAACACTCTTCCTCTTTTCTTAGGCCACCTAAAGAAAGTAGAGGTAAACAGCCTCTGAACATTAGGTGTGGGAGTCCACTTACACCCAAACAAAGACAAATACCACTCCCAAACAGATTTAACATGGGGGCAGGATATTAATAAGTGGAAGCAAGTTTCTCTGTTAGCCTTACATAGAACACACCAATGTGGGGATAAGCACCAATTGGGTCTTTTAATTTGGAGTAGATCACAAGTATTTTTTCTTTCCTGGAAGACCTCCCAACAGAAGCCGACAATCCTTGGAGGTATAGGTTTACACGAAACCTCCTTAACAGGAAAGGAAAATCCCAAGCTATTAGAGGGATGGATTAGAGCCTTAAAGAAGGAAGCAAGAGAAAACACCAGAGGGTAAGGGTCCAAATATGACTATCTGAGCTGGATGGACCCAAAATAACCCTTTTAAGGACTTGAAGCAACTCTAACACATCATTTAATTCTGAATCCCTTTCAGCAAAATTAATCTACAATATTGTGTATTCCTTGAAGTATGTGAGAAGATCATAGTGAATGCAAAGATGTTAGATTACAAGATCTTCATGAATGAGGCCAACAGTGGTATTTCCTTGATAACAGTGAGCAAATCTCCAAGGAATATTATCATAGAAATCAGCTTCGTGGCTTCGTTAGAATCTTTTCCATGATGATATGACTATGCTCTAGGTGCTTGGAAAATTTCAACCCTTCAAATAGAGATCTTGCTCCTTTCTACCTTACCAATGCCTATAGGCTCTGAGAGAGGAAAATAATTGGGTCTTCATTGTTTCTCAAAAATATCCCATTTTCTGAAGGGCTCAGAATGTCAAAAGTATGAGAGTTAAGCTTTATAACATCCCTATGATGAGAAGAGCAAGAGGTACTAACTAGTAGGTTTGGGGTGGGTAAGGTGTTTTAAAAGGTGCCTAGGCACATAGGAAGTGTGCATTTTGCCGTCTGCACGTTGCTTGAACCTAGGTGGGGCAACTTTCTAAAAGGCACACCCCTAATGGCCCGTTAGCTTTTAAATAACCTCATATTTGTTTCTTGTAGCCTTGTAATCTAGAAATGGTCTATTAACTTTTAAAAGAAGCACCAACTAGAAAAAGGTTATGCCACAAACATGAAGCCAAAGCTGCTTGAATTGATGCATCGAAGAGAGAGTGAAACACTAATAACTGGAGAGAAGTTTCATAAGCTTCGACTGATGAATGTTTGAGGGAAGCAAGAGAGACTCGTACTTTTCCCAAAGCTTGAGACCCTTCCCTGAAACAGGGGCTATATTCCTTCTTTTCCTCCTTGAAACATGGCCTCCCCCCCTTACTTCTTCGACTTCACCTTTTCTTTCTTTGTTTGGGCTTGCTCCTTGTCTTGCGCCTTGGACATTTTGAAGCCCTTTTACATTTGTTGCATTTCTTGTTTTTAAAACAAGGGAAAGGAGCAAGTGTATTTAATCCAATGGAGATGCTACCCATGGCCATGGGGCTTATGTCTCTAAATTAAAGGTTCTTGGTAGTACATGTCCTTGCTTTCAGCAAGATATCATCAGTAATATCTGTAGAGATAATCAGTAGTTTTTTATTCTTTGTTCTGTTTTATAGGGAAGGAAACATTATAATTTTACATCTTTTAAAGTTATGCTTATATGTTTTGAGGGTGGGCTGACTGGAAACAACTCACCCAACTCATCTATCGTGCTAGTGATTTCTTCTTATTATTCTTTTTGTTTCTATTTATTTTTGTTGGTATCAGAGCACATGATAATCTGTTTTCTTGTTGTTTGAGTGGTTTGGGAGTTTCAGTCTGTCCAAATGATCAGGGAGTGGTGTGATGACAGGTTGAGGAAACCCTAGCATTTGGTTAATATTGATTTGTGGGAAAATTTCACAATGATTAAATGACATTCAAATGAGAATTAATATTTTCCCTGCAATTTTTGCTGACAAAAATCCAAAAAAATCATATCTTTTTTTTTTTTTTTTTATCATAGAGAACATTTGAAGGGCTGTTTGCAGATGGTATCAACTGTCAAGTGGGGCTGAATCGCACTGTATTTTCCTGTTGATTGAACTCTGTTTCAGATTTTTGGGTGGAGTTTGGAATTTTCTAGAATTTGCTGTTAATTTTTGGTGGAATTTTCTAGAATCGCACTGTATTTTGTTGCCTGGTCTCCATGGTTTGAACAACTTTGGTATTGATTGGAGATGGTTGGGGAATCATCTAATTCCTAATTTTACATTTACCACTACTTCCACACATAAAGGTATGCTTCCCAAATCCATTCTAATAGTCAAATTACTATAGTTGTACATGATGGGACAAATTTTCTCAAATAGTCTTAGCCTGTGAATGTCTGTATTAGTGGATGTAGCAAACTGTGATACTAGACAGGAAAGACAAAGAAGCCGGTTGGGGATGACCCACATTTTGAGAACTTGGAACAAGATAATATGGTGTTAATATTGCTCTGTTGGGAAATTGGTGATACTACTTTTTGAACAAATGTCAAGATTGAAGGTGAACTTTGAGAAAAGTTGTGTAGTGGGTGTGAATTTGGAGGAGGGAGAAATTATGGAGATGCAGAAGTCCTATGGTGTGAGGTCTCAAGATGGCCATTGAACTACTTGGGGTTGCCATTGGGTAACAATCAAAAGAGGGAGAGTTTCTGGAATCCGATGGAAAGATTTGAGAAGAGACTTGTCTCTTGGAAAAAGAATTACCTTTCTCTTGGAGGTAGGATGACATTGATTAAGGCTACTCTAGGAAATTTACCTATTTATTTCCTTTCATTGTTCAAAATCCCAGTAAAGGTTGCTAACAGATTGGAAAAGATGATGAAAGGTTTCCTTTAGGAGCCAGGAGAGGAGAAGAGGGACCATAGGGTAAGCTGGAAGGTGGTGACCAGGAGTAAAAACAGTGGTGGGTTATGGCTTGGGAACATTAGAGAAAGGAATTTGGCCCTTCTGGGGAAATGGTTGTGGAGATTCTCACTAGAGAAGGAGAAATTATGGACTAAAATAGTGGTAAGCATACATGGGCTGGAGCTAAATGGATGGGATGCTGGAATTCGGGCTAGGACCACAAGCGCTTCGCCTTGGAAAGCCATTCATGATTTGAATTTTCAAGTAACTCCATAAAATTTTGGGAACAAACTTGGGTGGGGAATGCCCCTCTAAAGGACCCGTTTCTTTCTTTGTACACCCTATCTTTTTTTTTTTTTTATAAAATGAGCCAGTTTCCTCTTTCATCACCCCTTCCTCTTCCAATTATGGGTTTGGTTGGACTTTGGGTCTGAGAAGGGCTTTGAGACATTCAGATCTTGATAGTATTTCGAGTCTCCTCCAACTTCTTGATGATGTTTTCTTAGACCCTGCTAAGGAAGACTCTAGAATCTGGATCCCCACCCCTATTGGTTCCTTCTCCTGTGCCTCCTTTAAAGTGTTAATCCAGTCCACCAATCCTGTAACCCCTCCCCTTTCCCTGTTAATGAGGTTTGGTGTAGGCCAATTCCTCCTAGGGTTGGTAGCTTTTGTTGGGAAGCCTTTTCGGAAAGAGTCAACATTGGTGATCTACTCCAGAAGAAGAGAACCAATACTTGTTTGTCCCCTCATTGGTGTGTTCTTTGTAAAGCTGATGGGGAGACTGGTTTTCATCTACTGGTGTCTTGCCAATTTGCAAAATCTATTTGGGAGTGGGCTTTCTCTCTGATTGGGTTTACTTGGAATCCTCCATCAAATTTGCAAAGTATTTTTGCTCCTTTCTTCAGGTGGCGTATGAAAAGGGGAAGGACTATGTGGAGAGGACTGAGGGCAGCAGTCTACTAGTCTTTATGGGAAGAAAGAAACTCTAGGATCTTCTCTGTAGAAGAGAGAAGTGTTGAGATCTGAGGGCTTTGATCCATATAAGGGTTGTACATTGGATGAAATCCCTAGAGCTATTCATAGATTATACAGTGGATGACATGCTGAGGAAGTGGGGTGAGATTGCTAGCTGTACCCAGACTAAAGCAGTAATGAGTGTGTCTTGGACTCCCCCACCTGTGGGGTTCATAAAACTAAACTTTGATGGAAGTAGCAAAAGGAACCTTGGACAATCAGGGATTGGGGTTGTTTCTGCCATGTTCTCAGGCCCAATTGGAGTGGGTGACTCTCCTAGAGCTCAGATCCATGCAGTTATGGAAGGAGTCCAGAAAGCTAGGGAGATGAATATCAGAAAACTCATAACTGAATGGGACTTGGAGGTGGTGATTGGGTGGCTGAATAAAGACAATAGTGATTTATGGAGTTATAGCAATGTGCGGAGGAAATTCAGACGACTGGTTCGAGAAATGTAAGTTAAAATCAATTGGGTAAAAAGATCAGCTAATTCTTTTGCTGATGGGTTAGTTAAACAAGGGGTGGACAGGGATTCATTGTTCTGGGCACAGATGTAATTTAAATCTCTTTTTTCTTTTTCTTTTTTCTCTTTCTCTCTTGTTTCCTTTCTTGGGGCTCAAGCTGAAGTTGGAAGATAAGAAAGTTTGTCTTCCTCTTTGTAATTCTTATTGTGATAATTAATGAATTGTGTTAGTGATAAAAAAAAATACTGCTCTGTTGGGAAAGTGGTTGTGGAGATTTAATGAGCATACAGATAGTCTGTGGAGATGGTTAATTGTATCCAAGTATGGGTCCAGTAGCAGGGAGTGGGAGACAGCAGAAGTAAGATCTTCCTATGGGTGTTCAATTTGGAAGGAAATTCAGAAAATTCATCCTCAGTTCTTGAAGGGCATAAAATACAAAGTGGGCTATGGCCATAGAGTGCTTTTATGGAAGGGCTACTGGTGTGGGGTGACCCTCTAATGGCCTTATATCCTGATCTGTTTGAGATTGCAGTACACAAGGATGCAGCAGTTGCTGATTGTTTGGAAAGGCAAAATGGACAGTGTACTTGGAACTCCCAATTCAGGAGTATTTTAATGATTGGGATGTTGGCTTCTTTGGTTAGTTTGCTTGAGATTCTTTTTGATTCAAAGATAACTGGAGTTGGGGAGGATAAAAGGAAATGGCTCTTTGAGAAATCGGGTTCTTTCTCTGTGAAATCCTTCTTTAATTGCTTGTCAAGGGAGGATACATCTCCCTTTCCAAGTGACATGATCTGGATCAGAGCTGCTACCTTCTAAACTTTTTTTTGTCTGGTCTGCAGTGCTGCGCAAGATCCTAACTAAGGACAATTTAGCGAGAAGAGGTTTAGAGGTGGTGGATATGGCTTGCACATTATGTAAGGGAGCTGTGGAGTCTTCTAGCCATTTGTTGTTACACTGTGACTTCACTTACTGGGTTAGGGTAAGACTGCTGGACTTTTTTTTTGTAAAAGGTAATGTAATTTTATTCAACTCAGAAATTCAAATACAGACTGAGATTCAGACCCAAGAAGGCAGTCTGAAAAACAGCCGGGGCTACAATCTCCCCCAGGAGCCAGACTGAAACAAATCGGGCAAGCTAAGATCTCTGAACTCCCCAGAAATGGAAATCCAAGAAATCAGCTTGCCCACTGCTCTCTGAGTTACATCATCAAGACCTTTAGATCTATTACAGAAAACTTTACTATTCCTTTCAGCCCCAATGGACCACAAAACAGCAGCAGGGATTGTCTTCCACATCAGCTTCCCTATCTTACTTAGACCCTTTGATTTTCAACTACAAAGATGCTCCTTAACCGATCTCGGCATGACCCACCTAACACCCAACGCTTTGAGAAAATGCATCCAAATCTGAAAGGAGAATGGACAGTGAAGACAAATGATCTGTAGTTTCTGTAGCAGTCCCACAAAGAACACAAGCTGAATCTAGAATTTGAATGCCCCTCCTTAACAGATTAGACCTGGAAAGGCATTTGTCTAGGGCCATCATCCAAACCAGAAAATTAGATTTTGAGGGGCTCATAGAATTCCATATCTGTGTAGCTGGGAAACCAGTATGCCCCACACTGCATAACTTAGCATCCATGGATTTCACAGAAAAAACACCATCCAGCTTCCATTTCCAGCACTACTTATCATCCCCAAGCACATCTATCTTCTGCTTATGAAGGAGAGTCATCAGCTCCAAAAATTCTTCCAACTCCGAATCAAATAAATTCCTCCTTAAGAGAAGGGACCAAGACACTGAATCCTCAAGCAAAGAGAAGTAATCAGCCACAGTAGCCTCTTGGTTAACAGCACATCTAAAAAGGAGAGGGAAGGATCCAGCAAGGGGGCCATCCAAACACCACGTATCCTTCCAGAATTTTGTTCTATCACCTTTATCCACATTTACAGAAATCCCTTTCCAGAAAAAGGAAAATTTTTCATAATTCCTTTCCACAGGGAGTTGCCCCAATTTAGAGGAGGAGCTCTAGTTCTCCAGTTTCCCCATTCCACCCCATACTTGTCAGCAATAAGAGATCTCCACCAAGCATTCCTCTCAGCCGAGAATCTCCAAATCCACTTGCACAAGAGAGCAGTATTAAAATTCTTCAATTTCCTTATTCCTAAACCACCTTCAGCTTTTGGAAGACAAACTTGGTCCCAATTAACTAGATGAACCCTGATCTCCTCCTCCGAACCCCTCCAAAGAAAATTCCTCTGAAGCTGCTCCAATCTTTTATCAACTTCAATTGGGATAGGGATCAGGGAAAGGAAATAAGTTGGCAGATTTGAAAGGGTACTTCTTATCAAGGTCATCCTTCCTCCAAAAGAGAGGTATTTAGCCTTCCAAGATGATAATTTTCTCTCCAATCTTTCAATGACTGGATCCCAAATCGAAGAAGAGAGCCAATTAGCCCCCAAAGGCAGAGCCAAATACTTCACGGAAGAAAATCAGTCTTACAAGCCAATACCACAGCACACTCCTCTAAGTTACAAACCTGCCCCACTGGATTGGGGTTAAATTGTGTTTCCCATCTGATGTGATGGGATAGATTCATAGGGGCTTGGTTTTTAGGAGGCTTAGTTAAGCAGGGCTGGAAAGGTAGTGTGGAGCATCCTCCCCTCAGCAGTTTTCTGGGTAGTGTGGAGTGAAAGTAATAGTAGAATTTTTGAAGGGAGATAGTCTTCAAAAGGGTTCTGGCAAATCACCCATTGTTCAAAAATAGACATGTTCTATTTTTGATCTTGATTTTCTTTCTGTAAAAAGTTCATAGTTTTCTCTTTTGTTTTGGTGGGTTTGGCTGATTGGGCATATGACACTTCCTCTGCACAGTTCCTCATTGTACAGGGGCGCTATTGTATTTTGACTTTTTGATTTTAATGAATTACTTTACCTTACAGTTAAAAAAAAATCATAATATCCTGGTTATGGAATCCTGTGACATCTCAGATCAGTTGTACACCTGGGCAGCCTTTTTATCTTTGTTCATCACTTTCCAAATAGGCTTGGGAAAAGCTTTGCTAATGGCATTATATCACACAATATGTATGTTTTCTATGCAAATGATCTTTGGATGATGTGATGATTGATGATTGAACATTGTACAGTGAACTGTCTGGAAATACCTTGAGTCTCTTATATGAGGTTTAATATACTTCTTTTTATCTATTAAAACTTAAAAGGAAACATTTCTTATTCTTTTTCTTCAATTTCATATACAACTGTCAGCAAAACAATTAAGATTTCTCTTTCTTGTGTTACAGTTCCCTTGGCAAGCCCCGAAGGTTATCTGAACAATTTCTAAAGGAAGAGAAGGAGAAACTAGAACAATATCGTGAATCCGTTAGAACACATTATGCAGAACTTCGTGCCGGTACTAGAGAAGGTCTTCCTACAGACCTGGCACGACCTTTATCAGTTGGGCAGCGTGTTATTGCTTGTCACCCCAAGACACGTGAAATCCATGATGGCAGTGTACTAACTGTTGATCGTAACAGATGCAGAGTTCAGTTTGACCGGCCTGAACTAGGGGTTGAATTTGTCATGGTAATGCATTCTTTCACTGACTGCTACCTTTTATTCATATTTACATTTATATTGTTAGATCTTAACATTGATTTGGAATGCATATTCTCTTTGCCTTAAAAAATTGCTCTTTTCAGCCCATGAAATTGATTTTGTTGGAGGTAAGAAAGAAGAACATTGGGCAGACCGCAGGCATAATTATTTGTCTGCCTTACTAAAAAGAAGCTAAAATGACATTACTATTAAGCTAAGACATTTTTAAAAGTTACCAAGACTGCTTGTCTGGTGCATGGTGTTTAAAATCAATGTTTTAAAACACGGAGGCGTGACACGAGGCGTTCCACCACCTAGAGGTGTGAGGTGTAGTTCAGAACGCAAGAGGCCTAAGCCTCCTGAACACAAGGAGGCGTAAGCCTCCTTAAGAGGGGGGGTTAGGAGGAGGATGAAGAGGAAGGGGGGATCTCATTTTTTCTTTTTTCTTTTTTTTTTCTGTCTTTTTTTATCAGATGTGCATGAGGCGTACGCCTCAGAGGTGTCAGCGCCTCTGGCATACGCAGCGCCTCGCCTCCAGGCGTACGCCTCCCACGCCTTTTAAAACACTGGTTAAAATATGAACTCTCAGAATCTATGTTACTTGGATGTGGAAAGGACATAGCTAGATGTGATATTGTATATGGAATCTACACTAAAAATTGAAGCATCCTACATGATATGGAGCCACTGTACAGGTATATTGGTATCTAGCTCAAAATCACTATTTCAACCCATGGGCCTCCTCTTTGCTCTTCTAGAGGTATCATGCATGATATGAACCCTTGTACAAGGGGTGGTGCTCCTGTTCTATTATCAAAAAGTTCTTGTCTAGGTGATACAAATACAAGATGGATGCCTTACTATATTTTATGCTGTTCAGGTTAGGTGCCCAACTTAGGATTCTTTGTCATCACATAGGTGAAACCTTGAAAAGTATGATCCACTTATTAGGATACCCTCAAGGGAAGTTAAGCCGTTAGAAATGGTGATGGGGGACTTTTTGTGGGATCCAGGGGAAGTGAAGAAAGGTCATTTGATTAGGTGGGAGATAGTAGAAGTAAGGAAGAAGGGGGTTTAGGATTAGGAAACCTAGTTCTTAAGAATGAAGCTTTACTAGGGAAGTGGTTATGGAGATGGCCTTTAGAGAGAGAGGTTGTGGCACATGGTGGTGACTAGGATTCATGACTTTTCGGAGAATGGTTGGGATGCTAGGGTATTTCGACAGGCGACTCTTGCAACACCTTGGAAGGCTATACATGGGATCCTTCCCCAATTCCTCAGGTTGGTCCAGTATGATGTCTACTCTGGAAATAATGTTCTTTTTAGGGAAGATATTTGGGTGGGCAACCAACTCCTTAAAGACCTTGATCCCTCTCTTTACTCTCTTTCCCTTTATAAAAAAGAGCTGATTCCAAGTTTATTTCTTCCCTGGTTTCTCCTTTGGCATTAATTTGGGTTCTGAAGAGGGCTACAGGATGATGAATCTGCTTGTGTTTCTGAACATTTGTTATCACTTGAGTCTGTTTTCTTGGAGGACCCCTCAAACTTTACTTATGAATTTGGACCCCTGCTTCGAAAGGTAACTTTACTTGCTCCTCCTTTTTCAAATCCCTTTGCCCTACTCCTGCACCCTGGGGTTTCCCAGTTAAAGAAGTCTGGACTAGAACTATTTTCCCAAGGATTGCTGTTTTTTGCTGGGAAGTCTACTATGGTAAGATTAATACTTTGAAAACTTGCAAAAGAAGAGAACTAATTGGTGTTTATCCCCCAAGTGGCCTGTTCTTTGTAAAGTTCAGAATAAGGATTGTTAATGGCACACAAAGAGAGGGAGAATTATGGGCAGACACCCTAACAAAACAGGGGGCAAATAGATCTACCTTGTACTGGGCAGAACTGTAAATGTTTTGTAGTGTTTGCAGATTGGGTTAATGCATTCTGCAACCTATAACTACTGTATTTCAATATTTCTCTGTAATTAATAAAAGTCATTTTGCTGATAAAAAAAAAAGAGAGAGAGGGAGAATTATGTGAAAGTGCATCAGAGCAGCTCTCTTGTGGACTGTTTGGAAAGAAAGGAAAGTCGGAATTTTCTCAGAAAAGGAAAGAAGATTTTCAGAAGTTAAAGATTGTGTTCTGACAATGGCAATTCAGTGGCTGAAACCTTAAACCTTTTTGACACCTACTCCATTGATGATCTTTGGAGTAGTTGGTTACTAGTGGCTAATACTTCTATCAGAAAAAACAGATTTATGGTAGAGTGGATGCTACCTGGAGGGTTTTGTTAAGCTGAACTTTGATGGGAGTAGCCAAGGTAACCCAAAACAACTTTGTTTCTTTTATTAGATACAAACTGGGTAATGGAAACAAAATAAGATTTGGACTGACCTTTGGTGGGGTAACAAACCCTTATCTGACTCTTTCCCTTCCCTGTTCTATCTGGTTAGAGATAAAAATACCCTGGTCTCCTCAACCATCCAATTGGCCAATCACCCAGTTTCGTACAATTTTAACTTCCATAGAGCCTTAATAGATTCTGAAATCTTGACATTTCCATCTCCTCTCCACACTCAGAAGTCTTCACCAAAGATGGGAAAAAGAGGAAAGCTCTTTTGGAAAGTAGTAATTCGTGTTGCGGTGTGGGGAATTTGGGAAGAAAGGAACTAAAGACTTTTTGAAGATAGCTTCTCCTCTTTGGATAGTATTTGTGAGAAGATCTTATCCTTAAATTTCTCATGGATGCTGGTCCACCTAGTGATTTAAAAGGTGCCCCTAGGTGCATAGGCGAGGTGCGTTTTATGGTATGTGTTTCACCTAGGTCCCAAGCGGAGTATTTTCAAAAGGCATGCACCTGGTGTGCCTTGTGTTTCCGCCTAAGTGTGTGCCTTCTGAAAATATGTGCATTTTTTTCTTCTTTTTTTTTGTTTTTTTTTTTGTGTTTAGCAGTTGGGCCGGGGGCTCCACCCTGGACCCCCGATCAAGCCCCTCGCCAAAGTGGAGAGAACCTCATATTTGCTAATGTTGCTCATTCATTCATCCTGATAAAAGATATTTTTAAAAGACACTTGAATTTATAAAACCTTTCTTTTTTATAGGGATTAAGAATTTAAAATCCTAATATGGGCCATTTTGGGCTTGCCTCGAGGGGCTTGGTACAAAGGCTGCTTGTAGAATCAAGAATGCATAATGTTTAATATCACATTAGCTATTTGAAGTAATGGAATTGGGAAAAAAAATAAAGAGATTAAGAGCTTACATGCTTGAATATGTTTTATATGTTATGCTTGATTTTATTTTGGATATGTTTTACATGTTATGCTTATGTATTTTAGTTTGAGATAATAGGTTTTGAAAGCATTTATTTTAAAATTTAAGTTTATATTTTAATTAATAACGTGTTAATATTTTAATAATTTGCATTTTTTTAATTTTTTGGCATTTTTGAAAAATTTGGCTTTTATTTTGAACTTTTTGGATTTTTTTTTTTTTTTGCATTTTTGTGCCTTGCTTCAAAAAGGCTCGCACTTTGCCTTGTGCTTCAGGCGCAAGATGGCCCTTGCGCTTTTTTTGTGCCTTTCACTTTTAAAACATTGGGTCCACCAACATTTTGATGGTGTGAACAGAGGGGAGTTACGAAGAAACTGACTGCAGATTCTGCATACTTCCCTTTCCTCTCCAACTTCAATGGCTCTACCTCCCTCCTTGAGGGAGTGTGAGTACCTGTTGCAGTTTGATGGCAGTTTTAGAAGGTTGCTGCTTCCTCCCTCAGCAGCGATTAGAAACTATATTGGAGACATGTTGTGGGCTTTTAGTGGTCAGGTTCAAGCTGTAGATGCCTCTGAAGCAGAAGTCCGCTCCCTTCTAGAAGGCTTAAGGCTTGCTGGGAGGCTCCTTTTAAGTACCATCAAGAAGTCCACTCCCTCTGAAGTTGTAGAAGGAGACTCAAGGAGTACCATCAAGTTGGAAAAAGACTCAGATGGGGGACTATAGAGGTTAGCTCACCTTCTTGCTTGAAATTCATGAGCTGTCTTCTCTGCTGAATTGCACCTTTAGATGGATTCCCCGGGAGATCAGTTGAACTGATGATGTTTTAGCAAAGCAAGGCCTGGGAAGGGATTTTTTGTATAGTGCTTACACTTTGCCGTCTTAGTTGATCCAGGCCTTTCTTTTTTGTTTTTTTCTGGCCTGTTTGTACATCTCTTATGTACATCCCTCCCCCCTTTTTTGAATGTAAGGTAAGTAGCCAAGGTAATCCTGGACCTTTGGGCATAGGAGGAGCATCTGCTTATTGAAAGGGACTCTCAGGTGGTTGTGGGATAGTTGCTGAATCCGGATTCTGTGGTCTGGGACTATAGAGACCTCCTTAAAAAATCAAATGGCTAACAAGGAATATGACAGTTAGAGTTCAGTGGGTAGGCAGATCAGCAAACTCGATGGATGACTTACTTGCTAAACAGGGGGTTCTCGGGATTCTTTATTTTGGGTTACCTTGTAATTCATGTTCCTTTTGATTCTGTGATCAATCTTAAAAGAAAGGTCGCATCTTGTGCCTTTCCTTGGGTTGCCTGTAACTCTTATCTCTTGGATTAATAAAATTTTTATTCATTTATCAGAAAAAAAGTATGCTCCACTTATAGACCAATGTTAAGAATAGATTTCAGGATTTGAAAGTGAAGATTGAGGGAGAGATTGATTAGGTTCTGTTAGACTGACACTTGGTACCCATCTTAGGATTTCAGGCTTTAAATATGAAAGTAAATGGATAAGGAAACATATTGTGTAGACACATGAGCTACCTTATGTTAGGAGTTTATCGAGAAAATGGACCTGTTTTGGATAAGTGCATAGAAGTGCAATTGTTAGAAAATTAAAGAAAAGTGGTTAACAAATGGGATGTAAAATCAGGTTCATCATCATCATCCATGCCTTGTCATATGAGGTTGGCTACATGAATCCTGTTTCGCCAATCTATTCTATTTAAAGTCATATCCACTGTTAAACTACTAGTGCTTAAATCATTTCATACTACTTCTACCCATGTCCTTTTTGGTCTACTCCAAGCTCTTCTAGCCCCTTCAATGTGTAACAAATCACTTCTTTCAATTGGTGGTCTTCTATGCATGTGCCCAAACCATCTTAATCTATTCTCTCTCATTTTATCACCTATTTGAGCTACTAGGTTCCTTTAGGTACTCCATTCCTAATCCTATTGTTTCTAGTTTTTCCACTCATCCATCTTCATTCACGTTTCTGACACATTGATTTTCTAGACATGTTTCTTGATTGCCCAACACTTGGCTCCATATAACATGGCTAGCCTCACAACTGTCTTATGGGATTTTTCCTTTTAATCTAAGTGGTTTTTGCCTATCACATAAAAGTCCAGATGCATCCCTCCATTTTGACCATCCTGCTCTATTTCTTTGGGTGACATCCTCGTCAATCTCTCCCATGTTATGAATTATTGAACCAAGGTACTGAAAATGTTCACATTGAGTTATTCTTTGATCAAAATGATCACTCTCCCTTTTATTATATGTTATAGAAAAAAATTCTATATGATGATGAAAATAATATGAAAAATTTTCTTTTTTTCATCCTTTTACTATATTATTGCTTACATGCTAACTTGAGGATTTGTTACTTTCAATTTTGTTCTTTCATTTTGTAAATTCTGTTCTGTTCATTTGATCTCATTCTTTTTGTCCTTTTAAACTCACTTAATCCAAGGGATAGAATCTTTGAAGGCAAGTTTATTATCTCTTATTTCTTCCTTTACTGAGAACACTTGTTGCTAAATAAAAAGAATCTGATATGGATAGGTTCTTTGATTTTTGAAATCTCGAACTATTTTAACATATTAGCCTCATTATTCGTTTTTTCATGTACTTGCAGGATTCTTTTATATATATATTCTCGTTGTTTACTATAACTATTGTTTTGTAGTTTTGTGAACTACTCAATTTAAGCATCTTTGATAATTCTAAATAAATTAATTAATATTTCAATGATGTCACCATTCTGTAATTCATTTCCTTTTATGAAAATACTTGATGTTTTCTCATGAGAACCTAATGAGTCAATACAACAACATCTAGTTTAAAGTATTTCTTGGATGTGACAACACAAATTTTGTGACAGCTATGCTTATGAAGTAGGAATTATTGACAGTTCCTTTCTACATTTTATTTGTTAAATTCCGTATTCATCCTCTGCCTCATAAAAGTAATAGTAGGTTAAAAACTTCAAACATGAATTGGTCAGTGGTTTCCTCCCCATAAGGTTAAGGTATAACTTTCTGGCAGAATTATTTGTCTTTGAACTCAATGACATGAAACTTTATCCTTTTTCCCAGGATATTGACTGCATGCCTTCGAATCCAATGGAAATTATGCCTGAATTTCTTCGAAAACAGACTGCTGAAGTTGAAATTTTCAGTGAGAATATCAATGAGCCTAAAATGATTCGATCCAAAGATCTGAAAAATGGATGTTGCATGAAATTTGCTCCATGTGAGAATATGGAAATCGTAGATTGTTCTTCTCAGATTTCATCTGCGACTTATCCCATGAACACTCTGTTAAAGCAGGCAAAGGTAGGTAGTTGTCATCTCTACGTGTCATTTATCTATTGAATAATTTCTAGCAACATTCACGAAACAGCAAAGGTTAAACTGATCAACTTTTTGGAAGTAAGGATTTATTTGAATAAATAAGCTTGTTTTTAATTTTTAAGTGCTTGTATTAGGTTGCATTTGGCAAGTCTTTCCGTGTGGTCTTTTGGGCATCGGCAAGCTTGAAAGACAGAAAATTGGTCTTTTTTTGTTTGGTAACCAAAAGCTGGTAAGACCAGAAGACGTGTGTGGAAACATCCAAAATGGCAAAAAATGCCGAATTTCAGGAAGCTTCAATTGAAGTTTTATGGTCTTTCCGCGTGATGAATAGCCTCTAAATGCATTTTAAAAAGCCCGGTAGACCAAGCCACTTGCCAAACGGTCTTTGCCTTTAAAGACAAGATCCCAAAAGCTCAATATGTCTTTTTTTTTCTAAAAAGACTTTCCAAAAGGCACTTTAGGTTTTCCAAATTTGGATTGGCCAGATGGATGTATTTGTAAGCTCTAGTGGATAAATTATGTGCAGTTGGATTTTGAACTCACCATGAGTAATTGAAATATCAACAACAAAAAGTGGTTTAGATACTATTTTTAGATTCACATAGGGCCCGCCTTGATTTGTTTCTTGATTTTCATGCTCAGAGGGGTGCTCCGAATTGGAATAATTGGAATTTGGTTTTATGTTTGTCAAAATCATTTAAACTCATCATTTTTTTTCAGGAGGACACAATCAATTCCATTTCGCAGGCTAAAGCTGCTGCCAGTGAAATGATTAATGCACAACATGCTAGATACACTCAGCCATTTACTCTAGCACAAGTTCAAGCAAAGGAGGCTGATATACGGGCTCTTTCTGAGCTGACTCGTGCTCTTGATAAAAAGGTTATACCTCGTAATAATAGGTTTTTAAATTATGTCTATTGCTAAAATTTGTTTTGTCAACATTTTTATATGTTTTTTTTTTTATCAAGTAATCCTTTGAAGCAACCCTATTATTACATGTTACATCTGTAACTTTTGTTAAAACAGAAAAAAATGTATTTGTACATTGTTATGCAATCATTGTATTTGTACATGACCTACCAAGGTTAGGATGTTGCTTTACAACTTACAAGAATTATGACTGTAAAGTAATCACAGATTCAAATCAGAAATACCTATAACCAAATTTGATCCATTTATATTTGAATCTTATCTGTAGGATTCATATTGGATTTGGCTTAGATTCTGATATGGTATACTATAATAAATTAAGCTAAAATGTTAAAATATTATATGTTATTTATAAAATGAAGTTGAATCTCCACAGACCTCCCTCACCATCACTTATCCAGCTAATGACAGCCCTTTCCATCACAACAGAAGAGATGTTGAGAGATGTCGTGGCTCTAAGAGACTAAGACCCACTAACAGAGATCGGATTTCAGCTTCTGCAACACCTGCCTTCCCAAACCAAACCAGGTCACCTTTAGCTCTAAGAATGAGCCCCCCAATACCTTCCCTTCTCTGTTGACCTGCAATGCTTCTGCAGCTACCATGAAATTGTGTGATGAACTCAGAATAAGTTCTAGGAAGAAGAATATGCATGCTGGCAGATTTGAAGAAAGAACTCAGAACTTGCAGGAGGTTTCTGTTCTTGTCATCATAGAGATGCCTCTATAAGGCTTACTTTCCTGTATCCAAGGAATAACCATTACCAGAATCCTTCCTCTAAGGCCTTTGGGAGAGGTATTTAAGCTCTCAGAAATTCTTTTGTTATGTTCCTCCCAAATACACCATCACTTATGTTCATTTTGCCAACCAACCAGTTAGAAAGAGAGGACAAAGAGTTTCAGGGGTGTCTAAACTGATTACTTGACCCCCAGCCCAAAGAGCCATATATATTAAATAATTCGAAGAATTACATCAGAGAGTCCTTGAAGGACTAAAAGAGAATACAAAATAACCCTTAGAGGGGCTGGAATAGTAATACAAAGAATATGAAAAGAATAAGACTATGTACAGCAGGGACTATAATAATACAATACATCGGGTTTCTTCACACTTTGGTCAGGACTATGAAACTCTTTGAAGGTATTTCAGCATGAGATATTATCAAGAATTGGAAAGAAGTGACTTGTTCAGCTCCTCTTAAATCTGTGCCTAGTCCCCTCCGGTTGTTGGGTTCAGAAAATTGAATTTTGGTGGAAGTAGTGATGGCAACCCGGGCCCTTCATGTATAGGAGGAGTTTTCAGGGATGAGGAAGGAAAAAACATTTCTATGTATTCCGTTCCCATTGGAATAGGAGATTCCCCAAGAGCTGGGGTTATGGTGGTTTTGGAAGGGATAATGAGTGCAAAGGAATTAAATATCAGAAAATTGGTTGTGGAAGGTGACTCAATTCTGGTCATTGGCTGACTGAAAAAGGAAGAGAATGGGATCTTGAAGTTCTCAAATGAGAAGAAAAAGTTTAAATGGCTGACCCAGGGCATGGAGATTAAGCTTCAGTTGATTAAGAGAATTGCAAACTCCTTTGCGGATGCACTTGTTAAACAAGGGGTGGGTGGAGAGATTTTACCCCTCCCCTTGTTCTGTTGTATTGCTATTCTTTTTTATTCGTTTTAATAAAAGTTCAGTTAATTATCCAAAAAAAATGTTGGACAGTCGAGGGACAAAAAACGATAAAATGATATGAACTCATTTGAAGGAACCTAGGAGTAGCTCCAGTAGGTAATAAAATGATAAGAAGTAGACTAAGATGTTTCGATCACATGCAGTCATGCATTGGCTTCAGAAAAAAAATGCAGTCATGCATAGAAGAGCATATACAACATCTGTAAGAAGAAGCTGCTTTCATGTAGCCGACCGTACATAGTTGGAGATTGGAATAAGGGCTTAGATGATGATGATTTCAGAAGATTCTAGCACTAGGATTCCCACTTTATGGCAACCCCAAGTAATTTATAGGCCTATCCTCTCAACCTTGCAGCCCAAGGTTAGTCTGGGCTCATTCATTTCATCTTGAGAGATGTCGTCTCCAGATAGATTTCTATTAGACATATTAATCTTCAGCCCATCTTCATAAATTTCTCTTACTCACCTTGAAGCCATGGATCTGATTACAACTGTGGGGAAATCCATTGATGAGAATGGAGAACCAAGCCAACTGAATGCACCCCCTGCATCCATCTAATCCAAATTTCCCCAAACCCTAGCCTCATTGCTTCCATAAACACCTTCATACCACTCTATCATACTCCTTTTCAAGGTTTAATTTGCAAACCATATCACAAAATCACTTACCTTTGAGAACCATTGCTTGCGATAACTAGTCCTAGGACCATCACCAATGAGAAGTGCCTCTACAAAAATCTTATTTTTTATTTATTTATGTTTTCATTTGATGTTTCATAACATGGCCATCCTCTGTTTCATGCACTGATTGGAAACCACCAAAGAATGACCATCGTCAGTTTTGTTTTTCAGATTGAGGTCTTGGTATTTTGGTGACCATCCCCAAACGAGTGAGTGGTGATAATCTTTTTTTCCCCTATATTCATTCTCAGAACCTGACAAATACAGAATTCTTTCTTTTCTGGAAAATTTTGAGAATGAGAATTTTCTAGAATTGATGCCAAGAGGGTCCTTAGTCTTCATCCATTGAAAAAGCACCTCCTTAATTTCATCCTCACTAACACTCCTCTCCAACAACAATCTCTTTTGCTTTGAAAGGGCGCCCTATCCAATCTACTAAGGAGGGTTTCCAGCATCTATCTGAAGAGTAAAACTTCTTAAAGAACCCCTAAAATCTCAGCTTTGATTTGTATTGGGTCCTCCGCCTCTTGACCTTCCACCTAAAGCTTGCTGATATGGTTTACTCTATTATGCCTTCCATTAGCATACTTATGAAAATAATACATGCTGTTATCACCTTTGTTTATCCACTAAAACCTCGATCTCTGTCTACAATGCACCTCCTCCCTATGTACAGTCTTCTTCCACTCAGCCTGCACCTTGTTTCATTTTTTAACATCTTCCTTCTCTTAATTCCCATTAGTCTCCTTGAGTCCAATCTTGCAATCTATTTTTGATTCGTAAGTGTTCTTGGAAACACTTACGAATTGCTGAGGACATGGACCAAGCACCATTCAAAATCTATTTTTGTTACACCTAGGAAACCTATTAGGGTACAAAGGTATTAAGAAATGGAGGAAAGAAGAAAAAAGTCTTCCAATTTTTCTTGTCAGTTATCTTGTAGAACTGGTATCCAGATCATATATGGAAGTCCTACTAAATTTGATGGATGTTATTTAGGATTTGCTTGGCCTCTTTATGTTCTAATATTGCCAGGAAGTTCAACATTCATATGCTTCTGGCTCTTCTATGTTTCTTTTAAATCACCTGAATACTAGTACATCTTCATGTGTAATCTTTAATACAATTCTGGTTACTGATGGAAAGTAGTTGTCTCCATGCTATATATTATATTCTGGTTACTGATTGAAGTTTTTCCCCTACCTTTTGACAAGCAACAAAAATAAAAATATATTATATTCAAGAACTAAAAAATTGGAATGCATTAGACATACAGGAGGGGCATCTAAACCCTGTATCATCATCTAACAAAAAAAAAAAAAACTACAGTTATAACAGATACAAAAAGCATCAACTATACAAACTCATATGTAAGAGGGTCAGAAATAAAATCTAACTGATAATGTATGTAAAAGGCAAATGAAAATGTGCATAAGCAGATATGATCAAAGGTGAAAGCAACATGAATAAACAAGATTACACATCATCACTAATTAAAGGACCAGCAACGGTGCAGAACACTAAGATACGTAGCCAAACATTGTAGGCTATCTTTGAGCCATCCCTCCAACATGGAAGCGTCACTACATCAGTGTTCATAGGGTCCAGCGCTCTTTGTTTATTGATGTTACTTAGATATGCTTCTCTTCAAATTAATTATCTGAAAGTAAGCTAATATATCTTTCCTATTATTTTTAGGAAGCTCTGTTACTAGAGCTGAGGCACATGAATGATGAAGTGTTGGAAAACCAGAAAGGTGGAGACAATTCTCTTAAAGATTCTGACCCTTTCAAGAAGCAATATGCCACGGTTATCCTACAACTACAGGAAGCTAATGACCAGGCATGTGGTTTCCATTTTTTTTTTCTTTTATTTTGCTAATATTGTGTTTTGCAACCTTGAGCTCACCATTCTCATATACAGGTTTCTTCTGCTCTTCTTTATTTGAGGCAACGAAATACTTACCATGGAAATTCTCCACTGCCATGGATGAAGCCCCAACCCAGTTCAGGTGGTCCTATTGGACCAAGCTCCTTTGATCACACTGAATTTTTCCCTCAAGAATCTGGATCTCATGTTGCTGAAATTGTTGAAAATTCCAGATTGAAAGCACAGGCAATGGTACATACAGCTATACAGGTAGGGAAATCCTACAGCTGATGTTCTCTGATTTTGCTTATCCAGTTGATGAAAAGTGGATCTAAGCATTGTGAAAATTAACAGTGGAGTCTTGCCCCTTCATGCTTCATATCAATGTTGTCAAAATCTTACAATTTACGATATGATTCACGATTTGAATCATGAATTCGAAGGGTTTTGATTCAAATCCTATGTCTGAATCTTTGTGCAAAAATCCGATTTTTGTTTGCATCCTACGATTTACATCATAAATCTTACGGTTTATACGATTCTTGTGATTCACTGTGATTGAAATAAATCTAATTAAGAATTAGTTCTTTACTTTTGTCATTTTCTTGTTTATGTTTAGTTTTGTCATGGGAGACATGTTCTAAGCCTTTACTAGAAAATGATTTATTTACATTATTTAAGATCACACATTGAGTTTATTTTTCATCACATGTAAAGAGCCATTGTATGTGGATTTATTTGACTCTTAAGTCAAACTTGATTGTATCATCTTAGGTTCTGTTATTCCGGTGTGGTATATTTATTGTTTTAGGTACATATATGGTAGATGTGGATTAAAATATTTGATTCGGTTCAACTTTCTCTATGATTTACGATACGATTACAATTTTCAAAACATTGCTTCATATCACTTATTTACAAATTGGTTGGGCTTGTTTAATTGATAAGCTACCTTATTGCCTTAAAATTTCATTGATCAGATGGTCCTATTGATATGATCTGTTCACCTTTTTGTAAACTGCCAAATATTTCTGTTGCCCATTCAAAGGAGGGATCAGGTTGCCTGATTGTGGTACTTTTTTAGGTTGGTTATTCCAAGTTGTTAAACTATTTTCTAGGTGGTCTTAGGTCAATGGATTATTTCAACAATTGAATGTAGATAGATGGGACTAAATTGTCCATTATGGTGGGTATATTTAACATTTTTGTCCAATACTTTGTATGTGGTCTGAGTTTACTTGTAAAAATTTCAGGTTATGTTCTCTTTGAAGGAAGGCAAAAATGCTTTTGCAAGGATTGGAGAAGCTTTAGATTCGGCTAATAATCGGCATTTTAAAGCTGATTCTGTTGCATCAGCTATTAGAGATCCAGCCAATGGAGGTTTGACTTATCAGGATCATCCAACGTCCTGTATATCAGAGCCAACAACTACAGTTCCTGCATCTGATCTGAAGTTGAACATTTCTGACTCAAATGAATCTCAGATCCCTTCAGAGCTTATCTCATCTTGTGTTGCCACATTACTCATGATTCAGGTAACTTTAATTGCTACTACAAATTTTGATCTTCTAATGTATAATAGAATAATAGTAAATGAATAGGAAGTTTTGTTGAGTGAACCAACTCAATTCAAGTGAACTTGTGCCACGCTTAATACCAACTATTTTGGGTTGGCTATACAAGTGTTGTTCTGCCATCTCTATCAGGAGTCAAATAGTAAGTCATTAGATCTTTTCTTACCACTTACAACCCACATTTTCTTTGGTCTTGCCCTTCTTTCTTGAAGCCTTCTACTTGCACCAAGTAACTCCTCCTTGCTGCAATTATTGGTCACCAATGCACATGACCAAACCATCTCAGTTGACTTTTTCTTATCTTGTCATCAATTGGGGCAACTCCTAAAAGTGCTCTCTAATGTGATCCTTTTTATTCAGTCCTTTCTCGTCTTTCCATCTTCACTGCCCACTCCTTGTTCCATATAACAATATGTTTCTTCACCCACCCACCTTACGAAACTTTACTTTCAGTCTCATTGGTATCTGCCATTCACACAGCATACTAGATGCTCCTTTCCAGTTCAACCACCCTACTCTAATTCTATGGGAAACATCCTCTGCAATTTTTCCCTCATTATGGATGAATTGATCCAAGGTATCAGAAGTGGTAAGCTTTGTAGTTTGTTAAGTTCCCCTTGTCTCAAAAAATCCAAAACAGATGTCCAGCTATGACTAGTAAGATGGTGTAATATGAGAACAAGTGTCAAACTTGTTATTGGATGTACCATTGTTATTTCAATAGCCTCTATACTATTATTATTACTGCTTTCCCTTTCAAAATCTTCTTTCTGTTACTTGAAGAACTGGTTTAAGAAGTTTCCTATTCTTAGGATGGCAGAACATCTAATGTGATGTTCCATTTTCTTGTTAGGTATATGTCTTCTCATTCTTTGATAATATTATGGTCAGTAAAACTGTTAATGACTCATTTGTTGATAAGGCCTGCAGCACAAAATAATGACATACAGACCACAGGGAGGGGCCAGAGGCCTCACCATATGGTGTTGTGGAAGCAAATAGTCCAACTTGGGTTTTTGGGTTGGTTTCCAAAGTCAACCCAACACAAATTCTCTGTTTCGGATAGTTTTTGAACCTTTACAATTTTATAGTAGAAGTTGTCCTCTTCAATTGGTTTACATAATCTATATTCTGAAAATTTGTGTTATTCTGTTCCCCTGGTGCTAAGTACTACTACCTTATAAAAAAATGCAGACATGCACTGAGCGGCAGTATCCCCCTGCTGAAGTTGCCCAGATAATAGATTCTGCAGTTAAGAGCTTGCAGCCATGTTGTTCTCAGAACCTTCCAATTTATGGAGAGATACGTAAGTGCATGGGAATCGTAAGGAACCAGATATTGGCACTTGTACCAACATAGACACGGAACCACTCACAATACTGTCCACCATGTATATTTGAGTCATATCAAATGAAGTTGTAGTTTCGATTCTTTTTATTACTTGCATTGCAGGGACTAAAATGTGCATCACTGCATGTTAATGATTCCAACAAGGGTGGTTTCTGTTGTACATATGTTCAATAAAAGATCCATGCCATGTTTTGTATTAGTTTATTATGATATTTTAGGATGTTTTCACTGATTCTAATGTCCTACAAGAGTTCTTTTTAGGGCAATTGTACTTGTGTGCCGCATATTTAGTACCATGAGAATTTGGTTTGGTGGGGGTTCTTGGCCAATCTAAAGCTTGCATTTCAGCTCTTTGCTGAACTGTTAACACTTCTATTTCAATTCCCATATCTGTTTATGCATGCTTTGCTACAGCAGTGTGTGCAGGCATATGGCTAACAGAGTTTGTAATCTTTCCGCTGCTTAATCTCAAGAAGTACTTGTCGTAATTATAGAGGTAAATAATGTCCTTTCTCCTTACTTTATTATAAACTACTGAGTTACAGCTGCTCTTTTTTACCTTTGCAGCGGAACAGTCGAGTTGATGGTTGTAGTGGAGTCAATGGAGCCTAATATAAGGAGGAAATCGGATTCGCTCCTCGGTAGACGGTAGTCCTCTTAGAGCGTGCCTCACTTCAGCCATCTCCCGTATTTTATGGGAAGGAATTGGGATTTGCTCCTCACAAAGCTCTCCTCAGTCATATCCCACCATCGTGTACTGGGAACATCTCCCCATGAATAATAAATACGGTATGGTATGGCCTTGGGAGATGTTCCTGTGAGGTGCAAGGTGCAAATCCGGAGATGTTCCCATGTGCTGAGGAGCAAATCCGATTTTTATTAGTCTAAGACAAGAATGCAATTTAGAGATTTGGAGACCGAATCAGCCCCCACAACGTCCCACAGCACATCTCCGCCATGTATTGGAAACATCTCCAGATGATGATATTATCATTCTTGGTATTATCATCAGGAGATGTTTCCAATATACAGCGGAGATGTGCTGTGGGACGTTGTGGGGGGGGGGCTGATTTGAACCAGTAAGATGGTCCCCTCCCCACTCAAACAAATTATTTATACACGAATGCATCAGCGTTGTAAGAACACGGACCAACTTGGTGGACGGGTTGGGTTGGTCGAGCAAAAGGTCAAATCAGTGCTCAATTTTAACACTAGCCACAAGCCATGAACCCAAGGGCTCTGCCTCTGGTCGGCCAGGTTTCAATCTGAAATTTAATGCATTATCTAAACACATACGTTTGGATAAAGAATTTCCTAATCAGATCAAGGCTATCTTACTAGATGACCCCACTTGTTTCTGACATGGGCAATCCTGTGCCCCATTTGTGGAGTACTAACTTACCAACCCGTCATCAAATATCCAGGGGCTCAATAGATTTACCATCCTTGATTATTTGTACATTTTGGACCAAACTGAGCTATTCGAGGCCTCCCAGAAGTCCAACCCAGCTTGGGTCGGGCCTATACTAAAGCCCTAATCCCAGCTCAACTAGGACAACGGATTCAAAGCATCTTACACCTCAAAGTAAATACAGTAATTTTGAAGACCCACCTGAATGAAAAATATTCCGACACTCTAGCTTTCCTGTGGCGACTACCTTTTTCACATTTTAGAAAACTAAGAACTAAAGGCTGTGTTTGGTTTGAAGGAAAAAGTAGGGAAAGGAAAGAAAAGGTAGGGAAATTTTTAACAAACCTTGTATGGGTTTCCCTACCTTTCCCTTCCCTTTTCCTTCAAACCAAACATAGCCTAAAGTCCTGTGACATGCAAAGAAAATTTGAGATCAGAGAAAAACCAGCATCATTCCATGAATCCAAATGGGCTATGACCTGAGCTGAACCAAGATAATAATCATTGATTAACCATCCCGAACCCGAATGAACTCTGCAGGTATTTGGTTGTGTTACGTTTCAGTGATCACATCATCTGATGGCATCTTCTATCTAAAACCTGCCATCCGCCCTCGACAGAAGTTGAAGAAGGTTAATAACCATGCAGGCAGGCCAATCAACCAGTTCTTCAATGAAACGCATTTTGGCATATCTGCTGTTCTGCTACAGAGTTGGTACGCATTCATTTCAGACTCCAACTCCATTACCCCAGCTTCATTAGATAGACTCATCTTCTACAGGAGCTTTGCTTTTGCATTGATCAGAGGTTCATTAGATGGCTGTGAATCACAGCTATGATTGCCGGCTTTCACAGTTTTTCAAATGAGATGAGATGCTACCCCCGACTCCCTATTATTTTAGACCTTCATGGCCAGATAAAAAATGTTCAAGTGATCAAAATTGCTTTAGAAGTCTAGAACTAAAAGCATGTTATCCCTAACCATCCGAGTATTGAACTTTTATAAGTCACTTGACAAAATATAAAAAGAAATATGTAACAACATAATTAAATACCTCAGCTGCTCAGCATTTTAACAAGCGATTGTTACCCTTACGGCCTTGCCCACGTCAAAGAAATGCAAATGAAAATTCAAGAAAAAGGCAAGGTTCTAAATATCGATACGCCTGATATGCCTGTAGAGGTGTATCGGTACTTTTTGTACAAATTTTTTTTTTTTTTTGGGGGGGGGGCGGAGGGCGGTTTAATGTTCATCCACCCCCTGAATCGGTCAAAACCCCGATACACTCTCTGTGGGGGCTTATTGGGGTGCTCCCAATATGGGCTGCTACGTGTTGATACGTTGAACCTTGAGAAAAAGGGGGAAAAAAATCCATGCTCTTAACTTCTCCCTAGAAAAAGTTGGGAAAAAAAGTCAACTTAAAACTATGAAATGGAGAGAAAATGTTGGCATCTTATCATTGAATCTGAAGCAAACGGGAAAAGACAAGGGAGACGACAGAAGTAAACAAAGTGCCAAATTCATCTACTTGGATCGGAATGTGAGATAAACCAGAGAGCTTTGGTTTTGCTTACCTTCAAGGGTTCGACCAACCAACCGTTTGGGAAGCCCTTCACGTTACTCATTTTGGCTTTGCGAGATGGGGCCCACCTGGAAAGCTTATGAGGAATGTTTGATAATCCGGAGCGGAGAGATTTTTGTTAGTGTAAAAGCTATGTACACGTTCTCTTTTGATTGAGCTGCATTTATTGAGCCACTTTGAAGAAGTTATCGAGTGTCCTTCAAAAGATTATAGGTTGTATTTGGCATTATTTATTTTAAGCAGTGTTTTTAAACCAGACTGGATCGGATGGTTAGACTGAAAACTGGGAACTAGTCTGTTGACCGGTTGTGTTTCATCACCCCAACTGCTTTTTTGACCAAAAATTATTGATCTGACCTGGGCAATTGAACCATTGATTTGGACAATGGTTTTTGGCTATTATTTTTTGTTAAAACGAACTGATTGTTCGGACTGTTCAACCTGAGAATGGGACCCAGAATGGTTCTCTATCCAGTCAAATTTTAAAAATACCAACACTGAACTTTTAATAACAAAAGGAGATAAGTAAGGAATAGGAAATGCAGCCTTGGCATTGATTGAGCTATGGTAAGAAAATCGCTTTGGAGAAGCTACAAAAGAAAGGTTCACTGGAAAGTCAAATTTGTGGTTCTCGTAATCCTATATTCAACTTTTTAGGTTTTTCACAACATATGGCTTTATAGCTTACCATGTGAAGTCACTACGTGAAAGCCCTCCCAAGCTGGCACTAGTAATTTAAATGTTTTCACACGGCGGCTTTTAGCAGTAAAACTTTGTTTGGTGAAAAACTTGGAAAGCCCAAAAGTATTTACATTGAAGTTAGATGTTGGCTTTCCAGTGAAGCTAGCTTTGGTAGCTTCTTCCAAGCAGCTCAGTCAACATCAAAGCTATTTTCACACAGTGGCTTCTAGCCTTGCAAGGTGGGTACTACATGAAAAGTCTTGAGGGTCTTGAGAATATGTTTGTTTAAAAACCTAGAAAGCTCAAGTATTTTTTTTTTTAATTCAGATATGATATTGACTTTTTAATGAAGTTAATATCTTCATTGAAAGTATAGTATCTCCTGGCTTTTCAAAGTGAGCCCCACACAGAAAGCTTATAATCTATGTTTGGTAAAATGCCCAAGTAAGAAATCAACTTTTTGCAGAAGCTAGTTTCACCGGGAAGTTGATTTCTTACCTGAACTGAAGTATACTTGGCCTTTTCAGGTTTTTCACCCAACATAGCTTCTAGGCTTTCCATATGGAGCCCATCTTGCAAAGCCAGAAGCCGGCTGCGTGAAAATCTTCCCAAACGGGCACTAAAGCTTTTACAAAGTCAAGCCCTCCCAAGCGGGCAGTAGCTTCTCGAAAGCAGCTTAGCTCAAGTGAAAGCGGCGACTCAACCAAATCCTTGCATGCCAGGATTTCCTTTTTCTTTGCCGGGAATTCCGATTCTCCTGATGCGTATCGCACAGCTTGCTAAAAGTGCCAATTCAGTAACTCTTCGCCATTGTCCACTCTCTTCAGGTGCACCATCTTTTCCTTTCTGAAAACTTCTTCATTTTACTGCTTGCTGGTACTTCCGTATTTTTCTCTGAAAATGATCATAGCTGCTTCCTAACAAATCGGCTATCCTCGTAGCTACAGTAATTTGGAAGCAGAAGAAATTGAGAAACTTCAGACATCTGGCTGACAGCAAATTTTTTCCTTTTTTTTCTAATGGCAAAATCTCTTTGTTTGGAAGAGATCCTCTTTGGAAAAGGAGAATTAAACTCTGTGCATTTCGTTAATTTTATATTTCCTTTTCTTTTCTGAACTGAACGAGCGAGTGATGCTTTTCGAAGTAGCATGGTATGAATTGATCGAGAGATCGCGTTTTCCTTAGCGTAGCTGCCAAGTTGTTCTGTTCGGAAACCGGAAGAGGGAGAAGAATAGGGAGTGGGGTGCTTGGGCGTTACATTATGTTTTCTGTGATAAAGGTTTAGCGGTAGATAGTGATTCAGGAGCAGGGATATTAGGTGGATGAGGGGAAAAGTTATGTGCTTTCTAATTAATACTTGATAGAAATATCAAATATCGTGGTTCAACTCGCCATTTTCATACAAGCAAAAGTAAATGATTTGTGATATGGGTATAATTTACAGCTCCACCAGCGGGCGACAAGTGGTGGAGGATCTCTGTTGTCATTAACGGCAAGGTAATGCTCGGCCGCGGGGATCTCGCTTTCTTAACTGCCGCAATCATGGCCTCCCACATGCGGAGCGGAGCCGTGCTCCTGGGTGACTCCGACTATAAAATGGATTCCATGGCCTCAGTTACCTCTCTTACCCACACTTGTTCATTCAAACTGCTATTGCTTACTGTGACCAAGCCCTCGGCTAATTTGACCATCGGAGTCCTTGGCACCATGCCCCTAGGACCACATCCCAAGGGACTCTAATGTCTTCTGACTGTTGATTGTTTACAGGTGGGGACCCTCGGCCTCGTACCATTCTTGTTTGTTATTGTATTTGATCCTGTCGCCCTCAACGCTGTTAGAGAAGATGACAAAATAAAAAAGCATTGAACAGTCAATTTCTGAGGAATTCCCAGTTTTAGGCCTTGGAAGTTGAGTAGTAAGAGTTGTGGCATTTACATTTTAAACATAGTTGAGATGTATCAGAAGTTATTGGGTGTTTCTGATATCAACTGCTTCCTTTCGGCTAGAGCCTAGAAGGGACATGGTTGCCATTCTTGCCAGGTCAAGGATTGCTTAAAAGCTTCAGCCTTCCTCTTTGATCATGCTCAGTGATTGGCTACTAATTCAACTGGGTAGTGAAAAGGACTGTGTTTAGCCTGTAGAAGTTGATGCATTCTTTTAACTAGACCAGAACATAGATAAGCTTAGTTCCTCCTTGATGCATATAGTTTACCTTGGATTTCTTGAGGACCCAATTTGATTGCTAATTGGTTAGCTAGATTAGTTGTGAGAAGGGTCTTTTTCTACAGTGTTGGTGATAGCTAATATGCCTGACTAGTTTTTTGCTTGAAAACATGGTTGAAATTGTACATTTTGTATACTTTCATACATCCTTGCATGTTTCAGGAGTTCTGGTATTACCATTGTTGTTTACCATCTTTTGTCTGTTCCACAGGCAGCTGGAATAGGATATGGAGATTGTAACAAAGATCTTACAACCAGGACAAAAGTTCTGTGTAGAAGAATTACATAATGCAATGACAACAGTTGATAAGTGGAGGAGAAATGCAACCCTAGAGAAAAGAAGCCACATCTTGGAAAATTTTCTGGATTTGATTAATCTTGCATACTAATCCTTACATACATTTTCTGGATTTGATTGGGATCTCTAATCAAAAGTTTTATCCACTAAGATTACTACATTTTCCACCAATCCAGTCTATCCAGATAAGAAAGGAAAAAGAGTATCACCTTTTCACTATTTTAATCTGATATATAAGATTTAAAAGCAACAGTATATGTACTATGCATATCTCTATATTTCGGCTTTCTTGGTGCATTGTTGTTTGGAAACACGGGTAGTTGTCTCTGGATGACTGTCCCAGGCATTTAAAATGTCTTGACATATAGCATCTATAAGGACAGATCCATAGGTCTTTCTTTTTTTTTACTTTCAAGGTTTCTTTTATATGTCTTTTACTTAAACCAAGTGCCTAATGTTGAGAAAAAAAGATTTATTTTATTTCCTATTTTGGTTGGATTTTAAGTTGCAACCTTTAGTGCAAAGTAACCTAATTGGTGTTGACATACACTACAATTTCTATAGAGCATTCAATGAAGAATATTGATGTACATTTATTTCCCAATTGCTAGGGGGTCATTGCATGGTGTAATGGTAAAATCCTGGGCTAACAAGTGTGAGAATGTGGGTTTGAATCCGAGTGTGGCCACTCTGTTCCAAAAAAAAAAAAAATGCTAGGTCAGTATCAATCAACCCTTGCAAGACCCCTGATAGCTAGTTAGGATCAAGATTGGGTAATGGCCTTTTTACTTCCCAATTGGTGGTTGCTATTTTCTGTGCTTTCATATTTTACATACTAACAGAACAATTACATTTTGCTTGAATCCGATCAATATTCCCTGTGCAAATATATTATGTTTCATTTTCTGTTTCCAGATATATTTCTTATTGTGTTAAATCAAATTGATGGAAGCAAGAAGCATCCTATTTGTGAATTTAGGCTTAGACTCTAGTGCCTATGCCCAGTGCCTGATAACATCAATGTACAGATATTGAAACAAGACACAGTAATTTTGGACTGATAAGCTTAACCCAGTTAAGCTATCAGTCCAGCTTAACAAATGAATTAGTGCACATTAATCAAGTTCTAATTTTTCTCCTTTCCTCCAGACACCAATGAGAGCTGGATTTTACACACTTTAGGGGAAAAAGAAACCAGAGCTAGCTTATCAATATTGATAAATACATTCTTTGGCTTTTAGCCTACGAGAAACAAACAAATGTTTGTCTTCAATTTCACCCTGAGGTAAATAATTGGCTCCCCGGGGTAACTGTAGCAGTTCCCTCACCCATGACTGTTGTCAATGTCATCTCCTTTTCTAGTATTCGGTCAAGCTCCAACATGATCATGTCCATCTTTGGTCGCCCTTTTCCAGGTGAACTCATGCACTGAAGTGTCAACCTTATCAAATCCATCATTCCCTCTGAAGTGAAACTGCTGGTGGCTAGCCGATGGTCCACAAGATTGTTTGAACATAGATGTGATTCTACCTTCACAAAGTTGGAGATGCAACTAGTAAGAAAGCTAAAAATAAGTAGTTTATATGTAAATATGCTACAAATGAAGATGCAAACTTCTTAGGTTCACCAAAACAGTCTAATTTGCACTTGACACTGAATAATTAATCCTCATGGAAAAAAAAATACACCTTTCTAGTACTAGCAACAATTGCCCCATGTAAATGTTTAACAAAATCAAGTTGATCAAATACAAAATGCCTTGAGCTGTAACAACAAAGCATATTCCAACAGATTCAACGCAAGCAAGTATTTTCTCGGAAATAAGGACTGAGAGAGGTAATACAAGGTGTAAATTCCTGGTAATTGAAAACTAATCTTCTTCACTTGGGATTTTATGGTTTCCAATATTTTTAGATTTCCAGCACCAACACAGTTAACAGCTTTGTTTAAAGAAAATGTATATGAAGATGCTTATTTACCCACTGGATCAAGCTTTCATGGCTTCTCAAGGAATTGATCTTTAATGCCTCTTGTCCGGTTATGAGCTCCAAAAGAAATACCCCAAAGCTATAGACATCACTCATTCCAGAGAACTTTCCTGATTCTCCCACCCTAACAAATAAACCCATGGTTTATAAAAAAAAAAGGATGAAAAATAAAGAAGAAACCTGAGAAAAAACATCCACATAAATCTAGGCAAAAGTTTAGAGGGGAAAGTGAAGATACTCAGGATCTTGTAAAACATTGCCACCAGTCATTCGAGATGAAGGCCCTGGATCTCCAATTCTTTCAAGCAGATTATAAACCCCTGCATCTGCAACTTTAGCAATGAAATTCTCATCGACCAAGACATTAGATGTTTTGAAGTTCTTGTGTGCTAAAGGAGGTACAAGACCATGTAAGTGGCATAAACCTGCACATTTTAGATTTTTATATAAGCATCTGCATAGTTTGATTTATCTTTTTCCCAACAAGGTCAAGAGACTATTGATCGGATTTTACCAGTATCTACCTTTAGCTGCCCCTAGAGCTATAGAAAGTCTTTGTTTGAACTCTAGTTGTGTTGTTGAACCTTGCCCAGTATCTGTCATACATCAAATTACTAGTATATATGTATTTTAATGAACACAAACCATATTAATGTTTTTCACAAATTGAAACTTACCATAGAGATGACTGCATATGCTGCCATTGGGTAAATATTCAAAAATCAACATTTGAGAATCATCTTCTTGGCAGAAACCCAGAAGAGTGACTAGGTGTCTATGCCTGATCTCTGATAGATAAAGTACCTGCTTGATCACATAAGCTATCACTTTGTATTTGAAATCTTTGTACTTAGGTTGTATAAATTTGAAGTAGAACAATGGACATTTTTCAGAGAGAGGAACTCTAAATTATCCTCTAGTAAAACATTCAAGAACAATAGCTTTTCCTTTAATAAAGCAATTTGGATATTCAATGTCTGTTCACATGATCATTCATAAAAAAAAAAATGTCTTTTCACATGACAAAAGATCAACAAAATAGCAGAATTTTGTGTACCTTGGCCTTGTGTTCCTCAAGGGAGTTCTGTACTTGTGGATCTTTGAACAGACTTAAGATTATTTGAGTGAGCATTTTAACTTGATAAAAAAAAGTTTTGAACTTTTTAACTTACTCGGCAAAAGAACTCTCACAAAACACAAGATGTTAAACACATAGCAGTTAATGAATTGATCTTTGCCCTATTTGTAAGAAAATAGTTATACCTCATTCACAAAATCTTGTCGGGCAGCACCCGGTCGCCTTTTAACTGCCACGATAGTGCCATCACAAAGTAAGCCTTTATACACCAGACCAAAACTCCCCTCTCCAATAAGATTGCTTTTACTGAAGTGCTTGGTTGCTTGCTCCAACTCTTCCAAGGTGAATTTCTTCACTCCCTGCGGTCCAGATAGAGAGGTCCCTCCAGAAGTAAAGCCACCTCCTCTATTCCACTCCACTGTTGATTCTAACAAAGAAAAGCAGATATTAGTGGCACATGCATAGCTCTTTTGAAACATTACATGATTCATCCAAAGCAGCCCTACCTTGTGCAGATGGGTCTGAAGATCCCGTCTCAGAATTCTTGTTTAGCAAGTTCTTAAACTGTGATCTGTAAAACCACATGAAACCAATAACTATCACCAGCAATGCAATCCCCGCTGCAGCACCTCCAACTATGGCTGCATATGGCTTGGACATCTGACAAGAGCTTTATGTCTCTTTCCACAAACTTAAAAACAGAACCTGTGTAGCAAACGAGCAAAAGAAACAAAATCAAATGGGTGGACAAAATTGACCTATATTTCCCATCTTCAAAGCATCCACAGAGATCATAAATTGAGAAGCCCTGTATAAAAAGTAGACTCAGATTCTTCATACCAGAAGCGCGTTAACTCACTCAAAAGTCCCACTTGTCTAACAGTACTAGTAGTCCAGTATAAAATGGCATAATCAATAGTTCTAAGGTCCTACCACAAAGTGGGCATTAAAATTTCTCCAAAAACTGAAGTGTAAACCTTCAGGACACTCACTTGGAGACACTACAAAATTGTGGTAAGACCCAATAAACCCAACAGGAAATTAGACTGACCTTTTGCAACTACCCCACTTTGCTGTCCGGTTTTCAGCATTTCATCCAATGTGATTTCAGAGAATTTCCTCTGCTGAAAAAACATCCCATCCTTCCTTACATGACAACCAAAAAACATAAATGAAGAGGAATCCTTAAAAGCAGTAGAAAAAGTTGAATTACCATTATGTCCTGCATTGTCGGACGATCATGCTTTTGGATCCACCATTTTTTCTGCGATCACCTCTCCCTAAAAGACCTTACTGGCCAAACCTGTTTCCCAAGACAGAAAGAACAATGATTAGACTAGAAGTTAAGATTGGTTATTAGATAACAAAACAAGAAGTTCTCTTAAGCCAAAGAAGATATGATTATATACATTTGATTTCTAACCGCATGCAGAATATATCAAGCATGTATACCACAAGCACTCAATCGGATCTTTCTGCCCCAGATTCCCAACCCAAAGAAATATTGCCCATTCTAGGTGTTGTCATCAACTGTAATGGGTTGATTTTACCGTGTGGATGTGGACAGGGAGGAAAATGACTTCAAATGTACTAGTAATGTGAGACATCATCATTGAAGGAGATCAAAAGAAAAAATGAATAAATAAAATAAGAATTAAAACAAAAGGTAGTAATCGGCCTCTCAATTTCAAGTCTTTTCCCTCTCATCAACACAATCCTCTGTTTTGCTTTCTGTTCATCTGATCTGGAAAGAGTGACTTGCCTTTCATGTGTAGGGTCTCTTTTACATGTGGGGTCGTGATAACCAACCAAACATCAGATAACAACTTCAATGGAAACCCAGCTTCCACTGGTACGTGTTATTGATTTTCAAGAATGAAGCCTGCAAATTAGTTACATGCATGGTTCTAAATGTTGGTGAAGTTTCACGAGATTTTGGATTTTTTTTCTGAAATTTTTGGATCTTGTTCATTTATTCTTCCAAATTTTCAAAATACTATTAAAGTAATATAAACATAAATATACTATAAATGCTAAAAACAGTGATAAGATCATTAAAAATTATATAAATTATAAAAATGTCCAAATTTTCAAATTAAAAAAACAATCCATCATTCGTCCAAAATGGCTGAATTTTCTAAAATGTAAAACCATGAGAACATGTACTTATTCTCTTTTCTTGCACTGGTTGGTGTTATATCAATATGGGAAGCTGGTTGGGAAATTTGGATGGATAAAAAACGACAGGGTGAAATTTCTTCTTTAACTGTTCCTTTGTTTTCTAATCCCCTCCTGGGTACCTGCTTTTCTGAGTTTATACATAGTGCTCTGGGTTGTGCTGGAAAGTAAAACTGTAAAAGGGGTGGGTGGGAAGGAGCTTGTCTTCTTGTGTAGGTTGACGGCTGGATGGAAAACGCCATGTCAATGAACTCACAACAGAAGTTGAGAGATGAAACCAAAGATCCAGGACAAAATGTGGGCTTATCAAACAGGCCTTACTTTCCTTGTGCAGACTTGTATCTGGGACTCTGGGCCTACCGTGCCAAAATTCTTTATTTTCTTTTCCAATTTTTTGGTTCAATATTTTCTTGCTTGGTGTTTTCTTGTACAGCATTGTAATTTGCAAGGGTTTCATCATCTGGCCTACAAATTTGTGTAGGACCAACTGGCACAAGCCTAGCTCTACAAGCCACCTTTGTCCAAGCTTTTAGATCATGGCAATCTGTGGTAGGATCGTCCGTACTCCTGTCCAAATTCTGGGTCATGGAGTCTGTCCGATATTACATAGATCAGCTGAAGCGAATGCTGTCAACTGGCCATGTTATTACATAGATCGAGATGGAAATGGAACCAAATTGTAATATTCGTCTGGTAGGATTTGAACTAGAACATGAACATCTCATAATGCACCAAACTCCACAATTTTCCAAACATCAACAGCGCAAAACACATTGATGATTAGATAGATGGTTTCCGCAATTTTCCAAACCATACTGGGTCATTCTTACAGTTCTTTTGATTCTTGTCTTTTTCATACACACTGTCTCACAAACTTGGTATTATTTTTGGCGAAGAGATTACAATTCTGGGCATCCAAACTCCAGAAGGAGAATAATTCAATGAGATCAGCTTCCTTTTTCTCTAGGCAAGAGCCTCCTGTTAGACACAATCACTACACAAGACAAAATAGACGCAGAAAAGAACAGGATTTAGGTATCCTATATGTAACAGGCTAACAGCATAGGTGGTACTGCTGTGCCGGGTCATGTTCCAACTCAGTTTCTTTTGTTCAGGGAAAGATAATTAAACAAATAGTAGTTCTTGTTCCAGTCCAGAACGTTTGTCAACCGGCACATTATTAGATTTCATGGGTTCACCATATAACCCTTCTGAGTTCTCTCATGCCTAAAGTAGCAGCCATGGCATAAAACCCACTATTGCTTTTTTTTTTAATTGAAGGTTCCGTTTAAAGGGACAAATACAAAGCGGAAACAGAGTTTTGCACCGCTGGTGCATGTATGCAGCCTAACTCTCAATCTTCACCAGTCAGTGTTAGTATTACTAACCGCGCATGGTGGTATTTACAGCTGACAAATTTCATGGCACTGACCACTGCACACGTGGTTGATCCAGAGGGTGGTTTAATGAGTTCATTTTCTCTCCTTAATGCTGAAAGAGGGGGGAGATGCCAGCTAAGGGAGATGGAGACGTATACTTGGGTATCTCTATCATTTATGTCTGTGAAGTGGTCCCTGTTATAATAGGCTTGGGAATCGAATCGAATCTGCTGGGACCCTGGAGGCACTCTGGTAAGAAAGGAAGGGAGAATGAATATGGGAGACAACCTGGTCATCTTCAGACAGCTTTTATACAACGTTTTGAATCAACATTGTCTGTACGACCATTAAGATTTTCCACTTTTACATTTAAATTAAGTGTTCGGTTTGAAAGAAAAGGTAGGGGAAGAAGGGAAAGCATACTTGATGCCCTTGAAATCAAATACTACATAAGAAAGCCTCTTCATTTGATCTAAATTCATTGATCCCCACCAAGGAGTGGGGGAAACAAAATAATAAACAGCATTCTTGTTTAAGATTCAACCTCCAAATGAATGAAGCAGTGATTAGCTTTTACTGGTCCACTTGAAATATTGATAATCAAGAAAGAAACAATATAATTGGGATTAACTGTTGAATATAATTATTCAAGGCAATAATGGTAACCCTGCCAAAAGGGCTTTTGAGATGGCATAGTTTCAAGTAGATACAGAATAAAAGATGATGCCATTTCCATGCTCCACCTTGCACAGTAGATGTGTACATTGTTTTTCATAAACAAAATACAATTACAAACCATTACCATGCATGTATTTACAAGAGATCAACAGTTATACGATCAATGAACAATATGACCACTGGACAAAAGGCGGAATTGGGCAAAAAGCAGAAACTGGGAACCGAGCTCAGGTGGGATACAGACAAGGTGACATATACTTTTTCGTTTAAAATAAGGCAGCCACAAGCAGACACTTCAACCACTCCACAATGCACTTTGGGTAGAATCCACACTCAGCAGTCAGTAGCAACAGCAGAAAGAACCTATAGTTCTTTCTGAACTTTTATACAGCTCACAAAACACGGGTGCATGCTAGCTAGTAATGTGCACTTTATCTCACTTTTCATGAGTCCATCCCCGCCTCCACAAGGCCAGCATATCTGATGAGGCACATTATAACACCCAATCACCATATGATCAGAAAACCAACATTTACATTCCACATACTAAAATTGCTCAGGAAAATAAAGAAAAGCTCTAGATTCTCATTCATCTTTAGTTTGTGAGGCACGGCAAGCATTGTATAATCATTTTCTGAAAGGAGAATTATAATCCTACAGCCAGTCCTTGGTTATAGAAGTTGCTACCACCTGAACATAAGATACATGGTGGGCTAGCCTAAGATTACCTATTGAACAAACTTACAAACCTTGTAACTCATGCCATTCTATTTTCTCTCTGGGTTCAACCAGCCAGTTAAAATGTAGTTCATCTGTTTTGCATTGGAGTGGAAGAGAATTCTACAACTAGGTCTGGTTGTGGGGTTAGCATTCCCTTTCTAAAAGCACAAGTAGCTATACACTGTCATCATAGTGCTCCTGCAAAGTTTAAAAATACATGGAATATGATAACTGGCTCATAAACCACAGATATTACTGCAACCATAAAATGCCAAGTAAATTATGAGAACAATAACAAACTTACAGAAGTAAGGTTTTGGATGTTCCACTCCTATTTTGATGTTTTACTAATCACTGATGTTGCAAACTTGCAACAGATGGACCCTTCATAGAACAACCATCACACAAATAGTCCAATGCTTTGATCAACTCTCCACATTAGAGATAATAATATATATCTTGGTCTAAGCAGACAGGGCATCTACAAAAACGAATGATTCAAGTCAACCACAAAGAGTCCAACACACATGGCAGAGCTGTAATAATCTGTTTGTTGACATAATACAGACCACTTAATCTAATGTGGAATCAATTGCCAGAATATCCAATGGACCTGCAATGCAACCATATAAACAAGGTGGGCCTTGCTGTGGATTACAACAGTGTGCTATCTGCATAGCAGGGTTCAGCACTGGAGATCAGCATCAGCTCATTGTAAACCTGAGGTAGACCTCCCTTGCAAATACAAAATCCTGAAGAGACACTTTCTCACTTAGAATTCTTGTCCATTGCCCATGCAAATATGCTTTATTTTGTATATAACTATCTTGAAACCCTTAAAGAATAATAAGAGGAAGTCATGAAATTTGAATGCAGGGAAATCCATGTCAAAAGAACTCTCATTGGATTGTAACAATCTGAACCCCTGGAGCATCTGGATATTCTTTTGTCAACTGAAATGAATGCAAAAAATCGGATGTTATGATAAACCCAGTAGCTTGGCTACACAGTAGAGAGTTGGTGGAAGAACTTCGAAATACTGAAGGCAGTGGCAACAGTTCAACCCTCCTCCCCATCATGCATGTCTAACCCATCATAACCCACTGGGACAAAAAGTAGGTAATAGAAAAACTGGGTCAAAAATAAAACAAGCACGAGCATTTTTTCCTAACTTGCCAAATTCGGGAAAAAACTATGGATGTTGATTCAGTGCCACTAGTTTCCTCTGTTGAATTGGAATGTACTAATCATAAGTAGACACCAATCTAGGGGTGGCAACGAGCCCAGCTTCGAGCCTACTAGAGCTCGGCTCATGAGGCTCGCGAACCGGCTCGAATATATATAATTATAGAAAATAATATATATAATAAAAATATTATAATTATTAATTTTTTAAATATCAAATAAAAATATTTTTATATATAGTTTTTTATTTTTATAAAACATTTTTTCTCAAAATCGAGCTTGAGCCAAGCCGAGCTCGAGCTCAAGGTTCTAACTCAAACCGAGCTCGAGCCTTGTAGAACAGTCTCGAGCCTCGTACTATTCAGCTCGGCTCGGCTCGGCTGGAACCCACCCCTACACCAATCAGATGCTTAAAAAGCATCCATCTCTAGAATCCCCAAGGATCCCAGCTCATCATAAAAAGGTAAAAACTGAGAGATATAGTGATATTTGACATTTAAATAAAAGTCCCCATGATCACTAGGTTTAAACATCCTCTAACAAACCAGCCAAACTGATGTCTGATTTAACCATGATCCATCTCTAAGTTTTCCACTTCAAACACACACAAAAACAAACAAACAAAGAAGGTTCTCAGTGCAACCCAAATTATTGAACAAAGTAAAATGTATTCTGACCTTAGAAATCTCCTGATGACAAAAAAAAAAAAGAAAGTCTTAATGATTGTTCCAATGTCTTTGCAATCCTTCAGCATTAAATGTAGACTTTGTTTGATCTAGAACCAATGTAAGGGCATGTTCGTTTGCTCTGAAGTCTGACATCTGAAAGTGCAATAATTACATTAAGAGGTATATTGGTATTGGTGAACTTTTCTTTCCTCTGAACTCTGAATGCAGAGAATGTTGTTCTGAACTCTAAATTCTGAATTCTGAAAATTATCAAATATCCATTTTGACCCCATATATGAGAGTTTTTGGGGGTATCATTGGAAAACAAAAAATTGTATGATCACACTTTAAGAGATTCACCAATTATGAACAACCGAATGAGTTATACTGTGCATATCTTTCAAATGATGAACAGGCACTACAGTTTGAGGAATTTGTACCAATAAGGGAAATGAGTACACCAAAGTTGTCAATGGGGTTGACATTCACCAATTAGAAAATATTTAGGGAAGCTTTGGTCTCACATGCAATTCTAAATGGTATCCAGTTTAACTATTTGAAGAACAACAAAGACAAGGTTATAGCTCATCGTAAGTGTAGATGGCACATTTATGCTTCTTGGATGCAAGATAAGGAAGCATTCCAAATCAAATCATTTGCAGAAAAGTGTGAATATGCAAGGGCTCTAAAGAATGACAAGATAAGTTCAGCATGGCTTACCAAAAAGTACAAGCACAAAGTCATGGATGACTCGAATTTGAAGGCACTTACATTATGTAATGAGACCCTCAAATATTACAGGGTTGATATTAGTAGGCCAACCACATATAGAGCAAAGATGAAGGCATTATGTGGTATTGAGGGGGTCCAGATTGAGCAATTTAAGAAGTTGCCTGATTATTGACATGTGTTGTTGAACTCAAACACATGGAGTATAGTGACGATTGGGTTCAATAAAGATACTCCAAGACAGCTTCAAAGACTTTTTGTGCTTCAATGCTATGAAGGTTGGCTTCATGGAGGGTTGTCGCCCATTTATAGGGATTGATGGTTGCGTATCAAGGCCTTGTGGTGACATTCAAGAGGATGATTCCATGTGTTGAGCATAGATTTTGTGTGAGACACGTGCTGAGTTTGATTGGCATATGGAGAGTCTCAAGTCTCTAAGCAGTGATGCATTTGAATGATTATCACAATGGTGGAGACAATTAGGAGGCAATTGATGAAGTTGGTACAAACGAGGTATCAGATGCTTGCCAATGAGAAGAGTCCTACATGCCCAAATGTTAGGAAGAGAATATCCTATCTGCAAGAGCGTGCTCGCAACTGTTTCCATGTGTATGCCGGGATGTTTTCATTCGAGGTGACCCAACATGATTGGAGGATGGTTGCCAATTTGTGGAGGACCTACACAAGCAAACAATTGGCATTGACTGCAATACCATGTTTTCATGCAATATCCTGTATACAAATACAGAGTGTTCAATATATGACTATGTTGACCTCATATACATAATTGCAAAATGCATATGGGTATACAGTCATATCATTGTGCCCATCCCAGATGAGACCCAATGGCCCCATGTTAAGCAACCGATCCTCATTGTCCCACTTGCCATAAGACCATAGTCGGGGAGACATAAGAAATTACGACAAAGGGCCCATATGAGGTGATTATCAGTCATTGTGTGTTGAGAAGGGGCAAGTTCATGAGATGTGCGGGCAAGTAGGTCACAATAAGAGGGGATCTAAGGGCAGGCAAACCAATGAGTCATCAACAGGTGGTGGGAGTGGGGTGGTGTAGTTTATGCCCATACTGGACATAGACAAAGTACCATGGGGGTTGGGGTACAAAGAGGACAGAAAAGCACGAGGGATTCATCAAGGGAAGGGGAGGGGGTGCATTGTCCCACAGTGTTGGAGCTAGAGTTATGCCTCTAAGTCGTAGGAGTGGAGCTCCACCTCAAGCATCCAGAGAGGGGTTGAGGGGGTCTGAGAGAGATAGAGAGAGGGTTCAGAGCATGGTTTTTAAAACCGAACCGGTTAGGGGTCCGGTTATCGGTTCGAACGGTCCGACCATTCAACCCGAAAGGTCGGCCCGTTATGACAAAAAAATTTAAAAATTTGAAAAACGGTCAAAACCGTTTGAACTGTTCGAATGGTTAACCGGCCGGTTCAGCGGTTTGCTGACCAAAATCAATGGTTTTGAGGAAAAAGCGGTTTTCGGGAAAAATGGAACCGATCAGGTGGCTGGTTCCCGGTTTTTCCAGTCCGACCGTTCGGTCTGGTCTGGTTTTGAAAACCATGGTTCAGAGTTTGAGAGAGGGTCTGGGAGAGTCTGAGAGAGATAGAGAGAGGGTTCAGTGTGTGAGAGGGGGTTAGAGAGAGAGGGTTCAAAGTGTGAGAGAGGGTCTGAAAGAGAGGCTCCAGAGTGTGAGAGGAGGGTCAGGGGTTTGAGAGAGAGTTCAGAGTGTGAGGGAGGGTCTGGAGGTCTGAGAGAGATAAATACCTTTTCTACCCAAGCACATCTTTTCAAAAAAGCATTGGGGGGATCTGCAAAGGAAGAAAAGGTAAATTTGGGCATATAGCACATCTAGTCATCTCTTCATAAGGTACACAGGGAAAAAGTTGTGGGCACACTCTTGCAGATAGGATATTCTCTTCCTAACATTTGGGCATATAGAACTCTTCTCATTGGCAAGCATTTGATACCTCGTTTGCACCAACTTCATCAGTTACCTCCTAATTGTCTCCACCATTGTGATAAAAGTTTTGTCTCTTGCAACCAATATCCAAAGGCCTCTGAGAAGTTGTTGTAGACATCATTATTGCATGCCCTAAGCCCAAAAGTTGATCTGGTCCACAAAGCTGGGGGTATCTTCTTCAGTCATTCAAATGCATCACTACTTAGAGACTTGAGACTCTCCATATTGCAATCAAACTCAGGAACAATGTATGCTCTGGTTGCACCCCATAAACAGTTCCTCGAGTCTATCCCCTTGAATCCTCCTTTGAAATTTGAATACTTGTGAATCACACAATCTATGCTCAACACCTAGAGTTATCCACTTGAATGACTCCATAAGGCACTGATACACAATGAGCAATCCTTGGTATGTTTACTCAAACAACCGAACATAATAAATGAACTAGAATTTCTACACTAAGGATATTACGAAAATACCTTCAGTTTATCCAAAATAAATGCCCACACATGTTCCTTTGGGCCTCCAATAGCCTCAAACAACATAGACAAAAACCAACTCCAAGATTCCCTCCACTCTGACTCAACAACAACAAAAGCAATTGGGAATATACAATTGTTCCCATCTAGTGCAACCAATAGACAGTATTTGACCAAAGTTAGGTGGCTTTAAATGGCAGCCATCAAGCCCTACAAATGAGTGACAACCCTCCATGAAACCAATCTTCACAGCACTGAAGCACAGATAGTTTCTAAAACTGTACTGGAGTATCTTCATTGAACCTAATACTCTTCATTAAACAAACACATGTCAATAATCAGGCAACTTCTTGAATTGCTCAGTCCGGACCCCCTCAATACCACATAATGCCTTTGCTCTATATGTGCTTGACCTACTAATATCAGTTCTGTAATCTCGGAGGGTCTCATTATGTAATGTAAGTGCCTTCAAAATTCAGGTCATCCATGACTTTGTACTAGTACTTTTTAGCAAGCCATGCTAAACTTATCTTGTCATTCTTCAGACCCTTTGCACATTCGCACTTTTCTACAAATGATTTGACTTGGAATGCTTCCCTATATTGCGTCCAAGAAGCACAAATGTGTCATCCGCACTTACCCTTACAATGAGCTATAACCTTGTTTTTGTTGTTCTTAAGATAGTTAAACTGGATACCATTAAGAATTGCATGTGAGACCAAAGCTTCCCTAAATATATTCTAATTGGTGAATGTCAACCCCATTGACAACTTTGGTGTATACATTTCCCTTTCTGGTACAAGTTCCTCAAATTGTGGTGCCTGCTCATCATCTGTAAAATATGCAAAGCATAACACATTCGGTTGTTTATAATCATCCAACAACTCTGGCCCCATTATATCCACTTGAGTTATACTACTAGTTGTACTACCAACACCATCATGAGAATCATTACCAGACTGGTTTGGTTCACTAAGTGGGGTATGAGTTGATGTCTGCCCACCACACTCATTGTGCCTCTCTGTATCAAAACAATCATGGGCTGGACTTATCTCATCCTCTAATGATGTAGATTGTTCATCCTCTTCATAAACATCACTCATTATGTAATCCTGGTCATCACTTTTATCATGTCTAAAATGCGTCTAATTTTGGTAAGACGTGAAACCAGGTCTTACCATTATAGATCTTTTTTTATTTCTTTTGAAGGGCTACACAATTGGGGGTAGCCTATCCCCCAACCTAGGTGCAAGTGGGATTCGATCCCAAGTCTCTACCATGACCAGCATGAGACCTTACCAACCAACTAGATTTGTGTTTTAGATCTCTAATCAAACCTAAAATCCCAAATGTTAGTGGGGTCTAAAAAGCAAAGTTGTTAAACCTTAGGTGTTTAAAAAGTTATATCAAACACCACCTAAGTTGAAATTTGATGGGAGTAGTGAAGGTATCCTAGAGCCTTTAGGCATTGGAAGGGTTTTCAAAGATGAGAAGAGAAAGTTCTTCCTATATTTTCCGATTCTATTGGTGTAGTTACTTCACTTAGAGCTGAAATCTTGGAGGTAATTGAAGGGTGAAAGAAGGCTAAGGAACTCAATATTAGAAAGCAATTGATTATAGGATGGTTGTAAAAGGAGGCGAATGGACTATGCAGGTCAGCTAATGAAAAAAGGAAGTTTAAATAGTTAACCCAAGGTGTGGAGATTGAGCTGCAAACCCTGCAATGGGTAAAGTGCTAACTCCTTTGTGGATACTCTAGCTAAACAAAGAGTGGGAAGGGAACAACTGTTCTAGGTTGTGTTGTAATTTTACGTTTTGCTTTTCTTCTTGAGGGTTGAGAGAGTTTACAAAATATATGGGCATTGATGAAAATAATGCAAATGATGGGTCGAACAATAAAATGCATAGAATGTTGCAGAAGCATTTGGAATATCAAATTAAGATGATGATGAACAATAAAATGCATAGAAGGTTGCATAATCAATTACTTATATGTATAATATAAATTGCATAACCTATGATATTATTACTAAAGTTCCTTATTATGTACATGTGAAAATAAATGGTAAAAAGGCCAAAAGCCAATTTTAGATATCATACCAAGTATAAACAATTTCCTTCCAAATAGATATTGCCAGAACCAAGCAAGGGAGATCCACTGTAAATACCCGAGCTTTAGCTTTCAACAGTGAACATGCCTTGGCTGGATGGAAACTCAAAGCCACAAACCTACGATCTTTGGTAACAACTCTGAAACAAGCAGATCAGTAAGGAAAGAAAAGAATTAGTGATCACCAGTTAAGATTAGGGACAAATGAGAAGAAATGAGCAAGCAATTAAACCCCAACTATTCAAACCATACAAATACTTTTCCAAGTTCCAATAAACAATTAAACCCTAATATGCATAATAAAAATTTGCCTCCTCTTCAAGTTGAAAGCATCAACATGTCTTGTAGATGAGTGGGATATAGAGAAAAAACAGAAAAAAAGAAAACAGTAAGAGAAGTTAAGACATTGAAACAAAAAAAAAAAAGAGAAACTGTGTTTGTAAACAAGAGATATCCAACTTATTTAAAAGATATTGAGCTTGGTCTTCTACAATTTCTGATATCTTCAATTTCAACTGATTCAAAATTCAAATGCAAATCAGATTTCATGATCTGAACTTGAACATTGCAAGTTTAAAATCTAGATGAGATAGTTAGCCTCACAAAGGGCACTGACCAGCTTTAGTATACCTAATTAGCTTAGTTGGGTAAATAGAAACTAGCAGCTCCCATTTCATTTGTATTGAAATATTTCTAATACTCTTACATCTTCCATTCTATAACTATTGGCATGGATTCAAACTGCAGTGCAGAGATCTAGAAAACGAAGAAACTATGTGATAGGAGAAACAAAACATGGTCTGGCAGGTGCATCAAGACTCAGAACTGTAACAAACAATGCAAGGATTGGGAGTAACGGAGCAGGCATGCTACTGCTACTTCAATTGCTGAAGCATGAAAAGGCTTTCATCCAGCCCATCAAATAAATTCTCAAATCAGACTATGACCAATCTATAATAAGTCTGATGATGCTGAGTGAAGATCCAACTAAAATCTAATAAATGGTAAAAAGCAAGATTGGTCAGTAGATTCCTAGGTTGACCTTACCATGTGGAACTGGTGAGTTTGGAATGACTGATGTGTTGATCTTAGATAGACAGAATAGGCTGAAATAACAAAACCAAGGTTTTAATAGGTCAAAACCATCCAACTGTGCTTCCTGGATGACCAAAGACCAATACATCCAATAAGAAGCATTGGGTCATTATACTCGAGAAATTTATCATTGGAAGTCTGTCATTGCTTATTCTTTTTCGGTTCCATATGCTAGCTCCGTGCAAGCTCACCAACAGTAAGAGACCCAAATTCAATAACAGAAGGGAAAGAACATATGTACAAATCAAACCCCAATTTCAAATCTTAAACCATATTTAAGTGTCAAATGCCTCCTCACCAACTAAACACCAATAAGTTAAAAAACAAGCATTAAAGGTCTAAAACAATCAGAACCCTCATAAAGATTCTCATAGTAGCTCAACCAAGTTGCATAGAATAAACTTGGGTCCCAAGCTTGGTCTACTGGATGCTAGAACTCAACATTATTACCAGAAAAATAAAAAGCTACAAGAAAATAGAAAACAGAGCAATATTATTTTTTTAAGTTCCTTTTTGCCATCTTAGGTTTCTCAACCAATGTCCGCTGGCGGTGGGGCCTTGGAGGTAGGTTGGCGAAAAACCCTAAAAATGTAGGTGCAGATATGATCATAAAACCCCTTTCACTCTTCGACTTCCCATCCGAACTCCCTTTCGCCCTTCCATCGGTGCATTGGGAGAAAACGCTACAATCCACCATACAAAAAATAGTAATGTTAGATTATAAAAAATGATAAATAGGGTTAGAGCAACACCTTCCCTCGGTGGAACGATGCTTTACAACTTTCTCTAGAGTCCCTGAGCTCGTGTGGAATCTCGGCGTCTTCTTTGCGATCATTAGAAACAAACTTTCCCCTCTCTCAATCGGTCGATTCACGCCTGGTACGAAGCTTTCTCAAACGAATAACGCTGGTATGGAGCTTTCCTGAGTCGAACATGCTGGCAATTACCATGCAGTTCTCATCCTGCGTTCTTGAATCGAGTTCGAGGCAGTTCTAGAACGGAATGTTGGTGCTACACTGGGGAGTGAGAGGGGAGTTTTCTCTGAAGCTGTTTGTTTGGCCTTCCTACTATCCAATGCAAATGCTACACTACGGGGGAAAGTCTTGTTGAGAAAAGCGGAGAAGTAGTCAAAATTCTACTTAACTCTTTGAAAGCTCTGAAAATGAAACATGAATCAGATGGTTTAAGAAATCCAATTGTCCTGCTGTAATGGCACGAATAAAAAGTATGTGGTGGTGGGTTAAAGGTGATTTTAACATTGAGAGGGCTAACGATGATATACTGTGGAAGTGTGGATATCATTCTCGAGGGAAAAGGGTTTGCTGAAAGTCCAAAATGGAGAACCAAGGTCCATCGAGCAATATCCTCTTTTGCTGGTAATAAGCATAGCGGCAGGGAAAAAACTTGAAAATAGGAGGGCAAATATTCAAACACCGATCGTAAAGAAGTTTGAAAGTAGCAAGATGACTGAAACAGAAAGACCAGGGGAGTATGGTCCATGGATGAAGGTGCAAATAGGGGACGAAGGAGATAGGTTTATGAATGTAAAAGCAAAATCGAAACCTCAAAGAAGGAAGAGAGTCCTTTTTGGAGCGATAGTGTTACTCTGGTGGCTGATGAGAACAACGAAAAGGGGATACGAGTGACAATGCTTCACATATCACAAGGAGATGCCGAAGAAAAAAAAAGGAAATAGTGGGGAAAATCTCTCTAAAAAGGAAACTATTTCAAGAAATGGAGGGTTCAAAAGAGCTCACATCGTCTGTCCCGTCCAATGACAGCCGAACACGCCACCCTCCCCTAGATGATCTGCAACCCTCGCCTCCTGTAAGAACAGGGGAACCTGACTACTATACTGAATTCATTAGCTCTTTCCATGAAGAACATTGGAGAGAAAATTGAGACAAAGACCTTGGATGACGGCAAAACTTTTTTTTCTCTTACTTTTGATGGAAAATGGTTTGTATTAGTTAATTAATCAACAACTTGATCATGTTTGGTAAGCTTGTCTATGTTTTTGCTTTTGTTTGGATCGTTTGTAAATTAAAAAAATTCTGATTTCATCTACAATGGCTTTTGAGGTGCTGACTTGAGCATGGATAGTCTAGAACAGATAACACCAAGCAGCTATGCCTTTTACCCTATTCATTCTAATTTAAGAATCAATCGAACGGTGAAGTCTTCTCTTTATCCGTCAGCGTGAGTACTCAATATCGGCGGCAATGAAATGGCTTTCGTGATCGCACCGTCAAAAGACCTCCCGAGATCTCTACCAATCCAATCTCTAGGCTTTTTCAACGATTTCAACAATAGAAACTCATCAGCCATGTTGTTGCAGTTGAACTACACAATCGAGAATATTGAATTTGCTGATGTAGGTATTGACGTTAACAACTTAATGGATGCTGCTTCTGCACCATGTTTTATTTTACTGATAAAAATGGTGGGCACAAGAACCTAACCTCAAACGTGAGACACTACGATGGTTTCAACACTCAAATTAATGTCACATTAGCCGGTTATATTGGTGGAGGAGATTTGGACCGAAGAAGGAAGAGAGAGAATGAGAAAAGAGAAATAAGGGAGTTAATTGGATTAATCGGAGGCTGCAGAGTTGTCTTCGACTGTGGATACGATTCGCGATGCATGTGCAAAGGGGCGGTGGAGAGGGAGGATAAGAGAAGAGAGAAGGACGGTGAGGGATGCTATGGCTCGAACTCAGTTGCAGAATCATCTTCGATGACGGTGAATGAGTTTCACGATTTGATGTCAGTGAAAGCGAAGAGGCGGTGGGGAGGGAGGGGAAGAGAATAGCAGGAATGATGGAGCGAAGGGAGAGGCTCGTGTCAAACATATTTGATAAAAGGGTAAATTATAAAGACTCTTACTATGGGGTCTATGACAAAGACCCCCTTGTATTTTGTTTTGCGACAAAAGACTCCCTATAATATGACCGTGAGACAAAAAACCTCCTTTCGTTAGATTTTCCTCGAGTTCCGTCGTTGTAATATTTTTTAATTCCCATACTATTCTTGTAATAACTATTCGGTAGGGCTGTTCATAAGAATACCCAATCTGACCAAACCGATCCAACCCGAATTGGTCGGGTTTTCTTCAGCACCGGTCGGTTTCGGGTTGTAACAAATCATAAACCAATTATTTGGGTCGGCTTCGATTTTCACCGACTTAGTAGTTAGTAGTTAGTTCCTAGTTAGTATTTACAACCTACTTAATTCCTACTTAACTAAGTTGTCTCTATCCTAGTTACAACCTAACTTAATTTCTAATATTCTAGTTATGAATGACATTAATGGCAAGTATTGTAAGACAACTAGACAAGGAATTTTTTTGGAAAAGTTTAAAGAAAATAATCAAAGGATCCTAGTTTTTATGGTCTTTTACACCAAATAGGCAACCAATTACAATTAGAATTAGGTGTCCTTTTTTACTTAGATTAGAAGGTTTCTTGAAATATACAAATTTCAGTATTCTTTCTCTAATACAGTTTGACTTTCTATTTTCTTGATAACTTCTATTCTAACTTGGTCCGCCCCCTACCAATTTCAATCTTCTTTCTCTAATAGAATTAGGTGTCATTTTTTACATCAAATTTCAGTCTTCTTTCTCCAACCTACAAATTTATTACCATGGTTGAACTTAGAGCCGAAACCGACTGAAACCGACCCAACCCGACTCAAACCGACCAAGTTGGTTTTGCTTAACACAGGGTCGGTTTCGGTTTCAATTTCGGGTAACTCGACTAGGTCGGGTTGGTTGAAAAAATCTCAGTAAACCGACCCAACCCGACCGTGAACAGCCCTACTATTCGAACAATTGAGAGAAAAATACTATTCATCTTCTCCGACCTCACGATACACGAACAGCAACAGAGATAATCCCCTCTACCTCATATTCCTTTACATTTCTCTCTATCCCTCTCCCCCTGATCTCTCTTCTTCCTCTTCCCCTTTCTCTCTTATTCCGCTCTCCTCTCCTTTCATGCTTTTGGGCAAGGGTCCAGATGGTCATGTGGCGTCTCTATTCCTCGAGCATCCTCTCGTCAATGAGAATAAATGATGGGTAACCTTCATCAAGGACTCTCCAAAGCCACCTCTAGAGAGAATAACTTATACTTTTCTAGTAATCAACTTGTCTTCAAGCATCACCCTTGTTGTGTGTGGATCTAGTAAAGCTGATGTTATGCATAGAGCGCTTGGGAATCAAGAAAATTCTGATTTGTTGCCTATTCAAATTGTTTCACCTGAAGGGAAACTAACCTGGTTCCTGGACAAGCCTGCAGCTTCTAAACTATAGGAACATTCATGCTAATAGTAGTGCGGGTTTGGTAAGATATTCAATAAATTATCTCTCATATTTAGAGGAACCTGGAGATGGAGATGGAAGTATTTTTTGTTGTCAACCAAAGTTCAATTTGTTGGGATGGTATCGAGCTATCGTATGGTGATGATGACCTGCCTTTCTTCTCTCTGAGGATGGAGCAATTGCAAGATTAATATAGCATTGGAGAAGGTTGTTGATAGTTTTATTATGTTCAATATAGGCTCTTTGTTATTTGATGGATCAATACCAATTCTAGAGACCTTTCTTGAACAAGAATGGAAGGAGTGTAGATTGTGGACTTCAGTGCAATGAAAAATGCATGTAAGTTTGGTGATTTTACTTTTTTCTATTCAATTTTAAGAATCTCCTAGGACCTGATTTATTGTAATGAACAAGTATGGCTACGGAAGTAGATTTGGGAGTTTGGTTCTGGAAAGCAAAGACAAGTAATAATATGTCTTCTAGGACATTTTCAGCCCAATAAAATCTTCATAAGTGCCTCAATTATCAATGAAAAAACTTTATTAAAATGAGTAGGAATACCCCTGAAGGATGAATTACTAGCTCTTCTTTTAGAGTCTAAAGCTAATATTCTCATTGGATTGGTCTAGTTTGATTGTGGAAAGTGACTACCAAGTTGTGAGTCATTGTCTCTCCTTAACAGAAGATGGTCCTTGAACCCTTGGTCCTATCATTAAAGAAGCAATATCTCTATCAGCAAAGTTGAACTGTAATTTCAGTTCAGAGGAAGAAGGAACGGAGGGAGAGAAGAAGCCAAAGGAGGGGGGTATGCTCGAATTAGCTACTGCAACGAGTTGTGGTGGCTATGGCCGAGAGGAACGAAAAACAGAGGAAAGCAATAAGAAGAAAGGGGAAGGGGAATAGGAGATATCAGGGGGGAGGGGAGAGAGAGAGAGAGAGAGAGAGAACATGTGAAGGAATCTGAGGTATAGAGGATTACCACTGCTACTGTTCGTGTATCGTGAGGTCGGGGAAGATGAACAGTGTTTTCTCCCAATTGTCTGAATAGTTATTACAAGGGTAGTATGGGGATTAAAAAATATTGCAATGACAGACTTCAACGGAAGGCTAACGGAAGGGGGTATTTGTCTCACGGTCATAGTATAGGGGGTCTTTGTGGCAAAATAAAGTACAGGGGGTCTTTGTCACAAACCCCATAGTATAGGGGGATCTTTGTAATTTACCCTTGATAAAACTTAGCGTCCATACCGTGGTTACAACCTTAGCTCTGTTAGTTTCAATTTGACATAGGAGAGTGTGATGTGTTCGAACATAGTTGAACGGGATTTCTATTGCTAGGGTTGTGTTTGGTTGCAATGCAAACGCAAATATGTACAACTGTACATTGCATATTTGCTCTCTTTTTAGTTCATGAATATAAACGTTGTTCAGATTTTAAATTGTTTTTGTACTCATCTTGCTTGTTTGAAATCGATGTTAAGTGTAGGCCCTGTCATTAAATGTTCCAATTACCTTATGCTCCAATGCTTTTAACTTTAGTTAAAAAGTTGATTATCAAAATAATACAAAATTGTATCCAAAAAAATAGATACAATAATGCTTTCTTTTTAGAGTGTAAAAATGTTAGAAAATGTGTTATTGATTTGATAATCATTACTTTTTTTTTTTTTACAGTTCATTACTTTATACAATCATTACTTTTTTACTTTTGATCTGAATTAGATCTAGACTCTTTTAACAATTAAACATTATCCTCTTGAGAGGATAAGTGCTCCATATCCAATACCAAACTCAGATTTGACCCAAATCACATGACAACACTTAAAGTTGTCATGTGACACCACTTAAAGTTGTCATGTGACAACTTAATTAATCTTATTAATATTGGGTCTTTTGCTCATTTTTTTCAAAGGCTCACAACCCTAGGTGTTGCATGGCCACTTTAGGCCTAATATTGTATGGTGTGTGACCCTACAAAGGTCTCTCTTAAGTCCATAAGGTCGGAGGGTCCGGACCCACCTTAAAAGATGTTAAGTTGAATTCACTACTCAGAGTAGTGAACCCCTGATCAAATCAGCATGGGCTCAGTCTAGCCCAACATTTACACCTAAATGATCATTGGATTCAGCCACCCTATGAAGACTTAAGGATAATGAACTTAAGTGGGATAAATCTCATCATGTAATCAACCCTGTAATGGTCTCTTACACTTAACCTCTCGGCCCATAATGATCATAATACTGCTTGACAAGGAATGATCTTTCCCTTAATTGCAAAGTGCAATGCTATATTCTGTGCTTAGATAGATCACAAGATTAAAACCTTTTGCAAACTTTTTTCATAAAATAGTAGTATATAACATGTTAATACATTTTTATTAAAATATATTTCAAATACAATTGAAATTCACTATCGACAGTTTAAGTTTTCACTAGAGAGAGTGTAAACCCTGATATTCACTTTGTCCTATAAATATGTCGATCCTAATACTATGATCACCCGCTCAAGTGAACTCACAAACTACCCCAACATGCTCAGGTGTTAATCCTTGATGGGTCTCAGTAATTGGCACATAAAAAATAGCACAGTCCAACACCTAATGCAGTAACATAATCAAGTTAGGGGTTATGTGTAATTTTTCAATTTTGCCCATTTATTTCCAAGGTATAGGGCATAATTGGAAACTAGTCCGGGTTCAGTGTTTCTTCCAAACACACACTGACTGTGCTTGGGGTATAACCCTAGCAGCAGAGACAAGCTGTTTCAATTGTTTAACAACACACAAGTGTCAGCCTTGGCAGGACAAACTCACCAAGTCTATCCAACAATTGAGAACATTTTAAACTAACATGAGTCTCATAAGTATCTAGTTTAAGGGGTAATTAATAGAAAACATACCAATATAAACATGAAACAATAAAATATACTTTATCCATTTATAAATAAATATTTATGTACAACAATCCGATTGGAGCTAAGGGCATATACTGTATAACGTTAATAATTATGTAACACTAAGTAACCAATTAATTGCAATAGATTAACCATAGAAAATTATGATTTAAGAAATAATAATGACTTACCTTGGCCATTGATCACTTGGTTAGTCGATTGTTAGTCAATTACAAACTTCAAAGTTCAAACCAAACTCTATTTTGTGTTATAATAAAATTAGAAAAGACAATAAGTTATATTGAATATTGAAGATGGAACGATGGGAAACTCAACACAAAACTTTGTTTTCAATTTCTGTTCCAAATAAAAACTCAAACATCGGTGTTACCCATGTAGTAGACAAGCAAAAACTACAAGAAAAATATAAAAAAAAATAGAAAAAGGAGAAGAACAGAAGAATAAGGGAGAAACCCTCGTGCAATTGCGTTAGAATGGAAGAATAAGATGAATGAAAGAAAGAAAGAAATAAATAAATAAATAAAAAAGAAGAAAAGAAAAGGGAAAATTCACCTTGATCGTCATTTTAATGGAGTTTGAGCCTTTGAGGAGTGAGGAGAGCATGTCTTTTGTAGTTTTCACTTAGTTCAAACTAAGAAGAAAAAAAGATAGAAAACCCCCAATATGTTCGGCTCCCACCCTAAGTCCCTTTTCCTCAAGGCTTTTTCATCTTTTTACATATTTACCCCCATTAAAATACCCATAAACCCATATTTTTTAGGCTATGCCTTAATGATTTTACACCTCAAGGCGAGAGACGTACGCCTCACCGAAATTGAGGCAACCACCCTACAACATCTTGAAGAGGCTATTGAGGCCAGTCATTTTTTGGCCACCTCACCTTGAGGTATATGCCTCTAGCCTTGCCTCGAATACCTTTTAAAACCATACTACCAACAATACTTGACACCGCACATATTATGAGATGTATGGTGTCAGATTAAGTTGGTAGGGTGTTAGAACTTGAACTTGTTTTGTTGGTAGGTGATCCCAACTTGTTTGAATCACCTATCAATGAAATATGTTCCAACACCATACGAGCACCATTTTACATCGTACATATCATACATGAGAAGTTTCACTTTTATGGTGGACCCCAATTTCATAGTGAGATGCATGGTGTCAAATCAAATTGGTAGGGTGTTGGAATGTGTTTTGTTGGTGGGAGATCCCAACATGTAAAAAGCAAAAAAGAAAGTATAAGGAGTTTGTCACACATTGTATAGGGGTATTTATAATTTACCCTTATACGGACCCCTTGTACTATGGGGTCAGTGACAAAGACCCCCTATACTTATTTTTTTCAACAAATACCCCTGAACTTTTATATTGCGACAAATGCCCCTCAACTGTTAAGTTAGACAATGGAAGGCTTAAATTACCAAAATACACTACTAAACTTTTTGAATTTTCATTTTTTCTTGTCCTTCTCTCATAACACATAATTGACCCAAAATAAAATACCTTTAAAGCCTCGTTTGCTTTTTGTTGGGTAAATGCAGTTACCTAGGTAAATTTTTTTCCGTGAAACACTTACTCGGATAAGTTCATTTACCCATGCTCTTTTATTTGTCATGTAAATAAGGCAATGACCATTTTATCCATTATTAAAAAGGCATTTTTGTCTCATTCAAAATAAGTGATACCTAGTAAAATAAACTTTCCACAGTCTCCACATAAATATGAAAATAGAACATGGGATTCTTAGTCAATAGGAACCAAAATCCCATTAACCAACTTCCCCCCTCTCAAAATCTGAAAAAAAAAACACCCCCTAATTGTTACTGGATTATCACCGGAAGCTTCATCAGCTTGTGATGGTCTTGCTGTGAAATTCATTTACCATTGAATTTTGATCCCGGACATTGATTATCACGAGAATTGTTTAGCATTGGGTTTCCTCAAGCTACAGGATTTTTGGGTTGACTTTGCAAAACCAACGAGTATTTTAACAAGGGTCAGGTAAGGTGGGTCTCATCAAAGAGTGGAACCCATTATTCTGCAACCAACTTGGCCCATCGCTAGTGACTAAACTCTGGCATGGGTTGTAGCTCAAGTGTCATGTTTGCTGACATGGCCACTAAGCTCTTGAACTGCAGCAGGCATATCAAGTATGCAGTAATCGATCGAGAACATCAACTTGAATTGGTATTTTTGGCAATGACTGCCCGATGCTCATCACCAATTGCATCTTCTGTGTCATTTGCGACACGACGATGATAACCAATGACCCGAGTCATCAGGGAGAAGGAGAAGCTAAAATGAAACTCATTAGCTCTCTTAGGACTCACAACGGAGTCGACGACAGTGCCAAAGTAGCCGTGTTTCAACAAGAAGATGAAGTAGGTAATCCCAAAGTGTTGTCACTCAAGAAGGATTTGGTTCGGGTTGCTGGTCTTGGCTTGGGTGATCACATCCGGTCACTTGCACCGAAAGTTCTGTCGGTGAGTGAGCTCACCTCATATACGTACTTGGTTGAAATGTTTGCAATATCAAGTGGCGAGTCCAAGCTAACGGTGTTAGACTTCACAATGACGTTCAACCACTTTTGCATTCATACCGGAGGGGAGGCCGTGATTCAACAGGTTGCACCTACAAGGATGAGCAAAATAGCCTGATAAAATAAATTAAAAAAAAGGTAATTTGAGAATTTAGGAAAAACACTAATCGAAGGGTTCTTTGATCTTTGTCATAAAAAGGGGAAAATGTCTAAAACTCACCGTGAGTTTTCAACATTTCTCTTAAATTCACCACAACTTTTCAAAATGTGTAAAACTCACCATGTCATTAAATTGACGTTAACAGACTAACGGGTGTTAATATATTACCATTTTATTATTTAGACATGAAAAAAGGAAAAAGTTCAAAAAATATTTTCAAATATAAAATGCATAAAAACATAAAAATTCCAAAAATATAAAAAAATTATAGAAATTACAAACAAAATTAAAAATTATTTTTAAATTATAGAAACTATAGAAATTGAAAAACAAAATCAGAAAATAAAAATTGTAGAAAGAACACCAAAAAATTATAAAAAACACAGAAATTGTAAATAAATAACAAAAAATATAAAAAAAATATAGATTGTAGAAAATAGAAAAATGTAAAAAAATAGAAATTATAAAAATAATAAAAATTATAACAAAACACTAAAATTGCAAAAAAAAAAACTGATCATTTTTCCTTTTAACTCACCATTCAAGGATAATTTGATTATGAAAATTGTTCTGTTAAGAAACATTGCTTTGTCACTACTCCATAGTACGGGGGTCCATGTAATTTACCCTTTTTTTCTTCGATTGATAGCGTGTATAGACCTGTTCATGGGCCGGGCTGGGCTTTTATTGTGTATTAACAAATTTTTTTAAGGCCCGAGCCCGAGCCCGGCCCGACCATCGGGCCTACAATTTGGGCCTGAGCCCGGCCCTCATAAAAAGCCCAAAGCCCGAGCCTGGGCCCGGGCCTGAAATTTAGCCTATATTATTATTATTATTAATGTTGAAGCAGCTGAATAAAGAGAGAGATAGATTGAAATTATAAAGAAAAGAATAATATATATATATATATATATATTAAATTATAAATATATATTTTAATAAATATTATATTATTTATATAWTTTATATAATATATAAAATACATATTATATATTTTATAAAATATATAATACTGAGTCGGGCCGGGCTTTTTTGACAAATCCCGAGCCCGGCCCGAAACACAATCGGGCTTACTGTATTAAGCCCGAGGTCAGGCCCGCGGGCCTAATTATATGACCAAGCCCGGCCGGGGTGCGGGTCGGTCCGGGCCGGGCCGGGCCGTCGGGCTACCCGGCCCATGAACAGGTCTAAGCGTGTATTGTTTTATTTGCCGTGTTTGCTTTCGTGTTCCGCAGCGCAACGCCAGGCGCCAACCGAATTAAAAATGCAGAGAGTTATGTTTCTGTACAACCGATTCACGATCCAATCTCGCGAGAGATAATCTAAAATCTGTCGGATTGGAATAAGGTGCAATGGCGGGTTGCAATTTTATTCAAAGATTCGATTTTTATTATTGTCGCTGACTCGCTGTTCCCACTTCCCAGGTCCTCTCCCTTCCAAGTTGTAGTTCTGTACCTCTGTTGCTATCGAGCCAAAAAGCTGTGCAGAACCAGATCAATGGAGCCAAGGGGTCTGGACCATTAATGTGTTTGGTTAAATGGTTTCTGCGATACTAAAATTCCCCTGAAAGTCTAAACGCAGTTGGGGAGCATCAACGAAGATAGAAGGGAAAGAATGTATAGCGGCTCCAGCGATGGCGAAGGCCATGACGCAACGCAGAGGAAGATACCCTCAGCGTCCTCCATGTTGTGGGTCCGAAATCTTCGTCGGTTCATTGGATCTGGCGCTGGACTCGGCTCTGAAGCTCTGATGGGTCAGTTATTTTCCTCTTGCATTGCTAAATTAAACTTGAAACAAAATCATTGGTCATACTCATATCTAAATTACATGATGCTTAAGCACTGAGGATACTAAATGATCACTATTAATTCGATAGTTTTATGTTGCTATCTGCAAATTGCTATTCTGCCGAAAAAAAACTGTTAAGCTATTTGCTGTAAATATAATGAGCTTAATTTGAACTTGAATGTACTTTGTATTGCGGCAATTATTTGACGCATTGGGAGGGGGGGGGGGGACTGGGGAGCATAGCGTATCATTATATAGAGAATATGCATTTTACATTTCAGGGAAGTTGATGGATCATTTTTTAAATAGTTATGAAGGCATGCGGAATTTGAATTATTTTTTACCTTTTCTTTTTTTTTTTTTTTTTAATGTCATTTGGATGGTTGGTTTTTCACTTGCGATGGGTTATGAAGGCGTGCAGAATTTGAACTATCTTCCGGTTGTTTGTTTTTGAGTCATGTAGAATTTTCAACTAGTTTGTGGTATTTGTATCACTTGAAATTTTTGTAGTGAAGAAGTTTATTGCTTAAATTTAGGCATTGCAACTTTGGCTTAAAAAAAAACTGAAAATAAAAGTAGAGATGAGATTGATAACATCTGAGGCTATTCTGTCAGATCACTTGAGGGCAGATTACCTCCAAAGGTGGATCTACATTCTTCTTCATTAATAATCTCACCAATTACAACAAGTACAGACATGTAAATTCACACTCACAGACAAATACATGCTTTCTCTCCAATTTTTCACTTGAAGATTCCAATAAGAAACTAACCCAGTTAAGGTAATATCCCTAACCATATTTATTATGGCCATTTAAATTGTACTGTTAGGGTTTCCAATAAGATACTTTAGTTAGTAATTTATGGATTTCACTCCTCTCCCTTTAGGAACACCCATTGTTTTAGAGGGCGGTACACCAAAAATAGTTTTAACTAGTTTCCACTTTTACAAATTGGTTCTGCTGGAATTAGGGGTGTCAACGGTATTCAAAAATCCAATTTCGAATTCGATATTCGACATAATCGAATCAAATTCGGATAATTCGAATATCTAATCAGTCGAATTTGGATATCCTATTCTTACCGAATTGTTAAGCGGCTTCGAATTCGGATATGACCTGATTCGATTCGGTAAATATCTGAATTTGACCAATTATTTAATTCTTATATATAATATATAAAATATTTTATATAATTTATATATAATAATTAAGTTATATAAATAATTTATATATTTATATACTTTATATCAATAAAATATTTATTATATATATTAATTATCTAAAATAATTAATTAATCGAATTCGAATTCGAATATTAATTTTCAATATCCGTCGGATATCAAATCGAATTCGGATGTCGGGTTTTCTAATCGGATTCGAATTTGGATATTGCCTGATCCGATTCGAATTTGATCCGTTTACACCCCTAGCTAGAATATGTTTTATCTTGAAAATTACTGAGATAATCCACTGTATTTATAGATCCTGTAAAATAGTCAATTGTGCCTCATAATGATGCCTAGCCTTGAACTAGAGGCACTGGTTTCTTAATTTGTACAGACATGCCTTAACCAAAGGGCATGTGTATGAATTTTGACATTTTGAGGGGTTGTTTGGTTGGGAATCGAATCATATAAAAAGGTCATTTTTTAGGGAAGATTCCCGATTAGTACCCTGTACTTTGGGCCTAGTGCCACTTTGGTTCCCGAACTTTAAAACGTGGCAATTCAGTACCCGAACTTTCAAAATGTGTCAATCCAGTATCTGTCGTTAACCAATCCGTTAACCAACTGTTAAGTGACATTTAAAAAGACACAAATGTCCTTTGAGTGTCATCTAATTTTCTTTATCAACCATCCACATGTTGATAAAAATGAACAGTCTCAAATCCTTGCCTCTTCTATTCAAGAAAGTTGGGGTTACGTCTTAGTGGGCATTCTGGTGACCCCAGCTTTCTTGAACAGAAGAGGCAAGGATTTGGGATTGTTCATTTTTTGTCAATGTTTGGATGCTTGATAAAGAGAATTAGATGACACTCGAAGGGTATTTGTGTCTTTTCAAATGGCACTTAACGACTGGTTAATGGCAGGTGTTAGATTGGTACGTTTTGAAAGTTTGGGTACTAAATTGTCGCGTTTTAAAGTTCGGGGACCAAAGTGGCACTAGACCCAAAGTACAGGGTACTAATCTGGAATTTTCCCTTTTTTTATCAGCAAGAGAAATTCATTAAATTAAATGATTATAAATTGGTACAACTGTTGGATGATTACAACCCAAAAGTTTACAGGCTAGTCCAGAATAGATATGGTCTGTCAACTCCCTGTTTAGCTAGAAGCCTAGAAAATCAGCAATCCCATTTGCAGTTCTTCTCACCCAGTTGAAATTTGAATTTAGTTGCCACAATGATACCGATCTCCCTAAAAGCATGCCTGTGTTTCTAAGGTGCTGCTTTGAGTTGTTTTTCCCAATGAATTACTAGTTGTGAGTTACCTTCGACTTCCAATTCCTTGAGATCAAGTTGTCGTGCTAATCTCAATCCCTGAAGCAATGTCAAGGTCTCTGCCTTGACTGAATCTCCTAAGTCAACTGGACCTGAATACATCACATCCACCAATCCTTGATGATCTCTAATCCGTCCCCCCCCTCCCCCTGCCTGCTCTTCCCGGGTTGCCCATAGAGCTACTATCAAAATTAGTTTCAGCTTATTAACAGCTGGGTTCCAATCCATTTGCACTTCTTCATTGTGTCTACCTGTTTGCACTACTTCAGACCAAGCTCTAATAATGTCATTGACTGAAAAAACTCTGAACAGCTCCAGTGTTTTTACCCAATATGCAGCTCTCACTAAGATAGTTTCCATTAGCTCCTCCTTTGACATGCTTTTCTCACTGAAAATTCTTTATTCCTTTCTTCCCATATCGTCCGAATCAATGTTGCTCTTACTGTCCACATGATCTTTCCTCTCTTTTCCTTGAGCCTTAGGAAATTGGAGTTGAATAAACTTATCCCTTCTTGTGGGGGAACCCATTTGCAACCAAAGAGAGAATAGAAATATTCTCAAATGCAAAATACACGAAGACAGGAGATTCATAAGTAAGGTAAAGTTTCACCACTAGCATTACACAAAACACACACATGAGGAGAGAGGCAAGAATTGGGCCTCCTTTTCTATAACATGCCATAGGTGTTGATCTCATCAAGGAACACTTCCCAACACAGAGCTTGCACTTTAGGAGGGATAGGTTTACACCAGATTTCTTTTACTGGAAAAACTACCCCCTCCCCCTGGGAGTAGAAAGGACTAAAAGATTAAAGAAGGAAGCACAAGAGAACAAGCCGTCAAGGGAGGGGATCCAAACCCTAACATCAGGTGTTATTTTGGTCCTAAAATATAGTGTCCAAGGCTGAAAGCAAAGAAATGAGTGGTTCACATTCATTGTCCCTAAGACCCCTCTTGAACCCAAAATCCCAATTAACCCCAGATGGAGAGGTTACACCAAACTTGGAAATAGGTTCAAACTTATAGGTTGAAAGGGAGTAAAGTATTGAGAATTGTTGGCAAAGAGGCATATCACTGACCCAATGATCCTCCCAAAACAGTGTTTTCTGCCCACAGCCCACATCAAAACGAATTGAACTTAAGGATGGAAGTACCTATATTATTGCTTTCCATGGGGATTTTGAAGAAATGTGCATTTCCAGCTTTGCATCCCAACCATTCTCTCCTAATCCATGTATGCTTTCAATGACCCTGTGCCACAGCCTATCTCCTTCCAGAGGAAATCTCTAGAGCCACTTCCCTAATAGAGCCGTATTCCTCTTGATTAGATT